GTCTATCAGACCATTGAGTTCTTTTTAGCGCAATTTCCATTCTGGAGAATTGCGTTTATTAACTCGTCATTTCTGGGAATGGATGGATGAATGAATGGATGAATGTGTGTCCGGGCTTTAAGTCGTATCTCCTCCTCAACGAAGCAATATCGATGACTAGTTCCAAAAGCAATTATGTTAAGCAAGTTACGAGAATGAGCATAGGCCATAAAAATTCCGGGTTTCTTTCATGTATTTCCCGGAAAAGCCAAAAAACCTCGAAAAAATGCAGTTTTTGGCCCATATCTCGGCAACCAGACCACTTAGCGACTTGAAACATGTACCAATCGATTTCTGCCATAATTTAGAACAATATTGCCGAAGAAAGTTTTCAAAAATATCCTCTCGTTCGGTCACAAATTTTAAAATTACATAAACACATACAAACCGATCGTTCTTCTAGCTTGAACGCACCCCAGCATTATACGTCAGAGCTATTTTTAGATAACATGAGGAAATTGCGCATAAATGTCACTAGACTTTTTTAATTAACTTGTTTATTGATAGGTTCCAGAAAATCACCGCGATATGTCCAAATCCGCGAAGAACAACATACTGGGTAAATTTAGGCTGTTATGTAATTTAGTGTTTATTTCAGCACAGTATCGATCAATGACATGTAACACTTTTCTCGCCTAATTCATTTTTTTGGCGGTGCTCAGTAGAAGCTGATGATAAAATATTTAGTGGATTCTATTTTTATACCAGCTTTCTTAGTTGTATTCGTGCGCCGTTTGTACAATGTCTTGTTCCCTGGTGAGACAGACCTGAAACTTGACCTGTAATACAGCATACAAGTAGGAGCCAGTGAGTTTCTGGTGCCAATACACCACAGCCAGACTTGATGAATCTGTGGACAGTTTGTTGCCACATTGTGGGGAAATGATGGGGAGGGGGGTCTAAACGTGAGGGTAGACAGCCTTAAGACGTGCAGCATGTATTCGTCACCGGCGACCAGACGTAGTCTGACGTGTGGGTCACCGACCTAGGGCTTGCGGGTCACCGACCTCAAGACGTGCGGGTCACCGGTCTCGTTATGCGGGTCACCGGCCTCAAGTTATGTGGGTCACTGGCCTCAAGTTATGTGGGTCACCGGCCTCAAGTTATGTGGGTCACTGGCCTCAAGTTATGTGGGTCACCGGCCTCAAGTTATGTGGGTCACCGGCCTCAAGTTATGTGGGTCACCGGCCTCAAGTTATGTGGGTCACCGGCCTCAAGTTATGTGGGTCACTGGCCTCAAGTTATGTGGGTCACCAGCCTCAAGTTATGTGGGTCACCGGCCTCAAGTTATGTGGGTCACCGGCCTCAAGTTATGTGGGTCACCGGCCTCAAGTTATGTGGGTCACTGGCCTCAAGTTATGTGGGTCACCGGCCTCAAGTTATGTGAGTCACTGGCCTCAAGTTATGTGGGTCACCGGCCTCAAGTTATGTGGGTCACCGGCCTCAAGTTATGTGGGTCACCGGCCTCAAGTTATGTGGGTCACCGGCCTCAAGTTATGTGGGTCACTGGCCTCAAGTTATGTGGGTCACCGGCCTCAAGTTATGTGAGTCACTGGCCTCAAGTTATGTGGGTCACCGGCCTCAAGTTATGTGGGTCACCGGCCTCAAGTTATGTGGGTCACCGGCCTCAAGTTATGTGGGTCACCGACCTCAAGTTATGTGGGTCACCGACCTCAAGTTATGTGGGTCACCGACCTCAAGTTATGCGGGTCACCGGCCTCAAGTTATGTGGGTCACCGACCTCAAGTTATGTGGGTCACCGGCCTCAAGTTATGTGGGTCACCGGCCTCAAGTTATGTGGGTCACCGGCCTCAAGTTATGTGGGTCACCGACCTCAAGTTATGTGGGTCACCGGCCTCAAGTTATGTGGGTCACTGGCCTCAAGTTATGTGGGTCACCGGCCTCAAGTTATGTGGGTCACCGGCCTCAAGTTATGTGGGTCACCGGCCTCAAGTTATGTGGGTCACCGGCCTCAAGTTATGTGGGTCACCGGCCTCAAGTTATGTGGGTCACCGACCTCAAGTTATGTGGGTCACCGACCTCAAGTTATGCGGGTCACCGGCCTCAAGACGTGCGGGTCACCGGCCTCAAGTTATGTGGGTCACCGACCTCAAGTTATGCGGGTCACCGGCCTCAAGACGTGCGGGTCACCGGCCTCAAGTTATGCGGGACATCAACCTCCATACGTGAGCATGTTTAAAAGTGCGGTATTGCCTATTTTAAAATTGCTTTACTTATTTCACTACAATAGAATCTACTTCAGTATACAGTGGGAGTATTGAATGAACGGGGGGCAGCGTACATAAGTGCTTTGCAAGAGGATTAACTTCAATTCAACTTTTAACCCTGCATGTGTGTTTGTCCTTGCAGTGAGATGGAGCAACATTTGCAATTGAGTGAAGGGTGGGTGGGTGGATCAGTAATCCACCATTATTAAGTGTGATGAGCAGTGATAGCCCTTCATTTCCTAATAAGATTAACTTCCTAATTTCAAGTTAATTTACACAGAGCTCACTTAAAAGTGGTTTGTATTAGAAAAGAAAGATAATGTAATTTCCAGAGGCAAATGGCTCTTCTCAGCTTATAGCTAGGGCTAATGATTTCCAATGCACAATCATCCAATGGTCTATTGGACTATAGAGCCATATAATGTAACCTAAGTAAGGTTCCTAATGGTCATCATGGGATGACCCCCCTAGCAGGATGGATGACCCCCCTAGCAGGATGGATGACCCCCATCCCCCCCAGCAAACTGACCCCCCTAGCGATCTGACTTCAAGATGGATGACCCCCATCCCCCCAGCAAACTGACCCCCCTAACGATCTGACTTCAAGATGGATGACCCCCATCCACCCCAGCAAACTGACCCCCCTACCGATCTGACTTCAAGATGGATGACCCCCATCCACCCCAGCAAACTGACCCCCCTACCGATCTGACTTTAAGATGGATGACCCCCATCCCCCCAGCAAACTGACCCCCCCTAAAGATCTGACTTAAGATGGATGACCCCCCCCCCCCCCCCCGTAACACTGACCTGTCTTGTGTTAAGGGAAACCATGGTGAGGATGTGAAAGAGCTGTACTACTACCTGGACAGTACCCCCCCCCCCCCCAGTAACACTGACCCTCACTGTATAAACCTGTGTCTTGTGTTAAGGGAAACCATGGTGAGGATGTGAAAGAGCTGTACTACTACCTGGACAGTACCCCCCCCCCAGTAACACTGACCCTCACTGTATAAACCTGTGTCTTGTGTTACAGGGAAACCATGGTGAGGATGTGAAAGAGCTGTACTACTACCTGGACAGTACCCCCCCCCCCAGTAACACTGACCCTCACTGTATAAACCTGTGTCTTGTGTTACAGGGAAACCATGGTGAGGATGTGAAAGAGCTGTACTACTACCTGGACAGTACCCCCCCCCCCAGTAACACTGACCCTCACTGTATAAACCTGTGTCTTGTGTTAAGGGAAACCATGGTGAGGATGTGAAAGAGCTGTACTACTACCTGGACAGTACCCCCCCCCCCAGTAACACTGACCCTCACTGTATAAACCTGTGTCTTGTGTTACAGGGAAACCATGGTGAGGATGTGAAAGAGCTGTACTACTACCTGGACAGTACCCCCCCCCCCCCAGTAACACTGACCCTCACTGTATAAACCTGTGTCTTGTGTTACAGGGAAACCATGGTGAGGATGTGAAAGAGCTGTACTACTACCTGGACAGTACCCCCCCCCCCAGTAACACTGACCCTCACTGTATAAACCTGTGTCTTGTGTTAAGGGAAACCATGGTGAGGATGTGAAAGAGCTGTACTACTACCTGGACAGTACCCCCCCCCCCCCCCAGTAACACTGACCCTCACTGTATAAACCTGTGTCTTGTGTTACAGGGAAACCATGGTGAGGATGTGAAAGAGCTGTACTACTACCTGGACAGTACCCCCCCCCCAGTAACACTGACCCTCACTGTATAAACCTGTGTCTTGTGTTAAGGGAAACCATGGTGAGGATGTGAAAGAGCTGTACTACTACCTGGACAGTACCCCCCCCCTCAGTAACACTGACCCTCACTGTATAAACCTGTGTCTTGTGTTAAGGGAAACCATGGTGAGGATGTGAAAGAGCTGTACTACTACCTGGACAGTACCCCCCCCCCCCCCCCTAGTAACACTGACCCTCACTGTGTAAACCTGTGTCTTGTGTTAAGGGAAACCATGGTGAGGATGTGAAAGAGCTGTACTACTACCTGGACAGTACCCCCCCCCCCTAGTAACACTGACCCTCACTGTGTAAACCTGTGTCTTGTGTTAAGGGAAACCATGGTGAGGATGTGAAAGAGCTGTACTACTACCTGGACAGTACCCCCCCCCCCAGTAACACTGACCCTCACTGTGTAAACCTGTGTCTTGTGTTACAGGGAAACCATGGTGAGGATGTGAAAGAGCTGTACTACTACCTGGACAGTACCCCCCCCCCCCCCCCAGTAACACTGACCCTCACTGTATAAACCTGTGTCTTGTGTTCAGGGAAACCATGGTGAGGATGTGAAAGAGCTGTACTACTACCTGGACAGTCGTCCCCCCCCCCCCCCAGTAACACTGACCCTCACTGTATAAACCTGTCTTGTGTTAAGGGAAACCATGGTGAGGATGTGAAAGAGCTGTACTACTACCTGGACAGTACCCCCCCCCTAGTAACACTGACCCTCACTGTGTAAACCTGTGTCTTGTGTTACAGGGAAACCATGGTGAGGATGTGAAAGAGCTGTACTACTACCTGGACAGTACCCCCCCCCCCCCCTAGTAACACTGACCCTCACTGTATAAACCTGTGTCTTGTGTTAAGGGAAACCATGGTGAGGATGTGAAAGAGCTGTACTACTACCTGGACAGTACCCCCCCCCCCCCCTAGTAACACTGACCCTCACCGTGTAAACCTGTGTCTTGTGTTCAGGGAAACCATGGTGAGGATGTGAAAGAGCTGTACTACTACCTGGACAGTACCCCCACCCACTCCTACATGTCCGCCCTGTACAAGTACCCCCAGGAGAAGTACCCCTATGACAACATTGTGGCTGAGAACAAGTACAGGACTAAAGAGCAGCTGGAGTATGAGCTATTGGATACAGGTTTGTGTCATTTGATCAAGTCTGGGTATTGTTTGTTTTCTTAGTTTTAACTTAGTTTAACTTTTTAACGCAGATGTAACCTATAGACCTTTAAATTAAAAAAAAATATATATAACCAGCTTTATTATAATCCAACATATTTTTGCATTAATTATATGCATTTAAAAAAAAATTCAAATTTCCATTACTTTTGAGTAATTAAAACTTTTTTTTGACAAAGTAAAGGGAGACTATTACCTCTGGTGCTTAGCTACAAATTTTCCCAAAATTTTTCCCCAAATGGTCTTGCATTAAAGAAAGAATCCTTGTAGCTTAGATCTAGTTTTAGCAGACAGAACCTCAAGCTTCAGGGTAAACGGTGGTCATTTTCTGCGTCAGTCGGTCACTAGTTGCTGCAATGCTGCATCTGTATCACAGGCGTGTTTGACGATGGCAACTACTGGGACATCAAGGCCGAGTTCTGCAAGTCCAGCCCTGACGACATACTGGTCAAGTATATCATCTCAAACAGAGGCTCCAAGACTGCCAGGATCCATGTCATGCCAACCTTGTGGTTCCGCAATATGTGGTCATGGGGTGAAAGCTGTGATGTAATTATATTTTTATTTTTTGTGTATTACAAATAGTTATAAATTAGGATATTAATTTGAAAATAATGTTATTAAAATGTGAAGAAACCCAGTCGCCTTTACTTTCCGTGATGTGAGTCAGGTACCCATCAGAACTGGGTGAGCTCAGGCACGTCTTACAGACAAGAGCCCGGGATCCAAACTCGAGACTTCCATGTTAGCAGTGGAATGCTCTACCATTTGATCACACGGTCCCCCTAACTCTGATGCAATGTGGAAGGTTAATTCTGCCAAAAAACTCATTCAAGTCTTTATTGAGAAAAACTATTTGTATTAGCACTTTAAAAACACCATTAAAAAGTATTTTCATAAAGAACTATAAAAAATATGAAATACTACATTTACATAGACGCTTATTCTTAATAACCAGATAATATACAGGTCTATCAGTTTTCAATCAATTCTATTATTGTGCCATTAAACATGATTGAAAGTTTTCAATCAATTTTTGCAGGCCCATTTGTCTAAAAGACCAAATCTGAAGGAAACTGGCCCTGGTCGGGTTGAGGCTGAGCATGAAACACTAGGTACTTGTTATTTCACGTACTCAACTAAATGCAAATTTACTTGCTTGTATATCATAGGACTATTCATAGTAGCATTCAGTGTTTGTTGGTTCAGTGTTCAGGCAAATATTAGGCTGGAGCTATGTTCGGATTTGGGTTAGTGTTTGGATTAAGGATAAGATCAGCGTTAACATTGTCAATTTTTATTTCTTTTTGGTTTAATTATCAAGAACATGACACCCCCCATTTTTCGAAGATTCTATTAGTATAGCATTTAAGGACTCTAGTATAAACATGCACCATTTGTGTGAAATTTGGTTGCAAGTGATAGCGACAATTTGGTTACATTATTTTATATTCTGTCATTTTCTGATAAATAAGTTGCCTATAGCTGACAAAAAGATTGTGGTAGCCTATAGGTGACAGAAAAGTCGTTATTGCCTAAGTATCAAAGTCAAAGATAAAAGCTTTAAATGAGTTTCATCTATTTATTTTATCCCCATCACATCATCTTTCTCAAAGTCTTTCATCTGAATCTGATCACATGTGTTTTATATACATTCTGTTTCAGGAAGCTACATATTTGAAACTGATGTAGACCAAAATGGGAAAAAACCAGATCTTTTATTTACTGAGAATGAAACTAATTATAAAAGAATATATCGCTTAGATAATAAAATACCATATGTAAAAGATGCTTTTCATAGATACCTTCTGTTTCGTAAGTATAACTTTTGCACATGTATTATAATTAAATATTATAAATAACAAGGTAATAACCTATATCTTATCATTATTGGTGTAACTTTTTTCTAGGTGAGCATTTTGCTGTGAATCCAGATAAATTTGGAACAAAATGTGCTGCACACTATGTCCTTGAGATACCTGGCGGTGAAGAGTTTGTCGTTAAAGTTCGGCTGTTTGAAAAATCTCAGGGTCCACCTTCAGAAAATTACTTTTCAAAAGAAGAATTTGACGACATTTTTTCCAAGAGAAAAAATGAAGCAGATGAGTTTTACAAGGAGGTAAGATCTAGTCACATTAGGTGTATGGGTAGTAGAGAGAGATGTAGTCTCTTTCTTATGTCCCTTAGTTAATGAATAAAAAGCACAAAAGGTTAGATAAAAACATTTCATTTTATTCTATTAAGCTTTTTATAAAACTGTATTAGAAAAAGTAGAAATTAGTTTTCATAATAAAACTAGTCATGTTTGTTTTAAAAACCTGACTTGTGTTGTGGCCAGGTCATTGTGTGCTCAGACCCTCAACAAATTCTGGTTACTAGACAAGCCTATGCTGGCCTGCTGTGGAGCAAACAATTCTACCACTATGTTGTTTTAGTGAGTTGCTTTTTCTCATCACAAATTCACCTTCACTAGCCCATGTTACTTAAGTCAGTTGTTGAACCATGAACATGTATTACATACGTTATTATACGTTGTTATTTGATGAAGAAACTGTATTAAAATAAATGCAATGATTATTTTTGATGGAAAGGAATGGTTGCAAGGTGACCAAGGGCAACCACCTCCACCTGCTACACATTCTAAGATGCGCAACTCTGAGTGGAGGCACCTTTTTAATAGGGATATTATTAGCATGCCAGATAAGTGGGAATACCCTTGGGTAAGTTATTTTCATGCATATTGTCAGTATTCATGAAGTAAATAAAAAATGCTGTAAATGCTACCATTATAAAAGCAGTGTACATTTATTTTCTAATATTTTGTTTTTATATGTAATTCTAATATCTTCTGGACATTTGAAATAATTATTAAAAAATATTTTATAGTATGCTTCCTGGGACCTCGCCTTTCACATGTTGCCATTTGCTAGTATAGACATCAACTTTTGTAAGCATCAGATGCTTTTGTTTCTAAGAGAGTGGTATATGCACCCTAACGGACAGGTAAATTTACACATTTTTTGTTAAACACCCGTAAAGTATTTGCAAATTGGTCATCAAAATTTGTTATCCTTAATTTATAAAATGCTTCCTTATTAAAACTTTTAAAATAAACAATGATCATAATTAGTATTTATCGTTTAGATTCCAGCTTATGAGTTTGCCTTCAGTGATGTTAATCCCCCAGTACATGCTTATGCTGTTTTAAAAATCTACAAGGCCTCAGGAGATTGCAGGGCTAGAAGAGACCAAGTATTTCTTGCCAGGTGTTTTCAGAAACTTGCATTAAATTTCACTTGGTGAGGCCAAATTTCAAATGTTTAAAGAAGTCATGTATTATTTGACATAACTTTTGTTATTTAGTTGACTAAAATAAACATTTGTAATATTTTAAGTGTTTTGAAAAGTTGAGTTTTATTGTATTAACAGGTTAACTTGACCTTTATTAAAAATGATTTTCATTTGCTTTTAAAATTTAGCATTAAAACTTGTTTTTATAAATAATATTATAGGTGGGTAAACAGAAAGGATCCTGATGGGTTGAATATTTTTGAAGGTGGTTTCCTTGGTCTTGACAACATTGGGGTGTTTGATAGATCCAAGCCCCTGCCAACAGGTGGGAAACTAGCCCAAGCAGACGGGACAGCTTGGATGGCATTTTTTTGTGAACTGATGGTGGAGTTCAGCCTTATCCTAGCTCATCGAGATCAAATCTATGAAGATATGGCTAGCAAATTCTTTGAACATTTTGTTTACATTTTGGATGCTATTAACTATGGTGTGGCTCACCTATGGGATGAGGAAGATGGCTTTTATTATGATAACATCATTTTTGAGAACCGGAGGACACCGTTGAAAATAAGATCCATGGTTGGAATGGTAAGTCATTTGGTTATGATAAGATTAATATCTATTGTAATTTTTATTAGAATTAAACTATGATATTGGTTAGGTTATTATCGTTTTTAAAAAAAAGATTACTGCTTAGTATGTCTTTTAGATGATATAATTTTACATAGCAAACAAGATGGTTTGAAAATTCTATGCTCTAAATGTATTTTTTTCCAAACACTATGTGATTAATATTTTCCTTTCATTTTTTCAGGTTCCTCTTTTTTCTTCTCTAGTTCTTCTTGAGTCTGAGACCAAACAGCATCCTGGCTTCTACAAGAGAACACAATGGTTCTTAAAAAATAGGAAAGGATTAGTCAGCAAAAGACAGGTACATGTTTGAAATCAATGTAAAGCATCCACACAATATCTACTCTTTCTAATTTAGCTAAAATAGAAAAAAAAAATTGAAAAAGTTTGAAACAGTATGTATCAAATTATTTAACATGTCTGCTAGATAATCAGACGCAGCAGTATTATAGATGGAGAAGCATCAAAAGATGAGGAAGCTATTATGTTGTCCCTTGTCACAAAAGATCAGCTGATTAAAATATTGAAATATTTACTAGATGAGGAAGAGTTTCTTTCACCTTATGGAATTCGTTCCCTTTCTAAGGTATTTATTATCTAATATTACATTTTAGGCCTAATTCTTTTTTTTCAGTCCTAAAAATGTTTTGATGTCCTAAATAAATTGAACTAAATTTGTTTTAGTACCATGAAAAGCATCCATTCACCTTTGAAGCAGGTGGGGCAACCTATACAGTCCACTATGACCCAGCTGAATCTCACACTAATATGTTTGGAGGAAATAGCAACTGGAGAGGACCTATATGGTTACCAAGTATGTATACGTGAGACATTTGCACTGCACAGCATTTTAAAAAAAAAATTCTTTGTATTCATAGTAAAAAAGTTCTTTCCTCTTGATTTATGACTGTTTTGTTTTTACTAATTATGTGAATACTCATGCTTAGTATTTAAAAATGTTCTATTATACCATTAAATATGACGGAATATCTTTCAGTGAATTATATGGTGATTGAGAATTTGGAACGTTATGATTCATTTTTTGGTGACACGCTGAAGGTGGAGTGTCCAACAGGTTCTGGCAACCTAATGAGGCTAGGAGATGTTGCCAGAGAATTGTCATCTAGAATAACCAAATTAGTTCTGCCTGATGAAAAAGGACATAGACCATGCCATGGTTTGCAAAATGATTTTTGCTTTGTTTTTAATGTATTAAAATAAATTATCATTTTATAAATATGAAAATAGTACTCACTTACATTTACAAGCCTAGAATCAAAATGACGATCGTTAATTTTTATTTAGGTGGTGACGAACGGTATGCCAGTGACCCTCATTGGAAAGATCTGATATTGTTTTATGAATATTTTGATGGTGAAACTGGAAGAGGATGTGGTGCAAGGTAAACCTACAAAATTGTGATACAGTTTGTATTAAAATGTCCTAATATAATAAGTAATTAAGATTATTTTACTATTTATTTAATTTTGCTTTCAATATACTTGTATTTTTCTTTTCTTTAGTCACCAGACTGGTTGGTCAGCCTTGTTAGTCAATTTTCTACGCTGTGTAAACAGACACCCCCTGATCGTTGACCACTCAAGTGCCAACATACAAGTCCAGCCTTAGTCAAACCAGCTCACTGTAATCAATTGTTATCAGTTACTATTATTACTTTAATCAGCATTGTCAGGTTGTTGTTTTTTTTTCTATTATTTATTATTTACTTGTAAATAATTTAAACTGAAAAGCCTATATGACAAAGTAAAATTTTTACTTCATGATTTAGTTAAATTTGAGTTTAGAAATGGTGGAAATGCAAAAAGCAGAACATCAAAAAATTTTGGGTTCACACTAATATAAATCACTGCCTAAAATACTTCTATTGCCTTTAATATTAATATGTGCCTGTAGTTTTTTTTTTCTAGAAAAAGCTTGGTGGTAAGAGAATTTTTAAAATATTACATATATATGTATTACATATATATCCATAGGTATCAAAACTATAATTACTAGTTAAATTATGAAACAGAAGGGTTAATCCCTATAGGCATCAAGTGTTGTGTAGCAAAGCCAACAGCTTCTAAATATATCAAAGCCAAAGACAAGTAATCTAATGTTCTTTGTTGACTTGTGTAATTCCATTTAAAAAATATTTCCTATAAGTTTGCCATTTATAAATGCTTTACACTATTTGCCTGTAATTTCTGTACTGATGAATATTGTTTTTTTTATGTTTCTTTAAAGAAGGTAGCCCTGTTTTAGCAATAAACAATTCTGCAGTAGGGTAATATATATCAAAGTTTAAATAATTACTTTTAGACATACCAAAACTGTATAGTTGTGAATTAAACTTTGTGAGATTTGGCTACCTAATTAATAGTTTTTACAGTAATTTGCTGTGTTCATTTGTTTTTTAATTATGTGATATATTGCATATGTATTTTGTTTAGTGATTAATTATAATCAGATTGATGCATGTGACATTTTTTTATGCTATAACATTTTACCTTGTACACAGAAAGCATTTATCTCGCAGTGACTTCCTGAAAATTGAGCATTTACTTATGAAAACTACTTAGTTATGAAAGCAATAATACAAACATTTACTGTTTTTACCATTTATTATATGGTTATGAAATAAATTTTACTTGTACTTTTAAAATTTACAACTTGACAGTTAGTTAATGTCAGTACTATTAAATTATTAATACTAATAATTTGATAATATTGTGGACATTTTTAAGTGGAACAAAAAAAAACTGTGTGATCATTTTGCTCTTCTTATTCTTAAAATACTAATAGCAAAATACATGTGTTTGTCTTTAGAAGTTTTATAATATGTACACTAAACACAGCATTGATGCTTTAGAAAATAAATTTTTTTTTCGCTGATGCTAGAATGTTGCAGTTTACACCATGTTTTGTAAAATACAATATATTTTATAAATGTCTACTTTCTACAATGTAATTTTAAAAAATGTTGTTTTTATGGGTTATTGTTTTATCTTTATTCTCGGATATTTTGAGATAAACTTCCAATTTTAGTTATAATAGGTTTCTGCTGGAAACAGATTATATATGATGAAATTTTGTAGCTGTTTAGTGATGTAGGCTAATGATTACGCAAAGGGAATGTTTATTGTTTTAAAAAAAAGAAAATGTGTAAGGGTTTTTTGATAACTGAGTTCTAAAGATTTCTTTAAATTTACATTAGTTTCATATGAAAATGACTTTTTTTTGCATGTACAAAGCTGTGGCGCTATTTATCTCTCCGTGTGAGGAATGGTTTTACTTAACTAACCAACTTTATTTACCTTGTTCATATGTCTTTAAATGAAATAAATATATTTTCAATTTATGAAAATGTGTCCCTTAGCACTATGAATTAAGGGAGACAACAGGGTTAATGGGGGGGGGGGGTATAGTTTGCACTGTTAACCCAAGACTTGAGTTTTGATCATGGATTCCCCTTCTGCTGTAGCAGATAATTAACAGCTGGAAACAGGAATCTATTTAGGAGGAAAGACGCATAGATGACTCACTTAGGTGTTGACATGCAATACTTAAATATGTTGTAAGGAAAAACAAAGAAGTTGGACTTGTTGTATGACTTGTACAATAAAACAATAAAGAATAAAGATGACCAACCAATTTAAATATGTGTAGATACAGGCAAGAGGAATCCTATGTATTAAAAATATTGTGCATAAGAGATGAATTTAAAAAAAAAACAACTTAAAAATCAGAATTAAAAAAAAAAAACAACTTAAAAATCAATTTGCTGAATGAAGGCAGTTTCGAACATGGTAATTATACCCTCAAAGACTTCAGTACCAATATAGCCTTCTTTGTTTCAAATTACCTCCCATTCATTTTACTTCAGGAGTCATCATTAAATGATCTCATGGTCTTTGATGCCCCCCCCCCCTCCACTTTGTTAATTTAGTTTTTTGAAACAACGATTTTTCTTTAACTTATTAACTAAGCTGGATCAACATAAGGTAAACTGATCACTGATCAATATTTTAAAAGGTCATTTAAAAATGTGCAAAATATCTGTCAGTGGTACAGGCAGGTTTTTTATCATGGAGGTCGTTTGGGAGTCAAGGCTGAATGGTGATTTTCTAATTCCCTCAAATAACTATTAAACTTCACCTTTTAAAAATACTTTTTAAATAACAGATCCACTCCCCTCTCATCTGACATCTCACATCGTCTTAAAAGCTTTTTATTTAAAAAAAAATAATTTCAATTATATTACATTACTAATTCATTACAATACACACATTCTTCGACTATTAGACGTACTATACAGGACATCACTTTATAGAAAATATTGCAGCAGATTGTTCACAGGGGTCATCCATAAATGACGTAACGCTTTTTGGACGATTTTTACCTCCCCCTACCTCCGTCACACATCATCAGAAAAAGCCAGACACCCTCCCCAAAATGGCGTCACACCTCAGCCTACTACATCCATCAAAATTGCAGTTGAATTTTTCCAAAATCTTGTCTGAACTCTGTCAATAAACAGTATTTTAAACAATTCCTAATACAATTTATTAAAACTCTTATCTAAAATCGCGCAATAAATGTTAATACTCGTTTTCTAACATTGCTTTTTTATAATGCAAACGTGTGACGTCACACCATCTGATCCCCCCCTCATCACACACCGTCACAAAATTACGGACCCCCCTACGAGTGTGACATCATTTATGGACACCACCCACAATGTAACAATGCTTATTTTTATGAATAAGTAGTCTGAGAAAGAGATAGTTAATAAATGACTCCACGCGTAGGGGGGAGCATTGTCTTAGACCCCCCTCCCGTCTTAGACCCCCCCCCAACCACTCTCACACACGCCAAATGGAACTGCCTAATGTGGATTTAAAAGTTTCATAAAATATTTTTTTAAAAAATGTAAAAAATTCGAATCTCAAAAAGGTTACCAAAATATATGAATAAAAATATATCACAAATTCTCTTTAAAAATAGGAAAAGAAAAATGGAGGTATAGATCTAGTACGCAAATCCCATAATCACAAAATTACGGGTAGATGGGGAGGGTGTGGGTTGCGCACTCAAACTTTAAAAAAAGATTGATAAGCTAGGCCTAAGTAACCGACATTTCTTAGCACACATTACAACCAACTAGAGTGTGAAATATATAGACCTAGAGTATATATATATATATATATATATATATATATATATATATATATATATATATATATAGGCTATATATCGTAGGGGAATGATACAATCACAAGCCCAAGCAGGCACTCAAATAAAATAAGTGATCTCCCCTAAACTTTCTCGAATATTCTTATATAAAATAACAGGGGATGTGAACTCGGGCTATAGACATGATTTTTAATCCATTTTAAATACTTAAAGTTTTAAAAATAGAATAAAATCTCGTAGACAAATTGATTGCACACCATGTGAACGCCAAATAAAAAAGCGCATAATAGTGCGCAATATTATTAGTACTTTTAAAATTTACATTAGTTTTTTGAGAAATCGGAAGTAGCGTAAAGTACTACTTCCAGTCAACGGAAATTACTCAAAATTTAACAGAAGGTAGAGAATCAGATCTCTTACTTACATGTGAAATTTCATTTATCTATCTGAAATAGTACTCAAGTTATAGGCTTTTGAAAAATTCAAAGTAGGAAAAGTACCACTTCCGGTTATCGGAAATCGCTCAAAAGTTGATACGGATCTACGATTTTGATAAAATACTTATACATGAAATTTCATCAACCTAGCTGTAACGGTACTCAAGTTATCGTGTTTACACACGGACAGACAGACAGACAAACACACAGACAGTCACACAGACATACGGACAAGATTGCAAAATTATGTTTTTTCCGTATCAGTGAGGTGTAAAACGTCGAGATTTGTAAAAATCTCGATTTTTTTTTTTTTTTTTTTTTTTGCACGATTACAAGACTTTCTCTATACTTCGTATATACGAGAAAGTAAAAAAACAAGGCTGATAGATCTAGTTATTACGTGAATACTGTATTATTATTCATATTTTCCAAAAAAAAATAGGGTAACCAAAATTAAGTTCATTATATAAAGTGAATGACATTTCTTTTTCAAATGAGATCCTAAAATAAAATAAAAAATTAATTGTACCGTATCTTTATTGGACAAGCACATTTGTTTTTAGTTGTTATTTCGCAGAAGAAACGAACTCCAATCGCCATTTTGTTGTCAACATTGTGTTTTATGTTTGAGATTGGCAATTATTTACCCGCTTGTTAGGTATACGATACAATCTGTGTAACCTAGTAAATAAATTTATGTGCACATTTTTAGTTCATAAATAGCTATACAGTGTGTTATGCATCGTGAAAATGTAAATCAAACTTGCAAACGCATGAAAATGGTGCCTTTTAAAAAAGTTACCTGTTCTCGATAAGCAATGCCTTGCCTGTTTTTATTCGTAAATGTAAATCGTTTTAAGGAGACTTTGTTTTTAAAAGTCATTCATAAACTTAAAGACTTTTAAATTTTATTTCTGTTGACCTTTAAATCAAGAGTAATCAAGACATTCTTTCAAACACTTTATTTTTATTCTAAATTGTCCATAATCATGTTTGCAGCTAATCTTTTTCAAGCAATAAAAAAAAAAAAAATTAAAAAATTTAGGCCTAGGTCCTAGGCCTAAAGAAAACCCATCTTAAACCTAAATTAAAATTGAGTAATTTAGACTTAGACTCTTATTATTTACCTCTTTTGGACATGTGACATAGATTTATAGCACAAATAATAGCTTTTCAAAGTTCATAGTAAAGTGGACAGAGTTTAGTTTAGACTACAAACCTACTACTTGCTAGATTTTCTAAAATTATAAATCTAATAACCCGACTAAATGCATTTATGGTACTGTGCTATCTAATCTGTAACAAACAATAAATCAATAAATCTTTTAGAGGAGCCTCAATGTCCTGAACCATATGATTTTTGTCTATTTCTTCTCCTGTCTATCTGTACAAAATCAGGCTTGAAATTTTTTTTTTAAAAAAGCTGAAAAATAAATTAAGAAACATTGCATTGATAAAATTTACAAATGCATAGAGTAGGCCTATGACGAGCATTGAAATATTTTTAGCCTTTTAAGGATACATTTTTATTTTCATCTAGATCTACCAATCGGATATTTTAACTTGAAGTTTTAGTTTGACAAATTTGTTTGTCTTTAGCTCATAGAAACAATTTTAATGGAGCTTTTTAGTGTTATAATACCATTCAAATATTAACAAATGCTCCGTCACTTTTTGGTGTTGTAATACCATTCAAATATTAACAACTTATTATTCGTTTTGATATATAAAGTGTCTATTCCCAGTCATCTGTTATGAATAATAATTACTTTTTTCCTTACTATTTGTTTTCATGTCTTTACACAGGTTTGAAGACAGAAAGTAAATCATGGCTTTCCCCTATACAGTCATTGGGCCAGGGGGACAGCCCTATATTTTGAGCCAGATTCCTATAATGCAGCAACCTATGCAGCCTCAGTTAATCCCATCCCAATTTGTACAGCAATCACCCCAGGTACAACTTCAGCAACAACAGCAACAGCAAGGACAAAAGCAGCAGCAGAAGCAGCCAGATTACATGTCAGAGGATAAGTTGCAGGAGAAAGGTACATTAAAGAAATAAATATATGTTAAATTATTTTTGCTAATAATTATAAAAAATTATATCCTTTGATAAAAACTTAAAAATATTGTGGCTTATTTTCAAGCTGATTAATGTATAATTTTAAAACAATTTCTAACCATGATTTATTAGCAAGAAAATGGCAACAACTTCAGTCAAAAAGATATGCAGAAAAACGAAAGTTTGGGTTTGTTGATGCACAGAAGGAGGACATGCCACCAGAACATGTTAGAAAAATCATCAGGGATCATGGAGATATGACCAACAGAAAATTTAGACATGATAAAAGAGTTTATTTAGGGTAAATATGTGAAGATCATGTAACATTCATTAATCATAAACAATTTAGCTTTATTTATGTTGCGATGAAATAGAAATTTAATTATATAAATGACTGTTATATGAACTACTATTGTATACATTTTTTTTTTGTTTTAAAAGTATTCTCATCACCAATCACTAAAAAATGCAAAATAACATCAATGGTATAGTTTTTTACATCATTACTAATTTTTTTTCAGAGCACTGAAATACATGCCTCATGCAGTTCTCAAACTTTTAGAAAATATGCCAATGCCATGGGAACAGATTAGAGATGTGAAAGTTCTCTATCATATTACTGGTGCCATCACATTTATTAATGAGATTCCATGGGTTATTGAACCTGTGTATATATCACAGTGGGGGTAAGTATAAATAGACACCTAGTGTGTGTGCTTGTTTCTTTAGTTTTCAAATAGCTCACGTTGATAATACATTTCTAATTTAAAAATACAGATCCATGTGGATTTTACTTCGCCGTGAAAAAAGAGATCGTAGGCACTTCAAACGCATGAGATTTCCACCATTTGATGATGAAGAACCTCCTCTTGACTATGCTGATAACGTCATGGAAGTAGAGCCTCTTGAACCTATACAAATGGAAATGGATCCTGAAGAAGACAAAGCTGTTATGGAGTGGTACTATGATCACAAACCATTAATAGATTCCAAGTAAGTTTTTCTCTGTTTTTATTTCTCTTTTAAACTAGTTTTATAAATTTTTGTATTTAAATTGCTTTGTGCTGTAACTTAAATGATTACTATCTGCTATTTGTAGACATGTGAATGGCAGCACCTACCGTAGATGGAACCTGACTTTGCCAATCATGTCAGTGTTGTACAGAATGGCAAATCAACTCCTCACAGATCTGGTGGATAACAATTACTTTTACCTTTTTGACCTGAAGTCATTTTTCACAGCAAAAGCTCTGAACCTTGCCATCCCTGGTGGTCCAAAGTTTGAGCCACTAGTCAAAGATAAAGAGCTTCAGTGAGTAGGCTTTTTAATTAATTATTTTTAAAAAGTGTATATGTGTGTTACAGTTTAATCAAAGGTTATTTTTGTACTAATTTTAATTACAGAGATGAGGATTGGAATGAATTCAATGACATCAACAAAATTATCATCAGACAACCAGTGAGAACAGAATACCGCATTGCTTTTCCCTATTTGTACAACAATATTCCATATCAAGTACATCTTTCATGGTTAGTCATGATTTGTTTTAAGAAAATATTGTGAACTAAAGTATGTGTTACTTATTATTGGTAAACATTTCTGTGTAACATTGTACTTTCTGCACAAGAGCATATTTGTTTCATTTTTTATTTAGATAATTTTTTTTTCTCTGCAGGTACCATGAGCCAAATGTTGTCTTTATTAAAACTGAAGATCCTGATCTCCCAGCATTTTATTTTGATCCTTTGATCAACCCAATTTCTCACAGGCAAGCAACAAAGGTGTGTCTATTTGATCTGACTTTTTAAAAAAGATATGGTTAAAATAAATAAATAAAACTTGAGTAAGTGTTAATAGAAGTACTAATAACTTTCTTTTAAAGTTTTTCTTTTTCAAAAACAATATTCCTTTAGAAAAATCCAGAAACAATATATTTTATTATTTTTTATCATAAAAGCTTGCTGAGCCTCTTCCAGAAGATGATGAAGAGTTTGAACTACCAGAATTTGTGCAGCCTTTTCTTCAAGATACACCTCTGTATACAGACAATACAGCCAATGGCATTGCTCTCTTATGGGCACCTAGACCTTTTAACTTAAGATCAGGCCGAACACGTAGAGCCATTGATGTACCCCTGGTAAAATCATGGTAAGAACACAAATATTTTTCTATTATGAATAATTTACTTCAATCTGTGAAAGAATTTCTTTAATGACTTATAAATAAATTCTCCTATTAGGTACAGAGAACACTGCCCAGCTGGGATGCCAGTAAAAGTGAGAGTATCTTACCAGAAGCTTCTCAAATACTATGTTTTAAATGCCCTCAAACATAGGCCACCCAAGGCACAGAAAAAGAGGTAGGCATTATTTATGACTTTGGCTTTGGTTGAAACTTTAATCAGTGTGATAATTTAAACATTTTTAACAACGCATTATACGATTAAACACTTCAGGTACTTGTTCCGATCGTTCAAGTCAACAAAGTTTTTCCAAACAACCCAACTTGATTGGCTAGAAGTTGGCTTACAAGTCTGCAGACAAGGCTACAACATGTTGAATCTTTTGATTCATCGTAAAAACTTGAACTATCTTCATTTGGACTACAATTTCAACCTGAAACCTGTGAAAACGCTCACAACAAAGGTACAATATTAACAAATTTGAGATAAATTCACACACACACTCACATTCATATATATATATACATATATGTATATACATATTTAGTCACATTTGAATTAAAAAGAATTTGTGAATTTTTAATACCATTGTTATTGTTTCAACTATTAGGAACGTAAGAAGTCTCGTTTCGGCAATGCTTTTCATTTGTGCCGTGAAATTCTTCGTCTCTCTAAACTCATCATTGATAGCCACGTGCAGTACAGACTTGGCAATGTGGATGCCTATCAGGTTTGTTGTCATACTCTTTTTACTTAGCACAATAACTATTCTCTAACTTGCTCTTTTTCTAATTATTACTATACCTATTTAAGCTTGTTTTCAGTGAATTTTTAAAGAAATGAATCCCTTTCTTAATTATATGCATGGTAATTACTCATTTATTATAAGCTTTACTTAATATTGTAATTTGAATTACTTGGTTTCAGCTTGCTGATGGTTTGCAATATGTGTTTGCTCATGTGGGCCAGTTGACTGGTATGTACAGATACAAATACAAACTGATGAGACAGATTAGGATGTGCAAAGATCTCAAACATTTGATTTATTACAGATTCAACACTGTAAGTTATTGTCAAGTTACACATGATTTTCCTGCTTTTTGTTGTTGCTTTTTTTCTTGAAGAAATTAACTGTCATTTCTGTTTATAAAACAGATCTTGTAATAAGAAACACTTAGTGCTTTTGTTGATATTGAGTGATTGAATAACCTCAATAATGTTGTCCTTTGACCTTTTTAGGGTCCTGTAGGGAAAGGTCCAGGCTGTGGCTTCTGGGCTCCTGGTTGGAGAGTCTGGATGTTCTTCATGAGAGGTATCACACCTCTTCTTGAGCGCTGGCTTGGAAATCTGCTGTCTCGTCAATTTGAGGGTCGCCACAGCAAAGGTGTTGCAAAAACTGTTACTAAACAAAGAGTGGAGAGCCATTTTGATTTGGAGTTGAGAGCTGCTGTAAGTAGACATTTTCTATACTGTTCTTGTCATTCTAAAGACTGGGTTAACCTCCATGTTGGGTGTAATTTTATATCTATTTATCTTTGTATATAGTAATTGCAATTTATTATTAGCCAATATATTCCACATCTTTACCCATTATTAATAAAGTGCTGTGTGTTTGCAGGTTATGCATGACATTCTTGACATGATGCCTGAAGGAATCAAACAAAACAAAGCTAGAACCATCCTGCAGCACTTATCAGAGGCTTGGAGATGTTGGAAAGCCAATATTCCATGGAAGGTAATGCTTTTTACTTACCACACTGCATCACTGTGGATATAGGTCTGTGGAATGTTTCTTAGTCCAATCTTTGTGCTAATTTGTTTTGAACATCTTGACCTGAGATCTTTTCCTATGCTAAGGATTAAAGGCATATTATTCCACTCATTTTACACTCGACTTTTACTTTCTTGAAACATTTATAAAGTTTGTTGTCATTTTGTGTGCAAATCCTAGTCTGTTCAGATTTAGTATTGTTATAAATGTTTTAAAAATTTTAACAATTAATTTGTTAAAGTTTTTCAATGCATATTTTCATATAACCACTTAAATTTGGTTATGTCATGAAAGGTACCTGGGCTCCCAACACCAATAGAAAATATGATTCTCCGTTACGTCAAAGCTAAAGCTGACTGGTGGACTAACACAGCCCATTACAACAGAGAGAGGATCAGGAGAGGAGCCACTGTGGACAAAACTGTGTGTAAGAAAAACTTGGGACGTCTTACCAGATTGTATCTGAAGGTAACTAATCATTTCTTATATTTAAAGCATTTTAACATTTGATTAGTTAAGATGTTATTTTATGGTGTTACGTTTGAAAAAACAATTCTGGAGCTTGCTAACAGTTACATTTTTTTTTTGTATCAAGGCTGAGCAAGAAAGACAACACAATTACTTGAAAGATGGACCATACATTACTGCTGAAGAGGCTGTTGCTATTTACACAACTATGGTTCACTGGCTAGAAAGCAGAAGATTCTCACCTATCCCATTCCCTCCTCTGTCATACAAACATGACACCAAGCTGCTCATCTTAGCTTTAGAAAGACTGAAAGAAGCCTACAGGTACTCTTGAGTAAAATATATTTTAATAGTTTTTTCTGTATTAATAATTTAGAATTTTTATTTCAATCACTTAACTATAAAATTTAAAAATGTTATTACTTTTAATTCTATTTTAGTGTGAAAAGTAGATTGAATCAGTCCCAGAGAGAGGAATTAGGTCTGATTGAACAAGCTTTTGATAACCCCCATGAAGCTTTGTCAAGAATTAAACGTCACCTGCTCACTCAAAGAGCTTTTAAAGAGGTAAGCAACCTAAGTTGTAGATGTAATATTTTAAAGTTAAAATAAATAGGATGTGAACTAATGTGAGTGAGTGCATTTTCAGGTTGGCATTGAGTTCATGGACTTGTACAGCCATTTAATCCCTGTTTATGATGTTGAACCACTGGAGAAGATAACTGATGCATACCTTGATCAGTACCTATGGTATGAAGCTGACAAGCGCAGACTATTCCCACCATGGATCAAGCCCTCAGACTCTGAACCTCCTCCATTGTTGACTTACAAATGGTGTCAAGGTACCTTAATGTTCTACTTATTGCTTCTTACCTCTAATCATTTTAAGTAAAATATACATTAAGCTAAGAAGTTTTAATATACTTTTTAGTCTGTTTTAACATCTGTTAATTGCTTTACTATATTCAATATAAAGGCATCAATAACCTACAAGATGTTTGGGAAACTGGTGAAGGAGAATGCAATGTTATGATGGAATCAAGCTTTGTAAAGATGTATGAAAAAATTGATTTGACCCTGCTGAACAGGTTGTTGCGTCTCATTGTGGATCACAACATTGCTGATTACATGACTGCCAAAAACAATGTGGTCATTAACTACAAAGTAAGATTTTGTTTGAAATTTATTTTTGTTGCAATTTTTTCCTATATAGTTTAAATTTTTTTATTCATTATTCAATTTCAATTATTCCAAACTAATACATAGTGTGTTTCAATAGACTGTTTAAAACTTTCTATTTAGGACATGAACCACACCAACTCCTATGGTATCATCAGGGGTTTGCAGTTTGCATCTTTCATTGTTCAGTACTATGGCCTGGTCTTAGACCTTCTAGTCCTTGGCCTCCACAGAGCCAGTGAGATGGCAGGACCACCTCAGTTACCTAATGACTTCCTCACATTCCAGGTTAGTTCTTGTCTTAGAAACTCAGACTAGTTTGGCCCTAATATTGTCACACTTGTCTCAGGACCATTTTTTTAAAAAACTATTTCAGAATGTTGTGACCGAACAAGCTCATCCAATCAGACTATACTCTCGTTACATCGATAGAATTCACATTTTCTTCAGGTTGATTATTTTTATTTCTAATTATATTTAATAGGAAATTATGTCAGAAGTTAAAACATAGTTTTTGAAGTAAACATGTTAAGCTAACACAGAGGAGTTATTATTGTTTTTTTTTAATTCCAGATTTTCAGCTGAAGAGGCTCGTGATTTAATTCAGCGTTACTTGACAGAGCATCCAGATCCTAACAATGAAAACATTGTTGGCTACAACAACAAAAAGTGTTGGCCCAGAGATTCCCGCATGAGACTCATGAAGCATGATGTCAACTTGTGAGTTTTATTTATGGAATTTATCCAGATACTATTGGCATCATTTCAGCAAGTAGTGTTTTTTAAGTGGTACTCGCTATTTTCTGAAAACAAAATTATTGTAATTACAGGGGGCGTGCTGTTTTTTGGGACATAAAGAATCGTCTTCCAAGGTCTGTGACCACTATTCAGTGGGATGCAAGCTTTGTGTCAGTTTACAGCAAAGACAACCCCAATTTGTTGTTCAACATGTGTGGCTTTGAATGTCGTATCCTTCCTAAGTGCAGAACTCAGCATGAGGAGTTCACACACAAAGATGGGGTCTGGAATTTACAGAATGAGGTTTTACATTTTTCACTTGTTCATTTGATAAATCGTACTTTTCATCTTATTTTAACAGTCATGTTACATTCACTTAGTAATCTCATAAAACAAAGTAAGCATTTGTGATATATTTTAGGTAACAAAAGAGAGAACAGCTCAGTGCTTTCTGAGAGTAGACGAAGATTCTATGGGTAAATTCCACAACAGAGTTAGGCAAATTCTCATGGCTTCAGGCTCTACAACTTTTACAAAGGTAAACATGAAAAATTTGGTGTTAAAATGGATGTTCTGTTAAGAAATTTATTGTCTTGGTCAATTTGTTGCTCTTTTTGTTGGTGTAATAAATGTATGGTCAATAAAGAACATCCTTCTCAAATATTTGATCAGATTGTGAACAAATGGAACACTGCATTGATTGGACTGATGACCTACTTCAGGGAAGCTGTGGTCAACACACAGGAGTTGTTAGATCTACTGGTCAAGTGTGAAAACAAGATCCAGACCCGTATCAAGATTGGCCTCAACTCAAAAATGCCAAGTCGTTTTCCTCCTGTTGTCTTCTACACTCCAAAGGAGCTAGGAGGTTTGGGCATGTTGTCCATGGGCCATGTGTTGATTCCTCAGTCTGATTTGAGATGGTCAAAACAGACAGATGTTGGAATCACCCATTTCTTGTCTGGTATGTCTCATGATGAGGACCAGCTCATTCCTAATCTCTACAGGTAATAACAACTGCTCAATTATCATTATACTAGTGTATTTTGTCATTTAAAACTGTGTTTTACTGTTAGTAATTTACATGTATTGATTGTAATTACTATTTTAACAGATACATCATGCCATGGGAGAGTGAGTTTATTGATTCACAGAGAGTATGGGCAGAGTATGCATTGAAGAGGCATGAAGCTAATGCCCAGAATCGACGTTTGACTTTAGAAGATTTGGAAGACAGCTGGGACCGTGGTATCCCACGTATCAATACTCTTTTCCAGAAAGACAAACAGACCCTAGCTTATGACAAGGGTTGGAGAGTCAGGACAGATTTTAAACAATACCAGGTAATTTTACAATTAAGTAATGTTAGTTATTTATAAATCAACTGATACACTTAATTAAAAGTTAGTGTTTTACACTATGAAGATAGATACTGCATGATACATTTTTGAAAATAAAGAAGCATACCAAAATGAGGAATAGAAAATATATTAACACTGTAATTGAGCCAAGTGTTCCAATGTAAAACTTGTGGCAATAATTATATTACAAATTGCCAATTTCTAAACTTTACAGGTGCTGAAACAAAATCCTTTCTGGTGGACTCATCAGCGTCATGACGGAAAGCTCTGGAACTTGAACAACTACAGGACAGACATGATTCAAGCTCTTGGGGGTGTGGAGGGTATTCTAGAACATACACTCTTTAAGGGCACCTACTTCCCTACATGGGAGGGTCTTTTCTGGTGTGTATATATTTATACTTAATCATCTATCCACATTTTGTCCACGTTGTATTTTTAAACTTACATTAAGAAATTATTTTTTTGTAACAAAGTCTATTTTCCTTAAATTTTTAGGGAAAGAGCCAGCGGTTTTGAAGAGTCCATGAAGTACAAAAAGTTGACAAATGCTCAGAGATCTGGTTTGAATCAAATTCCAAATCGCCGTTTCACACTGTGGTGGTCTCCAACAATCAACAGAGCTAATGTAAGTTAACTTTCAATTTTTATATCTGGATAGGAATGTGTTCATAACATTTGAGACACTCAATAACCTTAATTTTCCCTTTTTTCTACAGGTGTATGTGGGTTTCCAGGTACAACTTGATCTGACTGGTATCTTTATGCACGGAAAGATTCCAACATTAAAGATTTCTCTGATTCAGATCTTTAGGGCTCACTTGTGGCAGAAGATCCATGAGAGCATTGTTATGGATTTATGTCAGGTAGCTATTGTCTTATTGTGATTTTCATTACTCTGTTTGACAATTCCCTCTTTTAGTCTTTTTTTTTTAAAACATGCAGTATGTTGTCAATGGTGCTACAAAATGTTTTATTGTAGGTATTTGATCAAGAACTGGATGCTCTTGAAATAGAAACAGTACAGAAAGAAACAATCCACCCTCGAAAGTCATACAAGATGAACAGTTCTTGTGCCGACATTCAGCTGTTTGCTGCATACAAGTGGAATGTTTCAAAACCATCTTTATTAGCAGACACAAAGTGAGTGATTCTTCATGTTAAAGAAAGCTATATTATTTTAAATTGGTTAATTGGAAACTAATCTATACACCATTTTCTCTCTGTAGAGATGTAATGGATGGAACAACAACACAGAAGTATTGGATTGATGTTCAACTCCGTTGGGGAGACTATGACTCTCATGATGTGGAGAGATATGCCAGAGCCAAATTTTTGGACTACACAACTGATAACATGAGTATCTATCCCTCTCCTACTGGTCTACTTATTGCTGTAGATCTGGCTTATAATTTACACAGGTAAAAACTGCTTGCTCAGAACATTTTTTAACAATGTCTAATAAAAATGTGTTTGCTTTCTTTTAAAAAAATTCTTTGTCTGATTGGTAATGGTGTTGTTCTCTTACTTTTAGTGCTTATGGAAACTGGTTTCCTGGAGCCAAACCTTTGATTCAGCAAGCCATGGCTAAAATCATGAAAGCTAATCCAGCTTTGTATGTCTTGAGAGAACGTATCCGTAAGGGACTTCAGCTGTATTCCTCTGAACCAACTGAACCTTACCTCAGCTCTCAGAACTATGGTGAACTTTTCTCTAACCAAATCATTTGGTTTGTTGATGACACTAATGTGTACAGAGTCACGATTCATAAGGTACACCCTTTGTTTATTTACTACAAACATAATGAATCATGTTACCCAATGAAAATATATTTTACAAAAATTTTTTCTTATTCCACAGACTTTTGAAGGCAATTTAACCACCAAGCCAATCAATGGGGCCATCTTTATTTTCAATCCTCGCACTGGTCAACTTTTCCTTAAGATCATTCACACATCTGTATGGGCAGGCCAGAAACGTTTAGGTCAGCTTGCCAAGTGGAAGACAGCCGAAGAGGTTGCAGCCTTGATTAGGTCTCTGCCTGTTGAAGAGCAGCCTAAACAAATTATTGTAACACGCAAGGGCATGTTGGATCCTCTTGAGGTGAGGTTTTTCTGGACTGAAAATCAGAAAGTGTAAATTTTATAAATATAAATGTAACATGGTTTCAACTATTTCTTTGTACATTTCCAGGTTCACTTGCTTGATTTCCCCAACATTGTCATCAAAGGCAGTGAACTCCAGTTGCCATTCCAGGCTTGTCTCAAAGTTGAGAAATTTGGTGACCTGATCTTGAAAGCCACTGAGCCACAGATGGTTTTGTTTAACCTTTATGATGACTGGCTGAAAACCATCTCATCCTACACTGTAATACTTTATTTCAAGATTGTTAATTTATACATTTTATATCATTATCAGAATTAAAAATTGATTTTAAAAGTTTGTTATAAAACATGCTAAATGTTTTTAATATTTTAGGCCTTCTCACGTCTGATCTTGATATTGAGAGCTCTTCATGTCAACAATGACAAGACAAAGATACTTCTAAAGCCAGATAAAACCACTCTAACAGAAGCACATCACATCTGGCCTACACTATCTGATGAGGAATGGATGAAGATTGAAGTACAGCTTAAAGATTTGATTCTTGCTGATTATGGCAAGAAGAACAAGTAAGAAACACTTTTGTTTATTAATTTGTTTATTTTTTACATGTATATTGAGTTACTTCAATTTCTAGTTATTAAATTGAGTTAGTTGGAAAACTGCTTAACTTGAAGTTAAATAACTATCTTATTGTTTTAGTGTGAATGTGAGCTCACTAACCCAATCTGAGACCCGTGACATCATTCTTGGTATGGAGATCTCAGCCCCAAGTGCCCAGAGACAGCAAATTGCTGAAATTGAGAAACAGACTAAAGAACAATCTCAGATGACAGCAACCACCACACGCACTGTCAACAAACATGGTGATGAGATTATCACCACCACCACATCCAACCATGAAACTGCTACCTTCTCATCCAAGACAGAATGGCGTGTTAGGGCCATCTCTGCCACTAATTTGCATCTGCGCACAAATCACATTTATGTCAGCTCAGATGACATCAAAGAAACAGGTTACACTTACATCCTGCCCAAGAATGTTCTCAAGAAGTTTATTATAATCTCTGATCTCAGAGCTCAAGTAAGTTTTTATTTACTATCAAGGTGGAATCTAAAATCTAATTTGCAAAAACAAGTAAAAGTGCAATCTAAATTGATTTGTTGTGTTTAGATGTAGCTATTTTATTGAAACCTATTTCAGATTGCTGGCTACTTGTATGGGGTCAGTCCACCAGATAACCCTCAAGTGAAAGAAATCAGATGTATTGTAATGCCTCCACAGTGGGGAACCCATCAGACTGTTCACCTACCTAATCTCTCACCATCTCATGAATATCTCAATGTGAGTTGGTCACTAGTGCCATATTATATATTTATGTTTATAAATACATCCGATATATTTTTTAAATTTTGAAAGGTGCATATTTTTAGTGTTATTTATTTTTAACCTAGGAAATGGAACCACTTGGCTGGATCCACACACAGCCCAATGAGTTGCCACAGTTAGCACCACAAGACATCACAACTCATGCTAAAATTATGGCAGACAACCCCTCATGGGATGGAGAAAAGACTGTAGTCATCACTTGCAGGTAACAGTTTAAAGGCTTTTTAAAACTATTTTTTGGCTTTGATGGTATCCAAACATGTGAATCAACTTTGACAGTTATAATCACAACTTTGTCTCACAACTTTTTCTCCTTTGTTCTTAATCAAACAAACCAACATTCTTATGTAACAGTGTTGTTTGCCAAATGGCCTGTTGAATCAAATTTCAGCCTGGTTTTCTTTCTGGGTGTGCTACAAACATGTACTAGGCAGTAGTTGTTTTGATTTTGGAATTTTCTAGATGGGTGGCTGTCCCCTGCTTACTAGCCTATACTGTTGTCCTGGGGTACAGGAGCTGAACTTCATAATAAGCAGTCAGCTCGCCTTGTCTGAAAGCCTCAAATTCATGTTCCACATAACCCAAAGACAATGATGTGCCTCATTTTTTGCATGATTGGTAGCCTTAATGCTGTCTTGTATGTAGTTCTCCCCATGACTGAAAGCCTTATTGCTGACCTTTGCATGATTCTCTCCACAGTTTTACTCCAGGCTCATGTTCACTGACAGCCTACAAATTAACACCCAGTGGTTATGAATGGGGAAGACAAAACAAAGACACTGGTAACAACCCTAAGGGTTATCTCCCCTCCCATTATGAACGTGTGCAGATGCTGTTGTCTGACAGATTCTTGGCATTTTTCATGGTGCCTGCTCAGAACTCTTGGAATTACAATTTCATGGGTAAGTTTATTTTTAGTAGCATGTGTAATCTAATTGGCCTAAGTTTGTCAAACTTATTTTACATCAAATAGTGACAAGTGAAAGCAAAGTTTACTTCTTAAAACTATAAATTGTTTTGATGTTCTTGTGATCTACAACTGGTGATTGTGTAGGTAATGATTGTAATTTTGTGAGTACACTGTTGATGGGGTATGTCTTCTGATTGGCAGGTGTTCGTCATGATCCTAACATGAAGTATGAGCTTCAGCTCTCCAACCCCAAGGAGTTTTACCATGAGATTCATCGTCCATCTCATTTCCTGTTCTTCAGCCAGATGGAGGAGCATGAACAGGCAGGGGCTGACAGGGAAGATTTGTATGCTTAATTTTTGTATGATTATAAGAGTATTCCGGGCTAGAACTAAACAGAACTTACATTATCATAATGTCTGTTGGGTTAAAGCTTAAAAGTTTTTTTAAAATGTCTTAAACTTCAGATTTTAAAAAGCTTAGTTCTAAACTGATTAGCAATCTTTGTTGAATATGTAATTTTTGCTGCATCTTTTGCTGTACATAAAAATCATTATTTTTATTATAACATGTTTTTAGTACCAATAAAATAATTTGTGTATTTAATGTTTTAATTTTAACTTGAAATACTTGTGAGACACATTTACAATTTTCTAAAAATTTCTTGGAAACATTTTCTTAGCTTATTTTGTGTACATACTATAATAAAATAGCATCTTGTATAGTTGTTTAAGTAAGTTAATGACTAAGGAGTTTGTTTTCTGTTAGCTAATTGAGGTGTCAACATGCTTTTTGATAATGTTATCACTTTAAAAAAAAGTAGAATATGATTGTGTTATTCACTAAGTAATGTTTATTATTTCTTTAAGAATGTTAAAACTATTCTTGTTGATGAACTAAGAATAAAAAAACATGTAACAACAGATTGTTTTGATTTTTCTATTAACATTGCATTTTTAGAAAATTAGAGCTATCTCTAATGTCTGACAACATCTGATCTCTTAAAAAAAAAACAATGCTCTCTGTTAATGAGTTCCCAAAGCACTGTTCACACAAGAAAAATAAGATTTAAGCACATCAAGATCTAGTGCTGAAATGATACTAATTCACTCAATGAATGTTTTCAGTGATAAAGTTTATAAAATTCTTCTGGTCATTCCCATAATGATACTGTACTAAAAATAGAATATTATTATTACCTTTGGGAATTCACCTGAAACTCGAAACTTACCTGTTGATGGTAAGCACTGATGGGACAGAATTACCTACCTTGGAATTTCTAAAAACCAGTGAACTGTAGAAAATGAAGGAAATAGAAGTACATTATTTAAGTATTCCCCTCCCCCTCCGGCAATGCACTTATAACTAGTTGTAAATAATGATGGATCTTAAAAAAAAAATTTGAAATTATAGGACTTGCCGATCTGTACATCTTGCTCTCTCAGTCTTTAACAAGCAACGTGCCTATGTGTGTTCTGGTGGTTATACATATTTTTCACGTGATGTAGTCCCCCTGAGTGGCTCATCGTTTCCCACATTTATGATCCATGTAGGCCTGCATTTGTGTGCTTTTTGTTTATGTTCTTTTCTTTTTAATTGTTCTATTCTTACTTAAACCCCTCCCATCTTTTAAAGGACACTGGTTGTTGTCAATATATTTTCTATATGCAGTGGATGTACCACCACCACCACCATCCGGGCGAGATGCCTGAAGCGCCCCACCCCCCCACCCCCTCCGGGCCAATCCAATCTAACAGCATAGAAGAATACTTTGAACCATTCAAATAGCTTATCACTCGTGACAACGTAGGCCCTACATCACTGGTCATCTGCAGGAAAAAATCTACATACGGTCTGGTCTGTTGGCGATTTCCTCTTCATTTACCCCCCCCCCCCACCCCACCCCACCCCACCCAGGGCTTCCACGCGCACCACCAACCGCTGAAGACCGTATCTACTAGAATTGTTTGTTCTAGATGTTCTTGTTAGAAAACAAACTGGAGATAAAGACAGGGCATGTCGCCACAATCGTGAGTGTAGTAGGCACATGTTAACTAATCCATATTTGCCATCGGTGAATGACCACTAGTTATTTCGACTTATGATTATATGACGGACTATTTATAATTATTTAATAGGCCTGCTGAATAATAATAATGCCAAAATAAGGCATACATTGTTTTCATTAGGTCTAAAGCTCCACATCAAATTTCAGCTATTTTATATTGGCTTCAGACATTCTATAATTCTTAAACAGAGAGTGACTTACAAGCATTGTAAATTATAATTTTAAAAAATTAATAATGGTGCATTGTTGTTTTGTAAAGGACGCAAATTTGTTTTCACCTACGGAATATATCTGTGTTCGTTCCCTTTACAGCCTTGAACTTTGAGTTCATCCCACACCAGGAGTATTGATTGGCTGGCCCCTTTCTTGTTCACGCTTAGATAACGTGAGACTTGTTAGTAAAGAATAACACTGCTATGGCCGACGGATTGTTATGGCTGTATTCTATTCTGGTGATAAAGTAAATGGTTACAATTTGTGAATGTTTGTAATGGCAGTTGACGATATGAGGCCACTAAATTCGAAAAACAGAATGGTCGACGTAAAAGAAGAAAGGGGCCCGAACAATGAAAGTTCGAAGAGTACAATTCATAGTGGACACTTTATGGTCAGTCGTGTGCATGATGTAAACAACGAAGACGACGATGAAGAGGAAATTCAGTCGCCGTTTATTGATGATGTGAAAGGTTTTGATTTCTTGTCAGCAAACAGGGAAATATCTAAAACATACAACTTTGGAAATGCCAATAACATAGCAACTGTATCTATTGATGCATCATTGACAAAACTTTTTGAGTGTATGACACTTGCTTACAGGTGAGGACTGAGAATTTTTTTTTAGTCTAGAATCTAGATCTAGCATTGCATTAGCCATCATTCATAGATCTAGAGTCTAGATCTAAATCTAGAAATCTATAATCTAGCTTTTATAAAACATTACGAGTTTATAGTAAATATAGTCTAAAATATTTCTTACTATTGTTCAATTGTGTAATCTACTGTTTAGCGAAATCACATGCCACTAAGACAGTGACTTACTGTTGCACATGGCAAGGGACTTCCCTAAGCTAAAAACAAAAAAGGTCAAGAAAGACAATAAATAAAAGCAGATCTAGATTCTAGATCTAGATCTAGATCTAGTACATTCTAGCTTTGAGGTAGAACATAACTTTTTGTGTTATTATTTGGAAAAAAGAGGGCTCTATGTTGGAAATAAAGCTTAATTTTTAAAATAATTAGATTCTAGATCAGCTGTTACTGCAGAAAATATTTGGGTTGGTTGATCTTGACTTGGGGAGGGGCATGAAAATAGTTTTGTGACATTCATAATGAATCATTAGGACTATTATAGCATAAAAACTTTCAATTGAATTTAAAAATTAGGCCTACTAAAAATAAAACTAATAAGACATTTTTAAATTCACAGATATATTGAATATAGGCCTATAGTGTAGGCTATAGAATAGACCTATTCATTACAACCAATTTTTCTAGTAAAAGTCTAGTTATATATTACACAAAGCTGTATTTATGTTGTAAGCAATTAGCAGCTTTTATCTCATATTTATTAAATAGTCATAGATTGGAATGACACTTAAACACCAATTCTTGCAAAAACGTGTAACCTAACCCTTTAGAATATTATGGTAAAAAAATGCATGCAGTTATTTGAATAACTAAGTGCAGATATTTTCATTTGCTTAACGAACCAAACAAGTATTAAAACATGAACTAACATTATTTTTAAAATGTTTTTTCCCAACTTGTAACATAAGAACTAAAATGTAATGTCAGTGTTATATCTATGCAAATATTTTTTAGTGCAAAATAATTAAGTAAATTGCTCATTACTAAAAAAAAAACAAGGCTACCAACCTTTCTTACACTCTATACCTAATCTTAAATAATATAACAACTAGAAAATAAAAGGGGAGATAGTGTGGTAATACATGAACATGTTGTTATTCATTGTGACTTTATCTATAAAAGCCACCCGCACTATGCCATGTCTATTAATTTTTTATGGCAGCTTTAACTAAAGTAGTGAAGAAAAAAGTGATAGCGTTCATGTAGGATTTTTATTCTTGTATATTTTATACTCTAAATCTTTTAAAATTGTTGGTGATTTTTTGGGTGTCCTTTAATTAAAAATGTTATACCTTGTATTAAACTTGTTCTGCTGTGTCATATATAATTATCTTCTCATCAACACCCAAGAAGATAAAAAAAGGGCAGCACTAAAATATTCCATAAAGAAGTTTACTGATAGAGCTATAATTCAGGCTTTTGAGGGTTCTTTTCCAGTGTTCTATTCCAGTGTTAGCACTAGATCTATATAGTTGAAGCTAATCTGTTTGGTAGGCCTATTGCTAGAATTATTATTTGTCATTAAAGTAATTAGTGTAATATACTAAATTGATACGCTTTTGTTCTTCGGTTAGTTATGTTTGGTTAGTGGCTGTCCATAAATGATGTCAAATTATCATATTCTTTCTCTACCCTTCCACTCCATTTCATCATTAAATAAGCCAGTTGACCTCACCCATTCAAATATAGGACATCTAAGCTCATGTAACCCTTAATTTAACAACATCTTTCTTCCTACCTCCCATGGATTAATAGAATCTTAAAAACTGAGTAGAAAAGAAAATGATTTAGGATAGATTTGATGCTGGCCTATCTTTGTGACCTACATTTTGTGCTTAGCTTCTGTAAGTGATGTTAATCTTAAATGTTTGACCCTCTGTTATCACAGTAACCTATTTTATGTATACTGAACCTGTTGCTGGCTAGCTGCTTTCTTACATGTTCACTGTCTTGCAGAGATTTGTTTTAACTCTTTTTCTAGAGAAATACTTTAAATGCCCCAACTTTAAAAAAAAGTTCAAAAACTTAATTTTGTTGTTAAGTACAGCATTTGTTTGAATAGTATACTACTTATTATTTGTTTCTCTCTTTTTATTTTTTTCAGAAAAAAAAAACGTTATATTTTTCCCCATAACATTTGAGAGCTCTTTTAAGAAATTTAAAAAAAAAAATTACAAAAAAAAAAAGAATTTTAACTATGAATGGTGTTGAAATCTTTAATTTGAGCATTTCCATTTTATTTAGTCAGTATATGATTGTTTTACTTTTAAAGTTGAGCACAATACTGTACAAATATCTTAGGATAGTAACAGAAGTTTACAATTTCCCAAGGCTAGAAGAATACTTTTGCTTAAGAGACCTTATTTTCTTAAAGTGTAAAATCCTTATTCGTTATGATAAACCAATTTTTAAAATGTGTATGATTAGGGTGTGAAACTCCATTACTAAAGTGTAGCTTGTGATTCCAATCTAATTTGACAACCCTAGTCTTTAGCATGTCTTCATGAATAGTAGAGTTACAGTTTTTGTCATTCCATGGTCTAGATTTCTATTTATAGCCAGTGTTGTTTAGCCTTTTATTTACAGCTATTGAATAGATTGCTTTAGAATAACCTGTTTTACTGACTAAGTTAATGGATGTTTTACAAAAAAATATCATTGGACTTATCCACCACCTTCCACAACCAAACTTGTGGGAATAAATAAACTAAAATGCATACATCTAGGCTACCTATTTTAAACAGTTGAGTGAATATACAATTATGTTACTTTAATCTAACAGTGGCAAAATTACCTCACCAAGATGGAAGCAGTTCCGTGGCTTACATGTCTCACAGAAGCAGCGCATACGACTCAACAATCTCATTTGGAGAGAGTGGCATATGCAATGTAAGATAGGCGACATAAAGCATACATTTCAGAAAACTTTTGAATCTGTTTCTAAGCACATGAAGCTGCTGTAATTATTTTACTCTTCCCATTAAACATAACTCCACTTATGATTCCACAAAGAAGTAATTTCATTCATACATTTTTGATGTTCCGAAGAGTTAAGTCTGTGTGGGTTAAAAAGTTCGGACAAAAATTAATGCAAATGATTTTGTTTTGCAGACATTTACCAAAAGGCCCCCATGGTCTGTCAGTTTGCTTGTCCATTGTCAGATGACGTCCATTCAAAGCCAGAGGTGAGTATAATGACTTTATTGCTGAGTCTAGTTGCTTGATTAGAGGCTCATATGGTGACATCTGGTATTTAAATTAAAGGAATCAGAAGGGTCTAGGAGTAAAGTTGAGCTTCTTATTCAGACGTTTGGAATTTGTACCAGTCTGAAGGGTTTAGCTTGACTATTGGGTTTTTTAATATAGTCTTTGTGTATGTCTAGCAAGTTGATTTAAATGGGCTTGTTCATATCCGTTGTCAATATGCATCTGTCCAGGCACACAGCTTAATAAATATATATATCAGTTAGCTCTACTTGAGGTGTGAGGTACCTGCCATTTTGTGTGCTTTTAATCACACGCCTATTTTATTTGTTTGCAGGCTGTTGTGTTGGAAGGGAAATACTGGAAACGAAGGCTGGACACAGTAACTGCTGAGTATAAGAAATGGCGGCGCTACTACAAAGAGCGCATCAGGCAACAACAGGGTGTGAACTTCCACGACTCTAGCAGATTGAATGAAAATGAACTGCTAGAGAGGGTCAAGGATGTGACCTTCATTACTCACAGCTCTGGTGGCTATGTGTCCAACACGGACCTTAATTTGCTTAAGACTGACATGTCAGATATGGATTTTACAAATGAGCTTTTTGCCAGCCTGAACCAGCCTTTTGCATTTCCAAACTTGAGCCAGCCATTTGCTTTTCCCAATCCCAGAGAACTAAGTAAGTATTTGTGTATTTTAATGCATGCAGAATTGTTTTGTTAAATGATTTAGAATGGCCTATTTTTTAAAAAATACCAGAATTACATTAATTTGCTGAATTTTATTCTATAAGACACATTAATGAAAGCCTTTAATGACAGCCCTCTCCCCTCCATCAGTTGCCACTTGTTAAACTTCAGCTAATAGCAGCATCATGTATGTCCCTTTCAGTGTTTTCAGTTTTAAAATTATTTATGTCATGAAACTACAATTTCATGTTCTTAATATCATTATGGAATATTGTGTGTGTTTGTGTAATCTCCCCATGGTTTCCATTATGTGGTGTTGTTACAGGCTAGAATTACTAATTGCGGAAATCTTAAAGCATGTAGTGCAGGCCTGAACCAGTGTTATGTTATTTTTTATACAGGTCAGCTGGGGTGTGGAGATCTTATTCAACCTGGGCTTGTCCAACTGCAGCCCAACCTGGAGGAGTTTATGGACATTGATACCATGCAAGGTATGATACCTGGCAATTTCGAGTATAGATAAATGTCTGATTTTGCATGTATGTATGTATGTATGTATGTATGGAATACAATTAAAATGTATTTGTTTGGCATTTGTTGTATTTAATATTTGTTTGGCATTTGTTGTATTTAATATTTATATTTATATGCGACCTGTTAATTAGCATTTTGAAGTTGTGTGTTAATTTGTCATGCTTGACAAAAACAGGTGGATATCTGGTTTGATGTTGATTTTTGGGCCTAATTTGTTTAAAAACAGTAACATATTTTTCTCCGCAGAACTCCTCAACTCACGGCTGCCTAATTCCTTTGGTGCTTTTGTATCTGACAGTTCTCTAAATGCTGATGTGTCACAGGTTAGTGCACTGTTGTGTTGGCTATTTTTCATGAAAACTACACTTCATTATTTACATAAAATAAAGATATTTACCCTCAATTTTGATTATTGATGAAACTAGATCTCATATCTTCAATATCAACTTTATTTTTCAGTCCAACATGAACAGCAATGAAATATCCCTGGCGGATTTCTTGAACAACGCATCCATTGTTCCCACCACCAGCTCGCAGAATGACTCCGCCACCATCTTTGGTGGCAGCAACAGCATAAACAATAACTTCTTGACTGGGACTCAAAACATCACTTTCCAAGTGACCTCTGATAATGGACAGTACCATCTTGAACCCAGCACCATTTTTCTGGGGCCAGCCCAGAACTTCAATGTGAACCAGCCATCTTTCACGCTGGTGCAGACAGGAGTGGGTCAGAACATTGGTGGGGGGAGTTCACAGCCCAAGTCTTTCAACACGTCTGCAGACATCCTGACACAGATGCTACAGCAGCGGCCCATGGAAGCCCCCAGAAGACAGCAGACCTCCAGCACAACCTCTCTCACCTCCAGCCATCACCAACATTCATCACCAACATTTCACCAGCCATCACCGTCAGCTTGTAGCCCACTCCTCGTCCAGTCTCTAACGGTGGGCCAAAAGCAGCCTGCCCAGGCTCAAAAACAGCCTCCCCAGGCTCAGAAGCCCTCCCAGTCACCCAGGAAGTCCACAAAAACAAACAATCAGCCGGGGATTAGTGAGGCCGGCAGTGCTAGTGGGGTCATGACTGGGCTGGCCAAGATGGCGGGGTATAACACCAGCAGGAAGAAAGATGGAGTATTTGCTGTACCTGTTGTAAGTATCTCACACATTATTTGCTGCTTTAACTCAGTTGTTATGAGGAGTGAAGAACTTTAGATTGGTCAAGTGACAGTTGTGTGCAGTGTTCTTGAAAAATGTTTATCTACTCTGTTAGGGGAAAGGGTATTGTTTAATAGTTGCTCTAGTTATTACTTTTATATAATATATACTTTTGTGAATGGCTGTGAATATAATATATTGTGTCTAGACTTAAAATTTACAAAATGTTATTCGATAAAAAATTGTCTGAGTGTAAAATAGATGTCAAACTGTCAGCAACATAATAGAATACTGGACCATAAAAATGTGGAAGTAATTAGGATATGAGCAATTAAAATCCTGCTAAACTTTGTAGAGACAGGTCATAAATTCCACAAGCAATTTTCAAGTCTGTCAAATTTTGTATAACAGTAGATGCATACACTCATGTCTGTGTTTGTCACTAGCGCATGTAAACTTCAGTCACACTCAGTGACTTAATTCAAGTCACCAATTTTCTATTCACTTAAGTATAGCTGTATTTTGTCAGGTGAAATAGCCATAATACTTGTATTGTTGTTAATGTGAACATACTTAAGATAAACAAACAGTTGCTGTATTTGTAATTGAAGATCAAACGAATTAGTTAATACATGAATACCTGCATTGTATTGTTGTATACTGGGACTAACAAAAAAACATCAATATCCAATTTAAATTCTAGAGAAGCCCACCATTAAACAAATTCAACTGTACTTACATTGTGTTTTTTTCTCACTAGAAAAAGCCCACCCCTCCCAGGAAGACAAGGAACATTGCACCTGCACCAACTACCTCACCTCCAACCTCCACAGTGTCTATGCAACAACAATCTTACCTGGCTGAGCTGTTGAAAAATGGTAATGTTTTATTGTGTTTACCTCAGCAAATATAATGAAAGATTTAACAATTTGATAAAACCATGCCTAGTCTTTACAAGATCATTATTGGTCAACTGCTGTACTGTTTTATTCTCACTGTACAAAAACAATTGTAATAAGGTGTAATTAAAAAGTTAAAGATAAGCGTAAATATTTATCAGCCCAAACCCCCACATCCTAATTTTGCTCTTGCCCAAAAGCATGTTAAGCCAAGGATTCCTTTTACAGTCAAAAAGTATAAATGACATAAGTTTGTTACTGTTTATAAATGTTATATCAGAAGCTGGTTACATTTTGTATTAACTTATTGATTTCAGAATGTGTCCCCTATTTGACTGCTGGCCTTGTATCCTGGCATGGTGTAACTAACATTGATCAAATACTTGTTTATCTCCTAGTGCTATCAGACAGGGCCACTGCATGTCTCTAATGTAGATCACCTTTTATTCCCACACTATCCAGGCACATATCCTGGTGCACTGATCAATGTGAAGAAGGAGCCTCAGTTAATCCAGCCTCAGATCACGACCACCACCAACCTGTACCAGCCCATGAGGCATAACTCTAACTTACTCCAGCACATCTCTTCTTCTAACATGGTCAGCCTTGCACCTGGAAATCAGATTCAGGCAACTTTGCCATTGGTGGCGGCCAACACGGTCCCAACTATTGATGTTTCCTCGGTAGGTGCAAGATTTTTTTCTCAGCATTTTTCACTGGTTGGAATGTGAAGAGGCAAGCCAACAAGAATAATTTACAGAAACAGTTTACTAGAACACTGTATGAAGCAATGTGGAATAAGGATTCTTTTAGTATTATTCTGATTATTTTGGTAAAACATTTTACCAGCAATATTTTAAAATTTAACTTAAAATGAATTTTTTTTTTAACATCTTCTGGGGAAACTTATTTTCCAATACAAGAAATAAAATTTAAAGGGCCTATTGAGCTTGTGATTTTCTTGTTACCTTACCTAACCCTTTCCCCATAAATTATAGGTAATTAAAATTTAGCTACCCCCTAACTGTTACCCCACCAAATCAACATGGCATTTTGCTTTGTGTTAATCTGATTTCCTATGTCGGAGATTGTGGTAACTCAAACTGTTGCTGTTTTGGCCAGCCTTTTTTTTTTACCTCAAAATATTTGTATTAAATATTAGTTGTTTATAAAGATGATTCCTCCACCTAGATCACAAGCCAAGCCTTGAACGATGTGAACATTACATTCAGTGGTTCACTCATGAACATCTCTACCCCTGTTCTGAAAACTTCAAGTGAACTACCCCAGGACCAAGACACAGAAGGTAGGAAGTCAGTCCACAAAGTTTGGTCATAGCAACATTAGTGAAACTCATAATGGAACTTTCTTCCTTAATGTTTTGTATGTTGTTAACCAATAAACATTCTTGTTGCATTCTCCAGTGCATTCAGTCAACTTGTTACAAGATAACCCGAGTCCACTGGCTGTGAAAAGATCACCATCTCCAGCCCTGCAGATGGACACCAGCAGTCTTATGGACCCCGTCTCACCCTACTCCTCCATGCCTCTCTCCCCCACAGGGATGGTGAGTTGATTATATAATCTGGCCACATGTTTTAACGGGCCACACGCCAAAAGCTTGGGTCATGATTATTAGAATAATTGTAGGACATTTGTTCTTGCTTAATTCTACTTTTAAAATTTTTACCTTGGATTAAAAAAATGAAAATAATTGCCCAGGATGATCCAGAATCTCCAGGATCTGAATCTGGGTTTCCTAAGGACAACAGAAGAGTTGCGCACCTCTCAGCAGAACAGAAGCGCAGGTGCAATCTTAAGGTGAGTCCTTTAATGTAGTCTTGTCTTGGCTAAACCTAGTAGTTCTGGCTTATGATTCAACTGACTGAGGGTTTTTCTATTCGTGATTGTTTGTTTTAAAAATGCAGTTTAACCCCTTATTTAGTTTAAGAAATCTTTTAACCCTTTATTTAGTTTGTTTTAAAAATATTTAACCCTTTATCTCCCAGACTGGTTTTGACATGCTCCAGCACCTTGTCCCTTCATTAGCACAGAACCCCAAAGTCAGCAAGGCAACCATGCTTCAGAAAAGTGAGTTACTGTCTTATACTTACCTAACTTAAAGATATTTTAGAATTAAAACTGTTTCTACATGTCTGTTAATTGGTATTCTTTAGTCTTTACTGTTAAAACCTTTTGGCCATGAAGTTTATATTTACTTGCTAGTTATTGAATTAAAGGAAAAAGGTTTCTATAAAAATGTATTAATTTTGAACTGTTAAAAGTATTTTCTAAACCTAATCAGTTTTCAAGAATATTAAAGTAAAACAAAATTAATAAGGAGTGTTTTTATATATATATATTTTAAATTCCACAAAGCATATATTTTATTAACCAGCCAAGAAATATAAAATAAAATATCTTTAATCAACAGCCGCTGAGTTTTGTAAAAAGCTGAAAGCAGAAAGAATTCAGATGCAGAAGGAGGCAGCCATTTTGAAAAAGGAGATAGATTCCCTGAACATCGCCATCAGCAACGTCCAGTCTCAGCTCCCTGAGACAGGGGTGCCAGTGACCAGACAGAGGAAGGACCAGATGAGGGAGATGTTTGACGAGTACGTCCGCATTAGGACTACTGACAACTGGAAGTTTTGGATTGTATCCTTGGACTTGTCATTTTTTTGTCATCTGTCAATTTTTTTATTTAGTTTTATTCAGATCTCGATGTAAAGTTGAATGTGGAATGGTATCGGTTAAAGGTATAAAAAAATTATTTTCTTTTTGTGCCAGATTTGGTTTGAATGTGTTTTTCTATTATGTGCCAGATTTACATCATAATCATTTATACACTTTGTTGTTCTTGCACCAAATTTTTTTCTTAACACAAGTCTCAGTTTTCTGTGATCATGAACTCTCTGTATGATTCCTATTGCAACACTGTGTCCACCGCCAGCTTGCAGGATTTGTATCGGACATCTCTCACCTGGCTGGACCAGTCCTGCTCACTGGTTACCCTTAGACCGAGTGAGTACAATCAGATTTTGATACAATTTCTATCAAGCTTCAACTGTCTGGGGAGTTTGTTAGTGCACATATAAATGTGACTTTGTGAGCGTAGTTAACTAGATGAGCTTTAGATTGGCCCAGTCCACACAGCTCTGATGGGTACCAGCCCGGAAAATAAAGGCAGCTGGGCGTAATGCTAACTGCACTGTCCCTTTATAAATTGAGTTTATAGATACTGATGAAATCTACTTCACCTGCTTTTTCTAAGATGGTACTTACTTTTTTGCGGCTTATTACAATGTACATTAACATGGTAAATGGTTTGACCTGGAAAAACAACAGAGTTATCTCTCTTTAAAGGTTTATTGCTTTTTAAGTTTGAACTTGTTTACATCCACAGATGTGCTGAATGCCCTGCGTAAGCTGAGCACTACCACCAGTATTCTGACGGAGCCCCACAAAGTCAAGGACCAAGCTTTACAGGCGGTGTCGAAACAAGCCAAGAGGTACAGCAGTAACAACATGATGAACAAATAGCATTGGCTTGTTTAGGCTTTTCACATTTGCTAACCAAGTATTTGAGTGAGGTTAGAATCTGATGTACTTGTTGATCAAGGCGGTTTCACTTGTAGCATAATATAATTCTGTTGTTGGTTTGCTAAACAAGTCTTGCATAAAATCAGCTGATCATTATAATAGCCAAAGCAATATCCAGTGTAATACATGTGTGTGGTTCTATAGGGATTGGTGATGTAGGCCAGAGTTCATGGGTCAAAGTGCATGGTTCGCTATGATGATAGGGATGTAGATACTGCTGTATTGTTTATGTACTTTAGTTAGGTGTCACACTTGGACAGAGCATGTTGACAGAGAGGTGTGAGAGAGTTTATACCTGCCACTAACTCACCACCTGTCACAATCACAGCTGTGTTGATGGGGTTCTGGGGGTTGTTTTTTCTTTTACTTTTTGTCTGGTCGGTAGAAACTCCGTGTACACAGTTTTTGTGTGGCAAGTAGAAACTTGTAGAATACACAATTTGTGTAGCTGATACTTAAAAATTAACTGCATACACAATTTTTGTGTACATGTAGACTTTGGAAAATAATTGTACACAAGATTTTTGTGTGAGCAGTAGAAACTACCCACAATTTTTGTGTGGCTATAGATGAGAAAAAAAATGTAGATATTAGAAATCTTGACATGCTTATAATTGATTAGTTTTAAAGATAAAGATGTTGATGTTGATGTCATAAATTAATCTCGTCTCTTTGAGATTTCTAATGTATTTGCTCTTGTTGGCAGCTCTAAAGTTTTTAACTGCAATAATTTTTTTTTTATGTTGGCAACCTCCATAAATGATGTTATGTATGAATGAATAGGTTTTAGTGTATGTGGTTATGTATGAAGGACAGTCTTTTGAAAATCTTAACTTATTTCTATCACAAAACAAATAATTTTGGATATAAGTTTTTAGAATGCCAACAGTCACAGGCAAGCATCTTTTGCAGCTTGCAAAAATAGATGTTGCAAAAAAAAAAAAAAAATACCCCATTGTACCCTTCACCAAAATATAAAAATGTGTTGGTAAACAAGTGTGTTCTAAAGTAATTAGAATGATTGTGCTCTAAGATCTATCTGACTTGTATGATGTGTTCTGATGTAGGGGAATAGATGTATCATTGTGTGGAGTGGTATGATGTTGGGGAGTAGATATATCATGCTGACACATCATTTATGGAGTTGTCCTTAGAGCACTGATGATGAAATATCTTGATTATCCACTAATTAACAAAAAATATTTTTTAAAATTGCACCTGTTTATGTCATAATAATAAATGTATGGTCATGGTCAGTATTTTACTTCCACATGTTTGTCTCATGAACTTAGAAGGAATTTAAAAACATGTTTTCAAGGGTACTTATACACTAATGTCAAGTTTTTGACAGTAAATAACAGGTCTCTGTAATAACTGAAGGTTAACTCCCTTTTGCTAGTTTCTGCATTATCTCTAGGTTAATTCCCTTTTGCTAGTTTCTGCAATAGCTTTCGGTTAAGTCCCCTTTGCCAGTTTCTACATAAGCTTTATGTTAACTCCCTTTTAATAGTTTCTACATTATCTCTAGGGCAATTCCCTTTTGCTAGTTTCTGCAATAGCTTTAGGTTAAGTCCCCTTTGTCAGTTTTTCTAATAGTAATAGGTTAATTCCCTCACCCTAGTTTCTGCATTGGCTGTAAGTCAATTATAATATGATCTAATGCCTGTTTTTAAAGATGTAAATACGTATATAATTCAGAGACTTTTTCTCTTCTCTCTTTATTCTATGTAGATGTTGTGAACCAGAAATTGCTTTTAAAGACTTAGTAATTTTCTCATTGTGTGGCTGCAGGTTTTTATTACATTTGGTGTATAATTAGCACTGATGTTTGGTTTTTCTTGAAACTTGTGTATACTATTTCTGTGACACCTAGCTTAGTGGCTATTACATTTACTAGGGTAATGAGTAAATAAGATTTTTTTAGTCAGCTGGTATCATGTGCAGGTTTGCCAGTATCAGGTGCTGGTCAGCCGGTATCATGTGCTGGTTTGCCAGTATCATGTGCTGGTTTGCCAGTATCATGTGCAGCTTAGCTGGTATCATGTGCTGAGACACCATCCTGTATTGTCATCCAGTATAAGTATTGTATATAGCTCTGTCAGTATTGTCTTGAGAAAATAATTCACTGCCTTTTCTTCAACTACTGACCTTTGAAATCTGACCTGGGTCAAGTGGCATAGGGCAGCTGTAAAATTGCCTTTAAGAGATGAATCCATAGCTTCAGCAGAAAACCTTTTTGTGTCCAGATTTTTCCCACCTAGCTTTTCATTGTTGTAAATACCCACCTGATAACTGCTGTCTTGGTCAGCCCAGGATTAGCAGGTCACCTGATTACTGCTGTCTTGGTCAGCCCAGGATTAGCAGGTCACCTGGTTACTGCTGTCTTGGTCAGCCCAGGATTAGCAGGTCACCTAGTTACTGCTGTCTTGGTCAGCCCAGGATTAGCAGGACACCTAGTTACTGCTGTCTTGGTCAGCCCAGGATTAGCAGGTCACCTGGTTACTGCTGTCTTGGTCAGCCCAGGATTAGCAGGTCACCTGGTTACTGCTGTCTTGGTCAGCCCAGGATTAGCAGGCTTAATAGATTAATAGAGTTACTTAAATTTAGAATGAATAATTCAAGATGGTGGCTTAACCTTGTTTAAAAAATATCTATTTTTAAAACAATTTTAACGCATTATCTAAAGATGTCAAAGAATAGCGGTTTTAAAACATCTTATAAAAAAATGTAGACTGGAGAATATTGTGAAGTGTAAATACCTAATCACAAACTTCATTGGACACAAGTTGTGCCTTGATTTCCTTTTTTTTGTCAACAAATGTTGTTTGACACTTGACTTGTCACATTGTCAACCTATTTTATTTTTGCCAACAAATGTTGCTGGACACTTGTCACATTGTCAACCTATTTTATTTTTTTCAACAAATGTTGCTGGACACTTGTCACATTGTCAACTTATTTTATATTTGCCAACAAATGTGCAGGACATATCCATTGGATGATTGTCACAGGCTAAACTACTACTACCTTTTTGTACTTGCTTCAGTGTGTACCAAAGTTTGTGTTCACTCAGGGGAGGTAATTTGTTGGCCTTAATGTTGTATCACTCTATACCATTACCAGAGGGGAATTTTATTGCAGACACACAAGAAATACTTGCCTTCCAGGACTGTTCCATTCTGGCATTTTTTTGGTTGTGAAGTTTATAGTCAGAAGCAAAGTTACTTTTTTTTTATATAGACACCAATAGAGTCCTGTAAATAGTATTACAATGGAGTAGCTTCCCCTTCCATTTTGTCTCATAGTTGCTCAATTTTTTTTAAAAATGTGATTTTAGTTTTGTCTATTTATTTTAGAGTTACTGTCCTGCTTGTATAAAAATGTCACATCATTAGAATAATGTGAGAAAAATGTCAATGTGATTTGAATTATGCCATAAAAAGCTACTGTGAAAGACTGCAGTTGGCAGAAAAATGCTGACATGACAGGTAGGCTTGGTGACCACCATTTAGCCTGGTCATGACGTCAATGGCCTGGTCGCCACTTGGTCTAGTACCTGTTGCCAGCATTTGAAAGTGTGACACTGAATGCAAACATTCTAGCGAATTTCTTTAAAAAATTGATGCTGTTTTAGAATGTTATCAAATTAATTTTAAATGGAATAATATGTTATTGTTTAAAAAAAATGTAATACATCCTTGTTGGTGCTTTGTGTGACTGACTAGAGTCAGTCTGAGATTATGGGATACCTGCTCCCAATTTTCTGTGTTTCTCATTGTTTGCTTTATGCTAGACAGAGTGTGACCGCCACATGAGTTATTTGCCATGCAGATAGTGGACTTGTGAACATTATATACCATTTGTTGATAGTTTCATGCTTTGATGTCAGGTTCTAGTAAAAAATAACTTGACCCCCTTCATGTGTGTTAGGTCAAGTTTTGTGTGGGTGTGTCTTGTGTGCCAGGTTGTTTTAGAATGGGGTTGGATGGTGGAGGTCAAGGGTTGTGACCTATGTTTTATAGTTTGAGGACATAACTGATTGAAGGACAGCAATAGGAGGTAGGACACCATGGGTGTGAGTTGGGACACCTTTGGTTGGAGGTAGGTGACAATGTGTGATTTAGGACACCTTTGTTAGGGCACCATGAGTGGGAAGCAGGACATTTGTGTTTAATGGACACGTAAGGTGTGCAGTAAGACACCATGAGGTAGGACATTGGTTGGGAAAAAAAATTAAATGTAGGATGTTATCACACAAGGAACCCCATGGTTGATGGTGCTAAATTAGGGTTAAAATAAAATGCAAGGTAACTGAATGTCATTATAAAAACATAATCAGTTAATGATCTGCATTTCTAACTAAATAAAATATTACATTGTACAAGCTAATGTAAAGGGACTACTAAACTTAAATATTGTAGTATTACTTAACTTAATAGAAGTATTGGTTTGAGCTAGATTAGACTGTCTTGTGCATGGTACTTGAAATTTCTTGTGTAAATAAATACAAATACTATGACAAAGACTTTGATGTTGTCATACATTTGTGGAAATGTGCTGTTGTAGAAATGTGTGCAAACAGGTGTTTTTAAAAAGATGTTGCTAAAAAAAAGTTGTTCTTGAATGGTGGATTAAGGTCTGGGTAAAAAAGGTAGCTAAATAAGTGGTTGTAGAAAGATGTGCATATTTATGATTCTAGAAAGATGTGCATATTAGTGATTCTAGAAAGATGTGCGTATTTGTGATTCTAGAAAGATGTGGTATGTGCCAATGACCTAACGTGTTTATGTCTGAGGGAACTTGACCCAATGACCTCACGTGTTTATGTTTTCTGGAACTTGACCTGTACTCTAGAGTGAGGTGGAATTTGAACCTGACCTTGAACCAACTTAAATAACTGCGTGTAAATATGACCTCACCGCTCGTACTCTACTGCCGTGTACAACGTCATCGCTCACTGATGGGTGACCTTACTAGGCCTGGTGGCTTGACAAAAACAAATGACGTACACCATTCACTCTGGTTATACTTTAACTTGCATGTCACGGTTCCCTAGTCAGCCCCCTCCCTCACCCCCCTCGTTGGGCTGCAGGCTAGTCTATATAACGTCATAGAGTCAACACCCCCTGATGGGCACCAGGCTAGTCTATATGACGTCACCAGGGGACTGCAGCCAAGGTCCCCCGCTTTTTAGGGGCCCCCAAATTTTCACTTACAAACCATAGTAAATTTCACTTTGTCATTCGCTGTTCATTTAATAAGATAGTTAATTAAGACTGGTAGAGCCTGCCAAATTAAAAAGCGAAAGCATACTCATGTCATGTCATGTTTGCCTGTCGTCCCTACTGGGACATAGGCCGCTGACAAGAGCTTTCCAGACGTCTCTGTCCAGGGCTAGTCTCTCCAACTGTCCCCAGGTGTATCCAATCTTCTTGGTGTCTTCTTCCAGGTCACGTCTCCAGGTCTTTCTTGGTCTGCCTCTCTTCCTCCTGCCTTGTGGATTCCAGGTGAGGGCCTGTCTTGTTATGCTGGATACAGGCTTCCTGAGTGTGTGGCCAATCCATTTCCATTTTCTCTGGAGGATCTCTACTTCCACTGGCAGTTGATTTGTCCGTTGCCATAGAACATCATTTCTGATGGTTTTAGGCCAGCGAATTCGCAGGATCTTTCTGAGACATGCGTTTATAAATGATTGTATTTTCTTCTTATTTATAGCAGTTATTCTCCATGTCTCAGCTCCATAGAGTAAAACAGGTTTTACTAGTGTGTTGAAGATCCGGATTTTTATTCTAAGGGTTAAATCTCCCGAACCCCAAACATTTTTTAGTTGGTTGAAGACTGCTCTTGCCTTACCCGTCCTTATTTTTATGTCTGCTTCTGTCCCACCCTGCTTATCAACAATACTTCCAAGGTAGGTGAATCTATCCACTTCTTCTAGGGCTTCTTCTGCCAGTGTTATAGGGTTGTTGTTTGATGCATTGACTTTGAGAACTTTACTTTTCCCTCTGTGGATGTTCAGACCCAGGCTTGTAGAAAAATTTGCAACCCTGTTGGTTTTATCCTGCATTTGCTGTTGTGTGTGAGAAAGGATACTAACAAACAAAAAATAAACACTTAAAATGGTTTGAAGCTGTCAAATTTAAAACCGGATGTAACATTACGTCCAGCGACACCCCATGAATGAAACGATGACGCGTACGGCAAGTTTAAGTTCCCGGTCAAAGGTCAAATGGGTCCTAATTTTCTAAGAACCTGGGACTTCTCGCCAGACGGCCTACGGTCAGAAAACGTCAATGATTCAACAATCATGTGACGCTTTACTCTAGAATAAGGGAAATTTGCGTCAAGTGTGGTCTGGGGGTTCCCCACCGAGGCAAAGACCCAGGAATAAATACCGCGATGGGGTACAAAGCCGTGTCAGTTCCTGCAAGGCTGGTGTTGAAGTTCTTTGTTCTGGTACTGGGTGCCTTCCATTCAACGTGTTAGCTAATTAGAGCAGCTGGTAGGGGACAAAGGTGAGTACACATTGTTTTCATGACTTAAAACTCGACACAACAAGAACAAAATTTTGTAAGCTTGCAAGTATATCCTACACTCGCTTTGGTTCAGTTGGCTTAGCCGTACATCGCCCAACAGCGTAACTATGTCAATCTACCCCCATTGTGAGGGGTCGCCTGGGACAGAAGAACGGGGCGATGCATGTAACTGTTCTTATAAACTCTTAGTATAGGGATGGTATGAGCTACCAGCATGACAACCAGTTGTTTGAGTTAGGGTGTAGGGATCTTCTTCTTCTTCGTTCTTAATTTTTAGTGTTGGGAGGGATCGAGCCTTATCTGCTAGAAGGTTTGAACTCAACCACGAGCTTTGCCGACTCGACCATGCTTCCATCACAATTAAGGATTACGTGTCGACTGGTTATGCGCCATTGAGGCCATTGACTCCGATTTCAGCCTGCTTTTCTTTTTGGATTTGTTTCCATAGCCTTAGTCCAACCAAGAACAAACTACAAGGCAGCAGTTGTTTAATTTTGGAGTTGTCTCTCCTAGAAGAGTGGCTGTCCCCAGCTGCCGAGCCTCATCTGACCGAGGGTTCGAACTCGAGACTTTTCGGTTTAGCAACCATGAGCTTTACCGACTCGACCACGCCGACCCCTAGGGTGTAGGGATGGTATGAGCTACCAGCATGACAACCAGTGGTTTGAGTTAAAGTATAGGGATGGTATGAGCTACCAACATGACAACCAGTGGTTTGAGTTAGGGTGTAGGGATGGTATGAGCAACATGACAACCAGTGGTTTGAGTTAGGGTGTAGGGATGGTATGAGCTACCAGCATGACAACCAGTGGTTTGAGTTAGGGTGTAGGGATGGTATGAACTACCAATATGACAACCAGTGGTTTGAGTTAAAGTATAGGGATGGTATGAACTACCAGCATGACAACCAGTGGTTTGAGTTAAAGTATAGGGATGGTATGAACTACCAACATGACAACCAGTGGTTTGAATTAGGGTGTAGGGATGGTATGAGCTACCAGCATGACAACCAGTGGTTTGAGTTAGGGTGTAGTGTAGGGATGGTATGAACTACCAGCATGACAACCAGTGGTTTGAGTTAAAGAATAGGGATGGTATGAGCTACCAGCATGACAACCAGTGGTTTTAGTTAAAGTATAGGGATGGTATGAGCTACACTTCATTGTATTACCGTTGTTCCTCAGAGTCTGATGTTTAACTAATGTTTAATTTATAAGTATTTACTACAAGTAACAGACTATTGACAGATGGAGTGAAAAGTAACAGACTAGTGACAGATGGAGTGAAAACGGACGTGGAGGCTCACGTCCACTTTATTAGTCTTTTTAAAGATAATCTCAACTTAAATACCAGGTCACGTGATCTAACCATATAAGGAAATAACGTTTCAGCCTTTTAGCAGTTTGATGAATTATTCACACCATCGGCTGTAAATAGTGCCAGACCCCCCCCCCCCCCCCACCTGCCAGCTTGAGCACGTCCGCCCTTTCTCTACCCCCCCCCCCTGAATGTAACAAAAAACATTTTAACTTACTTAGCACCCTTTTAGCGTCTAATATTGAGAATCTTTACAATGTCAGCTCATTGAGCTTAAAGAGGTACGACAGATGTTTTGGACGAGCCAAACAAAGATGTAACATCAAATTTCAATTTGTTATTTCTGTGTAAATAGCCGTTGTTGACACGTTCACGGTGATTGGGGTCAAGTGTGATGACCTATCATACATGCAGACGACACTGTCGCCATCTTAGTTTACAGTCTTGCTCATTGTTCACTAAAACAATAGCAAAGACAGCTGCAACGCTTACTTTTGAAAAGTTCATTAAAACAATCATTGTCTTAATTGCGTAGATTGGGGGTGAGGGAAAGGGTGCTCTTGTAAAAAATTATTAAGTGTAGAGCCTATATGGTCAGCGGTACTATATACAGCTCATCTCTACAATAACATGCTACAGAAATTTAAAAATATGCTCCTGCCACTGGGGAAGGATTGCCTAAAAATGTCGAAATAATATAAAAAAAAACCCATCTAGATCTATAGGCCTATATCTTGAAATTATGTGTAATTCATGATTTCGGCGGTTTGGGCTACTTTTTAAAATTCTCTAATTTGACGTGTAACTAGAACATAAAGATATTTGACGTATTGATTTCTTCTATTGTAACTTAATACTAGAAACTAGATCTTAGTTGCGTTACTTTGAGACTGAACGTCATACATATCTAGTAACTAAACGCTCTAGCAAGAAACCCCTTTTATCGATGTTGTTTCAGCTGATTTACTTTGAGAACCGCTGTAGAGAAGTGTAGAAGCGGAAATGATGGCCCTCACAGCACATCTCTAGTCTGTAGTGCACATCGCTTGACAGACCGTGTGTCTCTTACGTACTTTTTAAAGATCGTGCGTTGTTTACGTTTTCTAATGACCGTGTACATCTTACACTTTACAAAGACCGTGTACATTGTACATTTTCCAAAGATCGTGAACATCTTTTATCTTCTAAGCATCGTGTAATCTTATAGTCTCCATTCCACAAAGATCAACCAGACCGCTACATTTCACCATGCAAGACCTTCAAGTTGGGAGGTTCCACTGGCTCAAGGCACCAATAAATATAACCCAAATAACGTCATCAGAATCTGTGAAGAAAAGGTTAACATTGCGTGATGGCGTAGACAGACAGATCACACAGTCGATTCTAGGTCCCGTCAAGTTCAATCAAGTATTCAACTGTATGGACAAGCCAGATGACCTTCAGCCTTACAAGGGCTACTTCAAGGTCAGCCAGCTCCCGCCCCTCGCCCCCAGCATCAGGGTGGAGGAGAAGGAAAAAATTCGATGCTTGCTGTCCCCGGGCACGGTGCTACAGGTGTGTGGCCCACCCATGGCCGGCAAGTCAGTTTTAGTTGACCAGGTGAGTACGGCCTTGACCCCATCCTGTCCGTCTAGTCAGTTTTAGTTGACCAGGTGAGTGCGGCCTTGACCCCATCCTGTCCGTCTAGTCAGCTTTAGCTGACCAGGTGAGTACGGCCTTGACCCCATCCTGTCCAGCAAGTCAGCTTTAGTTGACCAGGTGAGTACGGCCTTGACCCCATCCTGTCCAGCAAGTCAGCTTTAGTTGACCAGGTGAGTACGGCCTTGACCCCATCCTGTCCAGCAAGTCAGTTTTAGTTGACCAGGTGAGTACGGCCTTGACCCCATCCTATCCAGCAAGTCAGTTTTAGTTGACCTGGTGAGTACGGCTAGTCAGCTTTAGTTGACCAGGTGAGTTCGGCCTTGACCCCTCGTGTCCGGCTAGTCTAAATACTGCGACTAGACATATTAAAGCCCAAAATCATCTTCCTAACCAAATGAATCTAGATCTACATGTAACAGCAAACTTTGCCACTTTGTCTGTTTGGCAGTTATAATTTATTTGGTTTGAAATGAACTTTCATAAACACCTTACGATCGGTCGAATATTAATTATTTATAAAACCAAACTACCAACTATCTTCAATCTATTGTTTTTAAAATAATAAATTACATACTATAAACACTGTATTAATAAAATCAATCTTGTACGAACAGGCGATACAAGAGAAGCAACAACAGCTGTCCAGCACCGACAAGACAGGCATTGTTTATCTCCCCGTTTTATGTAAATACGTCACAAACTTACACGATTTACTGGTCAGCCTAACCAGGCGCTTTGCCCAGCAGACGACGGAAACAACCGACCACACCATTGACGCCGACGTCGTCTTGGGCCATCTGCAAAAATTAGTAAGGAACCAAATCGACAAACATTACATTTTGGCTTTCCATAAGTGTGAGAGTCTACGAACATCCGGGTATGATCAGGAGTTTTTACAGTTCATCGCCCGCCTGGCGAGACTGTGGTGGGATGGTGGTCTGGCGGTTAGCGTAGTCTTCACGACCTACAAGTATTTCCCGTCCCCAGAACTTGGCATCGAACTCTTTCAGGTTGGAATGTTGACAAAATTTGAAGACATCCTGACTTTACTAAAACACGTTATTCCTAACAAATGTATGGAAACCTATGTTCCCATTTGTTACAAATTTCTATGTTTTCCGGAAGGCGTTGTTCGGATAGCCGAGGAATATTTAGCAAATGAAGAAATTAGGCCATCAACGGATGCCATAGAAGAGCTAATCACCAAAGACATGGAGTTTCTCTCTCTCCTGTTCTCTAAGAGACTTGATGAAGTGCAGTCGTGGGTGTGTGCTGGGGACCTGGAGCTGTTGTCCTACTTCAGCAGCTCGCTGGGGGGTACATTTACAGAGGGTAAGTGCTCCATCGTAACTGTGCTTGTGTGAAATTATGTGTACATTTACAGAGGGTAAGTGCTCCATCGTGTATGTGTTTGGGTTAGATTGTGTGTACATTTACAGAAGGTAAGTTTTCCAACGGATCTTTGCTTAGGTTAGACTACGGTCAAAACCATCCACTATAGTTTGATTAATTGGCTACGGGAATTGTTCCATGTTAAAACTATTATTGAAAGCAATCCAAAGTTAACAGGCGATTTTTAAAAATTATGCCATTCAAAATATTTTAGTTCTAAAATACCAGATTGTTATTTTCTTTGGTTGTGCGTTTTGGTGATGGGGTGGATGGATGGAGGGGTTTGATGAGAACCTTATAGATAAATAAAACTTTATCAATACGCTAAGTGTCTGTATCGATGAGATGAGAGAAAGAAAGAGCGACGGAGTGACACACTACCTAGTGTGGTATATTATCGATAGGTTTGTAGTGTATGAAGATACTATGTTAAATTATAGGGAGTAGGATGTACATCTAAAGCGTCATGTGCTTCTCTCATATAATACGCGCATGCTTTATTACTCTCAGAGCACTTGAAGGAGACGTTTAAAGGTCAAAGGATGCGCTATGCCGATGCGCAGTGGCAACAGTGTATCAAGCGCCTAAAGAACAACCATCTGATCTGCAAAAGTCCCGGCGTGCTGAGATGGATGGTCCATCCGTTAATCGTCTACTTCTTTAAACTTCACAAAGTCAGCTTTATGAGCTCTGTACATTCTCATTATTTCAACAGGTATTTCCAGACTTAGTTTACAAATTTACATCTCATTCTTTAGCGTCTGAAGTTTTACAAGATAGGCTTAAGATTGCACCCGTTTTTTTTAATGAAACATATACTTTTATTTGAAACAACACCCACAAACTATCAGAATCAGAAGAACTGTTGCTACGGATTGAAAGGTTTGTACCGTACGTGGTCCAGTGCAACGTAGTCACTACTAGATTAAACCCACTGAATAAATATTAAATTAAAATGTATCTACTTTTACCCACTAAATTATTTATTTATTTAAAGAACGACCTTTTTTACCCTCCGAAGTTTCTCTTCACACTAAATGATGCCTGGTCATGCATGAATAAACTATTTCAGTTACACCAACTTCCTGTTTGGTGTCTAGTCATGCATGAATAAACTATTTCAGTTACACCAACTTCCTGTTTGGTGTCTAGTCATGCATGAATAAACTATTTCAGTTACACCAACTTCCTGTTTGGTGTCTAGTCATGCATGAATAAACTATTTCAGTTACACCAACTTCCTGTTTGGTGTCTAGTCATGCATGAATAAACTATTTCAGTTACACCAACTTCCTGTTTGGTGTCTAGTCATGCATGAATAAACTATTTCAGTTACACCAACTTCCTGTTTGGTGTCTAGTCATGCATGAATAAACTATTTCAGTTACACCAACTTCCTGTTTGGTGTCTAGTCATGCATGAATAAACTATTTCAGTTACACCAACTTCCTGTTTGGTGTCTAGTCATGCATGAATAAACTATTTCAGTTACACCAACTTCCTGTTTGGTGTCTAGTCATGCATGAATAAACTATTTCAGTTACACCAACTTCCTGTTTGGTGTCTAGTCATGCATGAATAAACTATTTCAGTTACACCAACTTCCTGTTTGGTGTCTAGTCATGCATGAATAAACTATTTCAGTTACACCAACTTCCTGTTTGGTGTCTAGTCATGCATGAATAAACTATTTCAGTTACACCAACTTCCTGTTTGGTGTCTAGTCATGCATGAATAAACTATTTCAGTTACACCAACTTCCTGTTTGGTGTCTAGTCATGCATGAATAAACTATTTCAGTTACACCAACTTCCTGTTTGGTGTCTAGTCATGCATGAATAAACTATTTCAGTTACACCAACTTCCTGTTTGGTGTCTAGTCATGCATGAATAAACTATTTCAGTTACACCAACTTCCTGTTTGGTGTCTAGTCATGCATGAATAAACTATTTCAGTTACACCAACTTCCTGTTTGGTGTCTAGTCATGCATGAATAAACTATTTCAGTTACACCAACTTCCTGTTTGGTGTCTAGTCATGCATGAATAAACTATTTCAGTTACACCAACTTCCTGTTTGGTGTCTAGTCATGCATGAATAAACTATTTCAGTTACACCAACTTCCTGTTTGGTGTCTAGTCATGCATGAATAAACTATTTCAGTTACACCAACTTCCTGTTTGGTGTCTAGTCATGCATGAATAAACTATTTCAGTTACACCAACTTCCTGTTTGGTGTCTAGTCATGCATGAATAAACTATTTCAGTTACACCAACTTCCTGTTTGGTGTCTAGTCATGCATGAATAAACTATTTCAGTTACACCAACTTCCTGTTTGGTGTCTAGTCATGCATGAATAAACTATTTCAGTTACACCAACTTCCTGTTTGGTGTCTAGTCATGCATGAATAAACTATTTCAGTTACACCAACTTCCTGTTTGGTGTCTAGTCATGCATGAATAAACTATTTCAGTTACACCAACTTCCTGTTTGGTGTCTAGTCATGCATGAATAAACTATTTCAGTTACACCAACTTCCTGTTTGGTGTCTAGTCATGCATGAATAAACTATTTCAGTTACACCAACTTCCTGTTTGGTGTCTAGTCATGCATGAATAAACTATTTCAGTTACACCAACTTCCTGTTTGGTGTCTAGTCATGCATGAATAAACTATTTCAGTTACACCAACTTCCTGTTTGGTGTCTAGTCATGCATGAATAAACTATTTCAGTTACACCAACTTCCTGTTTGGTGTCTAGTCATGCATGAATAAACTATTTCAGTTACACCAACTTCCTGTTTGGTGTCTAGTCATGCATGAATAAACTATTTCAGTTACACCAACTTCCTGTTTGGTGTCTAGTCATGCATGAATAAACTATTTCAGTTACACCAACTTCCTGTTTGGTGTCTAGTCATGCATGAATAAACTATTTCAGTTACACCAACTTCCTGTTTGGTGTCTAGTCATGCATGAATAAACTATTTCAGTTACACCAACTTCCTGTTTGGTGTCTAGTCATGCATGAATAAACTATTTCAGTTACACCAACTTCCTGTTTGGTGTCTAGTCATGCATGAATAAACTATTTCAGTTACACCAACTTCCTGTTTGGTGTCTAGTCATGCATGAATAAACTATTTCAGTTACACCAACTTCCTGTTTGGTGTCTAGTCATGCATGAATAAACTATTTCAGTTACACCAACTTCCTGTTTGGTGTCTAGTCATGCATGAATAAACTATTTCAGTTACACCAACTTCCTGTTTGGTGTCTAGTCATGCATGAATAAACTATTTCAGTTACACCAACTTCCTGTTTGGTGTCTAGTCATGCATGAATAAACTATTTCAGTTACACCAACTTCCTGTTTGGTGTCTAGTCATGCATGAATAAACTATTTCAGTTACACCAACTTCCTGTTTGGTGTCTAGTCATGCATGAATAAACTATTTCAGTTACACCAACTTCCTGTTTGGTGTCTAGTCATGCATGAATAAACTATTTCAGTTACACCAACTTCCTGTTTGGTGTCTAGTCATGCATGAATAAACTATTTCAGTTACACCAACTTCCTGTTTGGTGTCTAGTCATGCATGAATAAACTATTTCAGTTACACCAACTTCCTGTTTGGTGTCTAGTCATGCATGAATAAACTATTTCAGTTACACCAACTTCCTGTTTGGTGTCTAGTCATGCATGAATAAACTATTTCAGTTACACCAACTTCCTGTTTGGTGTCTAGTCATGCATGAATAAACTATTTCAGTTACACCAACTTCCTGTTTGGTGTCTAGTCATGCATGAATAAACTATTTCAGTTACACCAACTTCCTGTGCCGGGTCTTGATGAAATGTGACACCCAAGTTCAAGGTCACAAGACTTACAACTGTCTGCTGCAAGAGTGGCCCCACGTCAAGCACGTGCTGGACATGGCCATCCACAGTACAGGTGAAACATACCAGGCTTTCCTCAGGGTGAGTGCTCTTTGCTCTGTGGCTAGTTTGTCATTTGGCCAGTTTGTCTTGTGGCCAGTTTGTTATTTGGCCTATTGGTAATTTGGCCAGTTTGTCTTGTGGCCAGTTTGTTATTTGGCCTATTGGTAATTTGGCCAGTTTGTCTTGTGGCCAGTTTGTTCTGTGGCTAGTTTGTCATTTGGCCAGTTTGTCCATGGGCCAGTTTGTTATTTGGCCTATTGGTAATTTGGCCAGTTTGTCTTGTGGCCAGTTTGTTCTGTGGCTAGTTTGTCATTTGGCCAGTTTGTCCATGGGCCAGTTTGTTATTTGGCCTATTGGTAATTTGGCCAGTTTGTCTTGTGGCCAGTTTGTTCTGTGGCTAGTTTGTCATTTGGCCAGTTTGTCCAAGGGCCAGTTTGTTATTTGGCCAATTGGTAATTTGGCCAGTTTGTCTTGTGGCCAGTTTGTTCTGTGGCCAGTTTGTCATTTGGCCAGTTTGATATGCGGCCACTTTGTCCTGTAGTCAGTTTGACATTTGACCAGTTTGTCCTGTGACCAGTTTTTCGTATGGCCGGTTAGTCATGCTGCCAATTTGTCCTGTGATCTGTTTGTGTTGTGGTCAGTTTGTCCTACGGCCAGCTTATCATTTTGCCAGTTTGTTCTGTGGTAATTTTGTCCTATGGCCAGTTTACAGGTGGCCCGTTTGTCATGTGGATTGTTTCTCATGTGGGCAATTGGTCCTGTGGTCACTTTCTTCTATTGATAGTATTTGAACCAGGAAGCTTGAATTCCTTCCACCAAGAAAGTAAATTAATTTCAGGTGGCGGTTACAGCCCGTCGTCTGCTGGTCACGTGTCTACCTCACGAGGCAGAAGAGTTCTACCACGAGCTGTCCATTGCCGCCCAAACTTCCGGTAACCTCAGACACCATGCGGTGATGCAGGCTTGTCTTGGCTACGTCATCAGTTGTAGCGCAGGTAATGACGTCCTCACGAGCAAACAATAACCTATTATGTTTTTATAACATGTTTACCCGGTTACCTGGTTTCTATCTAACAAACATTGCTCCAGAAAAAAAAGAAGTTATAAACATGGGGATATCTAATAAAACAAATATAAAAACCTTAATAATAACATTCTTAAACTTACTAAAAAAAAAATATTTCTTTAGTAAAGGCTTTGGCTCATCATGAAATATCCGGCACGATATAGAAACCTATAAATAGAATTCAAATTTTAGGGAATTCCCGTAGAAAATAAAAGTATTTCTCTGCAGGCTCAAGATGGACGCAGGCGACACAATATTTTGACACAGCTCTAGACAATCTCAGGCGTGAAGGTCCCGGCTATTTCTACAAGTGGACGCTGAGGGGGAAGGCCATTCTGCTACATCGACAGGGCCACTACGTCGAGTCACTAGAGTAAGTCTTGTTGCTGATGTTTTAAGTGGGTGTGTGTCGGGGGGGGGGGGGGTGGATGTGATGAGGTTGGCGGGGTGGATGTGGCAGCTTAATAGACAATGTGGATGTGGCGACGTGTTCAAAGCTGTAGATGGGAGTGGATGTGGTGGTGGGATGAGGGCGTGGTAGAGGAGTGGTCAACTGTGTTATGTGACTTTGGTAAAACCTCGTGTTGAATAAAGCTACCACATTTTCTCCAGATTCTTTAAGCAGGCGGCAAATGTCGTTTATCAAGACGACCTTGAGACGGCAGACGATCCGCTGACCGTGACCTTAGTACAGCAGGAGGCGGATGAAATCACGACAGAGATACATCAGACAATACCCATGATATTTTGTGGTAAGTGTCACGTGTTTCGTGACGTCAAGAACCTATGACGTCATCAACAGTCCCCTTGGTATTTCATGGTGAGTGAAAGACACGCGACGTCAGTAAAGTGTAACGTCCTAACAGCCCCTCCCCCCTCCTCCCCCATCCATCAACGATATGTCGTGGCTAGAGATTTAATTAAACAAATACTGCCCATAGCAATCAAGTATAAATATAGTATCAGCAATATAAACTTTTTCTGATCAAAGGGAAACCACTCCATTTGTAGCTATTTTAAAATTTCTTGTATGCGAGTGTAAAATCGTGCAAAATTTTTGTATTGAAATTTCGTTTATAAGAATTATATACGTAGGTTTCTGTCAACTTTTGGGCGATTTCCGGTGACCGTAAATGGGAGATTACTTTATTAGCGATAATTATATTAAAAAATTGAAGTTTTTCATTTTATCTCATATTTTTATCAAGAGCTCCACTGATGCTGGTCCAAGATTGTGTTCTCATAAAAAGTTGTGGTTTTATCACAAACTTACCTACCGTTTCTTTAGCCCGATTCCACTGGGTGTACCAGCTTCCCACTTACTGTTATATAACAGTTTAGGGGAGTTCAGTCCCGTTTTTTTCTTGTATAGCCAAATAATTTATTTTCCTATTTTACAGGAGATATCGAATCCGTTCGTAAATAATCTTGTATAGCCAAATATTTTATTTTCCTATTTTACAGGAGATATCGAATCCGTTCGTAAATAATCTTGTATAGCCAAATATTTTATTTTCCTATTTTACAGGAGATATCGAATCTGTTCGTAAAAACCTCTTGAACCTGCTTGACGCTGTCAGAGACCAATTTCCGCACCACCCGGATTTACCCGTCCTGCTTAACAACATCGGCCTGACGGAAGAGAGGGGTGGCCGTGACCTTGACAGGGCCCTCAGGTGGTACGAGCTGTCGTACAGGGAGCGGCTGCAGCTGGAGAAGCTGTGCCCACAGCAACAGCTGGTCTCGCTCAACAACATCGGGATGGTCCTCCACGCCAAGGGTCAGCTAGGTGAGTGGTTCAACCAGTGGTCAGCTAGGTGAGTGGTTCAACCAGTGGTCAGCTAGGTGAGTGGTTCAACCAGTGGTCAGCTAGGTGAGTGGTTCAACCAGTGGTCAGTTAGGTGAGTGGTTCAACCAGTGGTCAGCTAGGTGTGTGGTTCAACTAGTGGTCAGCTAGGTGAGTGGTTCAACCAGTGGTCAGTTAGGTGAGTGGTTCAACCAGTGGTCAGCTAGGTGTGTGGTTCACGTCCTAGGTCAGCTAGGTGAGTGGTTCAACCAGTGGTCAGCTAGGTGTGTGGTTCACGTCCTAGGTCAGCTAGGTGAGTGGTTCAACCAGTGGTCAGCTAGGTGAGTGGTTCAACCAGTGGTCAGCTAGGTGAGTGGTTCAACCAGTGGTCAGCTAGGTGAGTGGTTCAACCAGTGGTCAGCTAGGTGTGTGGTTCAACCAGTGGTCAGCTAGGTGTGTGGTTCACGTCCTAGGTCAGCTAGGTGAGTCAGTTAGATGAGTGATTCGGCCAGTGGTAAGCTAAGTGAGTGATTCTCATCTGTCGTCAGTTTGATGAGTGATGTGCATGTGTGCCTTTTGGTTGGGAGATGCGGCGCAATGGCATTGTACCACTCCCACCACACACACACACACACACATATATATATATATATATATATATATATATATATATATATATATATATATATATATATATATATATATATATATATATATGTATATATATATATGTATATATATATATGTATATATATATATACGTATATATATATATATATATATATATATATATATATATATATATATATATATATATATATATATATATATATATATATATGTATATATATATATGTATATATATATATGTATATATATATATACATATATATATATATATATATATATATATATATATATATATATATATATATATATATATATACATATATATATATACATATATATATATATATACATATATATATATACATATATATATATATATATATATATATATACGTATATATATATATACATATATATATATACATATATATATATACATATATATATATATATATATATATATATATATATATATATATATATATATATATATATATATATATATATATATATATATATATATATGTATGTATATATATATATATATATATATATATATATATGTATATATATATATATATATATATATATATATATATATATATATGTATGTATATATATATATATATATATATATATGTATGTATATATATATATATATGTATATATATATATATATATATATATATATATATATATATATATATATATATATATATATAAAAGAACATATCTGCTTTAACAGAAAAGTGTAAGCTGTACCTTCAGAGGGCGCTGGAGATTCAGAAAGTTTGTGGGTGGAATCATTACAACACGGCCTTGACATTGGTGCACCTTGGATCAGTCTTATTTGAGGCGTAAGTTCCATCTAACTATATATATATATATATATATATATATATATATATATATATATATATATATATATATATATATATATATATATATATATATATATATATATATATATATAGTTAGATGTGTGTTGAATAAAAAGTTGTGTGAGTAAACGTAACTGATTCCTTCCAGGTTTCAAAGTTTGGATGCTCTCCACAAGTTTATGGAAGCTGACGTCATCCTTCAGAAAACCGCCCCGTCACATGACTTCCGCTTGAGCGTGGGGCTTGGGCTGATGCACTACAGTCTGGTCGCCCTGCAAGAGCCCGACCCCGGGCCAGACCCCCACCAGGAAGTGAGTACTCACGGTCCACTCACGTGCGGCTCCAGACAATCCTGCAGTGAGTACTTGGACTATCTGCAAAGGGTCTGCCGCGAGTTGGGTCACGTGGTCAGCGTGGACGGCGTCCAGAATTTGTTGGCCGTCTACGAGCACGGCATTCTGCTCAGTCGGTGCCATCAGGATTATCTCACCTACAGACAAGCTCTGGTGATGCTGGTCCATGGGAACCGGAAACTGCGAGACTTTTTCTTGGGGAACTCTCCAAGCCCAGCAGACGTCTCACCCAGCCCAGCAGACGTCACACCCAGCCCAGCAGACGCCAGCCTACATAGCCACAGGAAGTTCTTCCAGTACGTCCGCACCACAGAGTATCAGCATCTGGACGAGCATGTTCTGCTGGAGTTGATTCAGGCGTCGTGTCTGTACTGTCAGCAGATGGAGACGTTCTACTGTACCGATTTGCTGATGGGAAAGTGCAGGTTTCAGTTTCAAGAACCGGAAGTCGGTTTTAGGGGACGTGACAAGGTCGAGTGGGATGCTGGGCATTCGACAAGTGGAGACGTCACACAGCTGTTGAAATGTCAATCTGATGCATCGTCAGATAAATGTCAACACACATCTTCGTGTGCTGATGACATACTGTCTACGGAATGTCAACACACATCTTCGTGTGCTAATGACATGCTCTCTACAGGTGCTAATGACATGCCATCTACAAGTGCTAATAACATGTTGTCTATAGAAGCTAAAGACATACTATCTACAAAATGTCAATACACATCTTCATGTGGTAATGATAAACTATCTACGGAATATCACTACACATCTTCGTGTTCAAATGACACACCATCTACAAGTGCTAAGGACATAAGGTCTACAGGTGCTAATGACATACCATCTGCTGGTGCTAATAACATACTATCTACAGCATGCTACTCATCTTTCACTCCCCCAAGCACCCATCCATCTTTAGAAATACATGTTTCAAGTGCTTCACTTTTCTCCTATCCAAAGAAAACTAGCCAAGAGGTTCTAGCTGAAGATAACTTAGCCGGGAAGTTAAACGGGAATTCCAATTTGATTGGTCAAAAATCCACCAATCACCATCCAGGTTGTGAAAAAGAGAAGAGCCCTCATCAGAAAACCACTTCCGGTGATGAAAACGACGGAAACGAATTTCGAAAAATACCCGAGAAAATGTTTGCTAGTCGTAAGCACAAGTTCTTGACCGGCGTCTTTCAGCGTTTAAGAAACATTCAGGTGGGAAGGTCAAGGTTGTGTGTGCGTGACCCCGAGAGACTGGCAGGTCGCGATGACGTAATGGACAGTTCCTACGTCACTGATAGCTGGGAGCTGATTGGCTCGAACGGAGAGCTCGAGAGAGGTGGCCAAGATACAATAGAGAGTACAGACATACTGGATTATCGTGGTGTAGACACAATAGATTCACGTGTTAGAGACACAATAGATTCACGTGTTAGAGACACAATAGATTCACGTGTTAGAGACACAATAGATTCACGTGTTAGAGACACAATAGATTCACGTGTTAGAGACACAATAGATTCACGTGTTAGAGACACAATAGATTCACGTGTTAGAGACACAATAGATTCACGTGTTAGAGACACAATAGATTCACGTGTTAGAGACACAATAGATTCATGTGTTAGAAACACAATAGACTATCGTGATAGATTCAGAACAGATCCTCATGGAAGATTGGGAGTAGATTCACACGCCAAAGATAAGATAGATCATCACGATATGAGCAAACCTTACGATCACGTGTGTAGATCTATGTACACGCTGAAACAAAACGGATCTTCGTTTTACATAGAGGAGTGCAGCTGTGTAGAGTCTGCGTCGTACTCACAGGAAGTGTAACCATAGCAACACAGAGTAAACAAACAAGTATAGCCATAGACACATAGCAAATATATGTGTACAGATATAGAAACATATGGAAGATATACATTTCCAGCTACAGCAAGTAAAATGAGTAAAACAATGGCGAGATATACATTACATTCATAATTTAAAAGACATTTTTTTAATGTGTGTTCAATCTTTTGCGTTTATGCTGTTCCAAGCTTGAACATTATTTGTGTGAAACATTCTTTTTAAACAAATAAAATCTTTGTAAAACAAAATATACACAACATGAACTGTGCGTCAACATTACTGTGTCTAAAGTGCGGTGAGCAAGTGTTCACTGAAACGACCACGCATGTCAATGCTGGGCCTGGTTCATGTTGGTTCAGATAATAAGCTCGGGAGTGCGTGTTTTATTTTAATGCAACCATTTTTAGTCTTGTGGGGGTGGCGATTTAACTAAGAACTATCCGATGATAAAAATGGTACTAATTTCTTAAAAAAAATTAATAGCGACTTATTATATTTAAAAAAAATAAATCCCGGTTGCTTAAGGTAGAAAATAAGATAAGTACACAATCATTTGTAACAAAACAACAACAACAAAAAAAAAAAAACAAATAAACTATACATACACAAAACGGTGTTTAAATTTGAAACAAATTGGGTATTAATGATATACAGTATGACCGTGGGAAAGCGATATAAATGAATGAATGAATGAATGAATGAATGAATGAATGAATGAATGAATGAATGAATGAATGAATGAATGAATGAATGAATGAATGAATGAATGAATGAATGAATGAATGAATGAATGAATGAATGAATGAATGAATGAATGAATGAATGAATGAATGAATGAATGAATGAATGAATGAATGAATGAATGAATGAATGAATGAATGAATGAATGAATGAATGAATGAATGAATGAATGAATGAATGAATGAATGAATGAATGAATAAAAAAATGAATGAATGAATAACAAAATAAATGAAAAAAATGAATGAATAAATCAATAAATAAAAAAATAAACGTATCGGGTGACACCTTTACTTAGTGCCGCCACTGCATACTGCAGTGCTGAATTTTATCTCCATAGAGGCCCAATGCAGGTACGTATTATCGATCTCAGAGGAGGGTATCTGTTTGCAGTGATCTGCGACGCTGATCAGTGATCGGAAACGATACGACTAAAACAGTAAGTAAAACATTTTAAAACTACGAGTACATTGAGCCAAGTTGTCTCTCTAATTTTGTACACAACAATTCTAAATTATTTTCATTGATTGCTGTTCTGCACACATTTTAATTGCTTGTAACATTGTTTTATATTTTATATGTTGTGCCATTTTACTTTTATCTTATATTTTGTTATCCAACCTTTTCCTCATTAATTCAGCTGGTCTAAGCCGCTTATTCTTCTTTGGTCTTTCTATCATGGGTTGTAACTGGCAGTGAGCGATTCATGGGGTATTTCGTAATGTTTTTGGCAAGACACAAATAACGATAGACAAGACACGGTACATTTGCCCACACTACTTCACCCCCTCTCCCCCCTCCCGAAAAAACAAAAAAAAACCACTTAAGGCCCAATAAAAACCTTGTTAAGAAAGTCATTTCCAGTTTAGTGTACTACATAGACACACACCAGCCAAATACACACGCCAGCAACACGCACGCACACACACACACATACACTCACATACACACACAGTCTCTCTCTCTCTCTCACACAACTTCTACATACATAAATAAATCCTAATACTAACTAGATTTAACACTACTGAAGTAGCTGACCCATCCATTTCGCTTGTGTTAAAAAACACTCTCAAAAGTGATCAGGTCAATCTCGACTTCTAGGAAAATGTTATCTACCGAATCCAACCAGCACCCCCCCCCCACACACTTTTTATCAAGATAGGAAGTTTCCACAGTCAACAAATTTTTATAGGAATCAGCTACCCCACACCCAGCCCAACCTTTTTTTATGTACACCATTGGGACTTAAAAAAATCTATTTATAGAATCTGATTAAAAAAAGTTTCAATGTTGAGTTTAAAAAAAACTAAACGTTTCAGTGTAACAAATAGGAGTGAAGATTAGATTTTTTAAACAGCCCTTGTACTGAAATATGAGAGGCTCTTTGGGTATATGTGGGCCCGATGATCCCCCCTCCCTCTCCAAGCCTGCATGGTTTAAGTTGATTTACGGCAGACGTAAAGTTAATATAAGACCGAAGTAAAGTTGATATTCGGATAGTATAAAAGTTAAGGAGACTGTGTTTTTAAGTATCTTGGAAGATCAACATTTATTGAAAAATTGAGTTCAACTAGAATCTAGAAGAATAAAAATGTTGTTTTGTTTTCAATTCGAATCTAACACGATGAAAAATGTCTTTATGTCGTCAATTTGAATGTAGCACGATTTGAAAAATAGTTTTTGTTTTCAATTTAGAAACTGGCACGATTAAAAATGTGTTTTTTTTTATTGACAACTAGAATTTAGCAAGATGAAGGCGAATACCTCAGGAGTCAACGAGTGCTTACACCTGGAAGTGGCCGACTCTGAAGGTCATGGGGACTCATGCGGCACCGCTTTGTGCAGACGTCAACAGGTGACAAAGACATTCAGCAACATCCGGCGAGCTGAAAGAAAAATGATTCGAGAGTTACTTGCCACTGGGGGCGTGGTCCAGGTGTTCGGTCCCCCGATGGTCGGGAAAGCCAGCATAGTCCAACAGGTAATGTGGGTATAGTGGTCACTCAGAAGATTTACAATCAAATTCATCAGTTCCTCCACGATCAAATCCATCAGTTCCTCCAACGTGCTGTCTTCAGCATTCTCACCAGTCTCAGCACAAGTGAATTCTTCTTGCCAGCCTGTCAACTGGTGCTTGGGGCAGTGCCCCCCCCCCACCTAAATGCGACTTAATTCGTGTTTGAGATTAGGTGCAAGGTTTAGGAATTTTACTTCGACTGTGTTTAGTATCAATGTGCAGTAACTACGTGTAGATCAAACTTAAATCCTGTTAAAATGCAGATTCTGGATAAAAATCCGTTTTCAATGACATTGTTCGTTTCCGGTTAAATTTGAAGTTTAGGTGGTGATTTTCTTTTTGATTTCGAGTTAAAGAAAAAAGACACCACTATCAACCTAGCGCCCGTTGTATCTCTCCCTCAACGGGCCATTTATCTCGTTGAAATATTTTTACATAATTTTCTACGTCACTTCAGGTTGTACAGGAACTACAGATGGGTTCACCGGAAGTGAAAAGTCACGTGATTCCGTCTCGGCACCAGACGTTGAGTGACGTGCTGAATCACCTGATGTCACGGATCTGTCCAAACACGGTCATTGACCCGGAGCCTGATTTCAATGACTCATCAAATCGAGAACGAATGGTCCAGGAGATTCGAACCTCCCTCAACCACGACAACCACTACCTCTTGGTGTTTAAAAAATGCGAAGGTTTAAAAGCTGCAGAGTCTGAATTTCTCACCTGGGTGGGGTCACTGACCGACCTTTGGAGGTCACATGACATCAAGGTCAGCATCATCCTGACGACATACAAGCAGTTCCGGATGACCCGACGTGACGTCAGTCTCGTGGAGGTAGGCGTGCTGACGGATGCTGACGACATATCGACGCTCCTACAAGACACGGCACCCGGGGTGAGAGATGACCAGCTGATCCCCGTGTGTCGTAGGTCATTGTGTCTGCCGGAGTGTGTCGTCACACTGGCCAGGGAATGTGTGGCCAGGGAATGTGTGGCCAAGGAATGTGTGGCCAGGGAATGTGTGGCCAAGGAATGTGTGACCAAGGAATGTGTGGCCAGGGAATGTGTGGCCAAGGAGTGTGTGGCCAAGGAATGTGTGGCCAAAGAAAGTGTGGCCAGGGAATGTGTGGCCATAAATTGTCTGACTAACGAAGCCACAAGACTGTCCACAGAGATGGTGGAGCTAGTCGTTCCAACAGATTCCATGTTTCCTGACGTGTTTGTTGCTCGTCTGATGGATGTCGAGACCTGGGTCAGCCGAGACGACTTACAGCTCCTCTTGATGCCGGGCCAGGCCACATTTCAACCAGGTAAACCTGGGTTGTAGAACTTGGTATGATAAAAATATAAAGATTTGTCTTGCCCAAACTTGATGGAGTAGCTGAAGTGCACTCGAATGTTTTAAAACTAAATTATCCCACTAACGGAAACCATACTTACCTTTACTTACATTTTTTTTTTAAAAATCCCAGAAGCTCTTTTAGAACATGTCAACTGCAAGCATCCCGATGAGAAGGTCAAGGACCTTTTGCACAGATATGCCTACGTCATAGAGCCGAATCGCTACAGGCTGCATCCACTGTTGACATTTTACTGCCACACCTTCCCCATTCTACAGGCGGGGACAACGTCACAACGCTTTACTTTAGGCAACAGGTCAGTAGGTTTTAGTCTAGGCAACAGGACAGTAGGTTTTAGGTTTTAGTCTAGACAACAGGTCAGTAGGTTTTAATCTAGGCAACAGGTCAGTAGGTTTTAGTCTAGGCAACAGGTCAGTAGGTTTTACTTTAGGCAACAGGTCTGTATGTTTTAGTCTAAGCAACAGGTCAGTAGGTTTTAGTCTAGGCAACAGGTCAGTAGGTTTTAGTCTAGGCAACAGGTCTGCAGTTTTAGTTTAGGCAACAGGTCAGTAGGTTTTAGTCTAGGCAACAGGTCAGTAGGTTTTAGTCTAGGCAACAGGTCAGTAGGTTTAACTGTAGGCAACAGGTCAGTAGGTTTTAGTCTAGGCAATATTTTAGACTTTATTGAAATAAATCTGTATTTGATAGCCTGGCATTTTTAAAATGAAAGGGCAAGTTAAGCTTTGTCTCAACAAATCGGCTATTGAAATGGCTTTTAAAATTGTAACACCTGATCAAACACCTGATCAGTCGATGACCGCTTCTTGTAGACAGAACAGGTACCTCCAGTACATCCTGGGCATGGCGGAACTGTACACACAACTCAACGGCAGGCCGGGCCACGCCTACGGTTGTCTGCAGCAGGAGTGGCCAGAGACCAGAGACTTGATCAAGCAGGCGGCAATCAGCCAGGCCGACACTTACCTCACTTTTCTGGAGGTAGGTTCGGATCCGGCTAGGGAATACTTTAAAATCTTTACCACAAATAGGAGTTTTTGCAGGACACAAGGTATTCGCGTGAAACCCGACATTTTTTGACTGAAGCGTTTAATTAACCTAACCCTAACTCTGAAAAAAATGTTTTGATTAAATATTTTGGTTAAAACTTCGTTGGTTAAATAATCATTTGATAGAGAACTCTTGTTGATCACAGTTGGTGATATCCGTTGCATTGATTTAGTGTTAGACCAATTCACGCGCGCACACACACACACACACACACTCTCTCTCTCTCTCTCACACACAATGCTACCAACCTGGCTTTTTAAAAATTCCAAGTTCACTCGATTTGATGTATTATGTATGATGTTTTCACGTCCACATACACTGATATGACTGTGGTGTATGATGTATTATGTGTAATGTATGGTGTCTCTCACTACCACATACAGGTGGCCGTGAAGGCCAGACGTCTGCTGGTGGCCACCGACACGAACATGGCCAAAGACTTCTACTCCACCCTGCTGCAGGAGGCCAAGCGCCGTGGCACCCCCGGGCAGTGTGCTGTGTTGTTGGGGGTATGCGGGCACCTTACCGCCCAGGGAGCAGGTTAGTTGTGTTTCTTATTTGGGAGCAAGCGACAAGGATTTGTGCATGTTGTGCTGATACATGTTTTAACTGGTGATCCAGGGGCCAACCTTCAACAAGCTGGGGAAATGTTGGACTCGGCCATTGACTCTTTGAAACAAAACGGAGTCAGGTATTTTCTCAAGTGTGCCCTCGTCAGGAAAGCCATTGTCCTGTTTAGGCAGGGAGACCATCCACATTCTTTAGAGTAAGTCAGGCTTTGTGGATAATCTTTTTTTTTGGGGGGGGGGCGGTGGTGGTGAGTGGGGGAGGTCGGGATGTTGCCCTTCACACTGGGTGGAACGATGTGCAGGTTATAGCGTTTGACATCTCGAACTTTCTATAGTAAACTGACCTCTCACTCTCACTCTCCCTGTAAATGTGTCCAAGAATTTTTGAAATTCATTGTTTTCTTCAGAAAGCAAAAGCTAGTCTTTATCACTTCCACACCACACTTATACCACCGCAATAATATGTCTACACCACCTCAACGCCTCATGTGGTACACCCAAATAACACCTCTACACCACCTTAATACCACCTCTACACCACCTCTACACCATCTCTACACCACCTCCACATCACCTTAATACCACCTTTACACCACCTCCACACCACATTAATACCACGTCCAAACCACCTCCACACCACCTCTACACCACCTTAATACCTCATCCACACCACCTATATACCACCTCTACACCACCTCCACACCACATTAATACCACCTCCAAAAACCACCTCTCTACCATCTTTGTACCACAGGTACTTCAGCAAGGCGAGATCTATGACTGCCATATCTGAAGAATGTACCGATCCATTCCTCAAAGTCTCTAAACTTCAGGAGGAAGAAGAAGATTTAACAGCGGAAATTTATGAAACTATTCCCATGATATTTAGTGGTAGAAAGTTTAAAAGTTACTTGTTCTGTTTTAAAATTATGAAAAAAAACTATAGCATATAATGGAAAAATGTTTAGAAAATGAGTTTAGAAAAACCTACTCTATTCCAAAATACCTTTCCTTGTCATTCAGGTAAATTTAGATGTTTTAACTCAGGTAAATTTAGATGTTTTATCTCAGGTAATTTAGATGTTTTATCTCAGGTAATTTAGATGTTTTATCTCAGGTAAATTTAGATGTTTTCACTCAGGTAAATTTAGATGTTTTCACTCAGGTAAATTTAGATGTTTTCACTCAGGTAAATTTAGATGTTTTAACTCAGGTAAATTTAGATGTTTTATCTCAGGTAATTTAGATGTTTAACTCAGGTAAATTTAGATGTTTATCTCAAGTATATGTAGATGTTTTAACTCAGGTAAATTTAGATGTTTTAACTCCAGTAAATTTAGACGTTTTAACTCCAGTAAATTTAGACGTTTTAACTCCAGTAAATTTAGACGTTTTAACTCCAGTAAATTTAGAGTTTTAACTCCGGTAAATTTAGATGTTTTAACTCCCGTAAATTAAGTTGTATTAACTCAGGTAACTTAAGTTGTATTAACTCAGGTAACAATGTTGAAGCCAGAGAACAACTGAACCAGCTGAGGAGAAAGTTGAAAGAAAAAAGTTTTGACCACCCTGAGTTATCTACCCTGTTGAACAACATTGGGCTCACATGTCAAAGAGGTGAAAAACAAAACATTGTTTACTTTTCAAACAAGTAATAAAGATACAAAAAAAGGCTTTCCTTACAAAATAGTTAACATGAGAGGCCTCGCTTTAACACACAAAAATAACATTACTTGAAATGTATTACTAAAGTTACACAATATACCACACCGCGTATTTCTTTCTTCTTTTTTCTTCTGCGTTTTTGATTTTAGTGTTGGAATAGATCCCCCTCCAACACAATTAAGTATACATGTCAACTGGTTATGCGCCATTGAGGCCATTGAATCCGATTTCAGCCTGCTTTTCTTTTTGGATTTGCTTCCATAGCCTTTGTCCAACCAAGAACAAACTACAAGGCAGCAGTTGTTTGATTTTGTTGTCTCTCCTAGAAGAGTGGCTGTCCCCGGCTAACGAGCCTTATCTCCCCGAAGGTTCGAACTCGAGACTTTTCGGTTTACTGACTCGACCACGCCAACCCCACCGCGTATTTGATTTTGAAACTTTTTTTTTTGTTTTCCTAAAAGTCCATTTGCACAAGCCTAGTTATTTGAATCGATTAGCTATCAATCTTGCAAAGACTACCTGTTCCTACCTTGTTGTATTGATTTGTAGATAAGCTTCAAACGTGACGTCTCAAATGTTTCTAGGCAACAAGGACTCGAGAGCGGCCCTCAAGTGGTACAAGAAGGCGTATCTAGAGCGACGGCACCTGGAGAAGATCTGCCCTGAAAGTCTAGTCGTGATGTTGAACAACATCGGGATGATTCATTACGAGCTCAAGGAGCTGGGTAGGCGTGATGTCATTATAACATTGATAAGATGACGTCATTACGAGCTCAAGGAGCTGGGTAGGCGTGATGTCATTTTAACATTGATAAGGTGACGTCATTACGAGCACAAGGAGCTGGGCAGGCGTGATGTCATTATAACATTGATAAGGTGACGTCATTACGAGCTCAAGGAGCTGGGCAGGCGTGATGTCATTATAACATTGATAAGGTGACGTCATTACGAGCTCAAGGAGCTGGGCAGGCGTGATGTCATTATAACATTGATAAGGTGACGTCATTACGAGCTCAAGGAGCTGGGCAGGCGTGATGTCATTATAACATTGATAAGGTGACGTCATTACGAGCTCAAGGAGCTGGGCAGGCGTGATGTCATTATAACATTGATAAGGTGACGTCATTACGAGCACAAGGAGCTGGGTAGGCGTGATGTCATTATAACATTGATAAGATGACGTCATTACGAGCACAAGGAGCTGGGTAGGCGTGATGTCATTATAACATTGATAAGGTGACGTCATTACTAGCACAAGGAGCTGGGTAGGCGTGATGTCATTATAACATTGATAAGGTGACGTCATTACGAGCTCAAGGAGCTGGGCAGGCGTGATGTCATTATAACATTGATAAGGTGACGTCATTACGAGCTCAAGGAGCTGGGCAGGCATGATGTCATTATAACATTGATAAGGTGACGTCATTACGAGCACAAGGAGCTGGGTAGGCGTGATGTCATTATAACATTGATAAGGTGACGTCATTACGAGCACAAGGAGCTGGGTAGGCGTGATGTCATTATAACATTGATAAGGTGACGTCATTACGAGCACAAGGAGCTGGGTAGGCGTGATGTCATTATAACATTGATAAGATGACGTCATTACGAGCTCAAAGAGCTGGGCAGGCGTGATGTCATTATAACATTGATAAGGTGACGTCATTACGAGCTCAAGGAGCTGGGCAGGCGTGATGTCATTATAACATTGATAAGGTGACGTCATTACGAGCTCAAGGAGCTGGGCAGGCGTGATGTCATTATAACATTGATAAGATGACGTCATTACGAGCTCAAGGAGCTGGGCAGGCGTGATGTCATTATAACATTGATAAGGTGACGTCATTACGAGCACAAGGAGCTGGGTAGGCGTGATGTCATTATAACATTGATAAGATGACGTCATTACGAGCACAAGGAGCTGGGTAGGCGTGATGTCATTATAACATTGATTAGATGACGTCATTACGAGCACAAGGAGCTGGGTAAGCGTGATGTCATTATAACATTGATAAGATGACGTCATTACGAGCTGAAGGAGCTGGGTAGGCGTGATGTCATTATAACATTGATAAGGTGACGTCATTACGAGCTCAAGGAGCTGGGCAGGCGTGATGTCATTATAACATTGATAAGATGACGTCATTACGAGCACAAGGAGCTGGGTAGGCGTGATGTCATTATAACATTGATTAGATGACGTCATTACGAGCTCAAGGAGCTGGGTAGGCGTGATGTCATTATAACATTGATAAGATGACGTCATTACGAGCTCAAGGAGCTGGGTAGGCGTGATGTCATTATAACATTGATAAGATGACGTCATTACGAGCACAAGGAGCTGGGTAGGCGTGATGTCATTATAACATTGATTAGATGACGTCATTACGAGCTCAAGGAGCTGGGTAGGCGTGATGTCATTATAACATTGATAAGATGACGTCATTACGAGCTGAAGGAGCTGGGTAGGCGTGATGTCATTATAACATTGATAAGATGACGTCATTACGAGCTCAAAGAGCTGGGTAGGCGTGATGTCATTATAACATTGATTAGATGACGTCATTACGAGCTGAAGGAGCTGGGTAGGCGTGATGTCATTATAACATTGATAAGATGACGTCATCACAGTGGTAGCTAGCAAGTCATTGCAGGTGGTTTTTAGAATAAGTTTTAGTATACTGACGTCACTGTTGCTGCCTTACTTTAGGACATCTCTGGTCATAAACTTTAGATCAACTTTTTCAAAACTTTAGTTTTTAATAATATCAAATTAGATTTAACAAAAAATTATACGTACAGAAATCTACGAATATGTAGGAATGAAGCAGTATTATTGTAAGCCCCGTGGGTGATGCAAATTGTATTGGTATATGGTCAAATTAAAATGAAGGTAAAATTAACAACCGTATGAATTAGGATGAAGGCTTTTGTGAACTGACGACAATTCATAAAATATTTTTAGAATATTTTATTTTAGCTTTTCAGTATCATATTTGTCGGTTACAGATGTTAGAGTTCTGTTGTTAACGGTGTAGTGTTGATGTTTTAGTTCTGTTGTTGATGTTGTATTGTTGTTGATGTTGTATTGTTGTTGATGTTGTATTGTTGTTGTCAATGTTGTGATGTTGATGTTGTATTGTTGTTGATGTTGTATTGTTGTTGTCAATGTTGTGTTGTTGATGTTGTCGTCTCTGTCCAACAGACACCGCCAAGACTTACATCAGAAAAGCTGTTGAAATAGGCCGCAGAAGTCGGTGGCCCCACAGCAACACGGCCCTGGCGTTTGTGCACCTGTCAATCATCAACTTCAAGGAGTAAGCGGCTCACGATAACAAAATCTAATTCTAGAATCTGCATATAGTTAGAAGATTTTTTTTTATATAAACAAGCATTTTATTATGAAATGTATCTGTATATATATATATATATATATATATATATATATATATATATATATATATATATATATATATATATATATATAATATATATATATATATATATATATATATATATATATATATATATATATATATATATATATATATATATATATATATATATAATATCTAAGTAAGATGTCTGGTTGAAAAGCAACAGCTGCCTTTTTAAACATTTGCCTATTAATCTATTTTAAAAAATCCCTCTTGCTATATCGAGCCTCACTACTTTTGTTTCTCTGCTTACCACTAACCAGAAAGAATTTCATGGAGACGCTCCGGCTGCTGGTGGAGGCCGATACTATGATGCTGACAATCGGCAGGAACTACGAATTTCGGCTCCGGATCACGGAGTCACTGCTCCACGTTCGCGTCATCATTAGCCAGCTGGGGCTGACCCCAGGAGCCGGGGAGAGTGAAGACGTGGAGCGGCTCCTGAAGAAATCTGCAGCAGACATTCTCCGGGACCTGCTGGCCATCGGATCCACAGTCAAGGGCCATCTAAGCGATGAGGGCCACAGTCGCATGCTCGCTGCCTACGAACACGGGATCATTTTACACTGGAATGTTCTAGAAGAACGCGAGCAGTACAAACAGGAGCTGCTGCACTACGCCCACGCCAACGGTTGGGTGCGAAGTGTTCTGTTGTCCAACAAAGACATCACACGCTCCAAGTCTGAACAGCTGGTCAAACACAGGCCGTTGTATGATTACCTGGTGAGGACAGAAGACTTGCAACTCTCAGAGGTAACAAGACACGTCTTTGATACCTGCACTTACTGTGCCATAGTTAGACAGTACTACACCGACCAGATCTGGTCCAACCACGTACAGCAACAGCAGATGGTCGCTCGCGGATAAAGATGGGATCTAAATATAACAATACAGACAGATAACTCTAGGATATATATTTCTCCTGTATACTATTTAATATATACCCACATAATTCTTTTAACATTATAAATATGCTTACTTATAACTGTAATTATAGAAAAAAAGTAAAAACAATTATGTTTAAAATAAATATCTTAATTCTTTGTTTAAAATTTTTTTTATTTAAAAAAATAATAATTAAAAAAAAATCTTTGTTTTTCAGGGGAGGTAATAAAGAAATGTTCTAACTAAATTTACTCATTGTTACCTCGCTTTATAGAAGCTTGATCTTTGAACCTTTCGTTGTTAGCAATTGTTATAAATCGATCGATATTCTGCACTAGATCTAGTTCCTTTAAAAAATTAAATTGTAAAAACTAAATTAGCTAATTTTCGTATAGACCTTTCCTGTAGGCTAGTTTTTTAGCTTGGCAGGCTGCTAATCAGTTACCTTAAAAAATATGACTACATGTAAATAGAATAAATAAATGCTTCTTGAATAAAAAAAATTGCTTAAAATCTTTGTTGACTATAGTTAAAAAAAATAAACGGCGCCGTATTAAACGAATCCAAGAAAAGTAGTTTGTGTAAAAATGTTTGTTAGGACGAAGGGAGGGAGGAGAGGGGTTTAGTGGCGTCTCTGGGTCAGCTGTCACCCGGTGTCACCCCCCCCCTCCCGCCCAATATGTAGTGACGCTACTAATAAGATATCTACGATGTTAGTTTGAATCCCGCCGTGACCTTTGAACCCAGACTATTGTTTACATTTATAACGAGGCTTATAACCCATGGCTGATGGTGTTATAATCGAGAGCTCTCTCCATGACACCATGCATGCCTTTGTATATCCAGTCATTTTTCACACTAATGTAGCGTCACAAGACAGGGGGACTGGTGCGGTCCACAGCGGGTGACACCATTTGGGGGGTGACACCATTGAGGGGTTGACACCATTTAGGGGGTGACACCATTTAGGGGGTGACTCAATTTAGGGGGTGATACCATCTAGGAATTACACCATTTAGGGGAAAGTTGTAAAATTTACTATAAAAAACTATGTTTTACCAGTCAAAATAAAATAGTAGGGTATAGGGGGGATGGTTCTTAATGAAAATTCAGCATTGTTGGGGTGGGGGTTGGGGGGGGGGGGCGGGGGTGGGGGGAAGGTGGAGTGACACCCTCAGTTACCCCACCAGGTGACACTCGACCTTATGAGGAGGAGGCTGTTGAGGGTGGGACACACATAGAATTGTATTAAAAGCTAAGTGCTGATCTTGCAAATTCATCTACCGCTTTATCTCATTCGATTTTTAAAAAATGCGTCAATTAATTACCCAAAACAAAACTAATTTGATTTTTATCAAAAATAATTTCCCACCCCTGGCATTGGTATCAGCCAAGAACCAGACATTGAGAGACCTTTGTATAGCAATTACCCTTGACCTACTTTTATTCCCATGCAACTGAATTATTTGTTTCGTGTCGAGTTAAACTTTTTAACCCAGACGGCCAATTGTTTATCTAAGTCGACGATATGGCGTGCCCTGGCGACACGGCCCTGGCAAACAACTTAGTTCCCACCCACATGGAGTACGTGCTCTGATTTACTTCCTCTAATTAGCTGTCCCAATTAACAACATTGACAAAACAAACTTCCACTACAGGGGGGTTTAGACCCAATTATTTCTTTTAGCCCTTCACGAGAAATGGTTAACAAACCTTAAACTTATTACAAAATTTGTCAGCTGTGTAAATTCTTTTGTTGATTTGTGAAATATTATTTAATTAATATCGCAAAGACGAAATTTTAACCCATGCTACGTTTTACAAGATGTAACTTGATTCCTTGTGTTTAGAACGAAAATGTAACATATGCTACGTTTTACAAGATGTAACTTGATTCATCGTGTTTAGAGCTTAATAAATGAGCTTAATGATTTGTGCTTCGATCGTCGGGATCCAAACCAGAGGCGTGGCGACTCTTCCCGGCGTCCGTGGACAAAATTTCGATTTGCAACCCCTCCCTCGAACTTTTGAGTTGAACCCCCCCCCCCCCCTCAAAATTTCGATTTGCACCACCCCCCTCGAACTTTTGATTTGCACCCCTCCCTTCAAGCTTTCAATTTGTTTTTCCAACCCATTTTGGCGTCCCCCCCCGCCCCCCCCCTCTCGCTACGCCTCTGGTCCAAACTTGCGGATAAAACTTCACCCTGTTCTAAAGAACTGATTAAAAAAAAAAAGAACAACTTTACATCAAGACCCGAGAGTGATGTGATGTGATGTGATATGACGTAACATGTGAGATGATTAGATGTTTAATTATTTTTTAAGTATTATGATATAGGCCATGTTGTATCCTTGACATTGGTGGCAGTGATGATTTTGAAACCTACGATTGGCCAATGGATCAGGAACACAATTATTTAAAAGTCATACACTTCCGGTAAATATTTGATTCGTGACATTGGATAAAATCTGATTTTAATTTATCGCACTTTCCCTTTATAATTTTAAAAAATTATTTAAAAAAAAACAACAACAAAATAACAACAAAACAAAACACCAACAAAAAATTGTTTTAGATGCATAAATCAATCTTTATATAAATGAAGGCTGTTTGTCGGTTTGTCTGGGTTTTTTTTTAATGCTTTACTATACATTTCATCAGATCGCCATTAGGATAGTTATCGAGAATACTGGTGGGGAGCCGTCCACCCGACTGATGTGATTTGGCGCCCCTGGTACCCCGCAAGCAATATGGCGTATAAAAAATATGGCACAGGACTGTGGCACCTGCATTCGTTTTAAAGAGCACCCTACAATAGAGACACGATGGCACGCGACATTCGATGATTAAACCGGACCGTGGACTGTACCTCCTGCGTTTGTGCAAATGATGGCTCCCGAGAGCGCCCCACGATCTCCCTGACACACCTGCAGTCGCTGAGGTGTGTTCTACCTCATTAAAACGTAGGGTGTTTAACATACGCCTAAGGATTCTTAGAGCACGCTGGCGGTAGTGTATACAAACCAGGCCCCAAAAAGTAGGATACAAGAAATATAGCGTCGGCATTTGTTTACATAAAAATAACTCAGTTTAAGAAAACAAGGTCTCGTGTCTACAAATCCACGACTGGTAACGCATTTCTAAAATTTTATTAAAACTTCACGTCAGCCTTTCTTTAGAGATCGCAGCAACGCACACGACGGGTACGTAGAAAAGTTTTAAAATCGCGTATATCAATAACACCGTAACAAAACCCAAGAAATATGCCAGGTCCGTTTGGAGATCCCAACTGGTCCTTAAGTACCCTTGGGTGTAGTCGCACACTTGCGGTCTCGAATTTTTTTCAGCGCACATTGTTTCTTATACCAGATCACAACTACACATGCAGACTCCCAGCGGTACAACCCACAACCCCCAACCCTACAATGATAAAATCGCTGAAATTGGAAAAGTAACACCACACAACTTTAAACCTTATAACGATCAGAACCACCCACACTTCAAACCTCTTTATAACCTCCTTAAAACTAGAGCTACACCCCCCCCCCCAACAAAGCACGTCTACCGCCCCTGCTCCACTTGGAACGAAATAGAACTACATACAAAATATATACTTTAAATAATGTCTGCATCCCCACCCATACGGAAATTTAAGCCCCCCCCCCCCCCCCCCCCCCTACGGAAAATTCAAGTGCCCCAGGAGAATGTCTAAAAGAAATGCTGCTTACAACACCCAATCTCTCCCAGCTTTTTAACAGTGCGACCACACAATCCAGCATACTTAAAATAACATTAACTCCCCCCCTCAACCGTACCCCCCCCCCCCGATCATAAAGCGCTTCAATTCTCTAAACATTTAACTGTTCATTATTACAAAACACATAACACCCCACCCTCCCCATACCCGGCCCCTCTCTCCACTTCCGCCCCAGGCTGCAGCAGTTGTCCCTCCCCTGCGCCGCTTGGCTCAGTGGTTGGAGGAAGTTGTTCGGAACTCAACGGAAATAAATCGACAAGCCAAAAAATGTGCGGAAATCGTTCTTGAGTTTGACATTATGTGTGTGTTTTAACCCACTTAAACCTAGCTCAGCTCATGTGACAGATACAATCTTTATGCTAAGTTTTTAGATCAAATGTGATTCATTAAAACTGACCATCTTGAGCTAAAATACATGGAGGATAGTTTCCCTATCTTAACCACAGACATTGTGTCCATAGTGGTTAGAGGCGCCACAGTTCCAGAAGCAAATCGTTACATAGTTGTCGTTGTGACGCTATTTCAAGGAGTGACGCAAATATGTACACGAATTTGGCCAATAAGACGTCAGTGTGTAAGGTGAAACCAATCGTTACATATAACTTTATAACTTCACATATAACTGTATAACTTTACATATAACTTTATAACTTTACATATAACTTTATAACTTTACATATAACTTTATAACTTTACATATAATAAGGGACTTACTTATGACAAGGGAGTTACTGCTAATCCAAATGTCACGAATTCGAATCCCGGGCTCCAGTGTTTCTTCCAGACTTTTTTTCTCCGGGGGTGGGCACTTGATATTTTTTTTTGGGGGGAGGGCGGTCTACATTTTTCGGGGGTGGGGGGAGGGGTGACACTAGTAAAAGTGTATGTTTACTATATAAATTCCATCTCGTTCGTGGGGGGGGGGGGGGGGCGGAAGACTTTCTTCGGGGGTGGGGATGGAGCCCCCACCCTCCCCGAAGAGATGCCTGGAAGAAACCCTGCCGGGCTTTCGTCCTTGAATACTAAGCTCTGATGGATATCTGACCCACGTTAGGGAAAGTAAAGACAGCTGTGAATAATGATGTCTACACTATCCCTTCATACGCCGAGCCCAACGAAACAGTTACGCTCTACTTCACTTGCCCTATGGACCGTCAGGTTAAAGGGGGTACTCTATTTTTGACATTTTTATAACAAGTCTTGTTAGGTATTGTAGAATTGAATAAAAAAGGTTATGTCTTTAAAATAGTTCAATGTAGTCTACTTAAGAAACAAAATTTTGCGAAATGTATTTAGTTTAAAAAGTGATAACAAACAGCTGTTTGGGAAAGTTTTATAGGAATATAGGTTGAGCCTCTGCTCAATGTCCTTATCACAAGAGAAGCATCTGCATATATATATATATATATATATATATATATATATATATATATATATATATATATATATATATATATATATATATATATATATATATATATATATATATATATATATAAACACACACACACACACACACACATATATATATATATATATATATATATATATATATATATATATATATATATATATATTTATATATAATGAAAAAAAAAGTATGTTGAATCTTTTAGTATGTATTTATTTATCTTTACCCCGAAAGGTCAAAAGTTCTAGCCTAACACCTCCCCGGACCCCCGTCGTCAATTCCCAGAACAGCCCACACCCAACCACAGTAAATCTGATCATTTGAAAAAGACTTTAAATCAATCCGGATTACCAGGATTAGCCTGTCGCTGGCTTTAGTAACTGCCGTCATGCAGATCGAGGATTCTGACGACTTCCGGTAAGAAAACCCCGCCAACCCAAAAATAACCGAGTAGCCCTTAAGTAACGTACGCGGCTGTGATATGGAGCCAATCACGAGGACTGACTCAGTAGGATTATGGTACAATTAGCGGGACTAATTAAGGATGTGAGATTCTAAGTTGTAATTAACAGAGCGGGAAGAAGTGATGTCTGTCATTACAGCCAATGCTGGCCTTTCGACGAAAATGTATTAGTCTCTCATATATTTATGGCTTGTTGTGTGGCATATAATGTATTCGAATCAGGGTTGCCACATTGGCCGTATTCCTGGCCATCTACAATATTCCCGATAGTTAGACGAATCTTTTCTTGACAAGATTTATGGGCCGTATGGGTGAAAGGAACTGTTACATTTTAAAGCAACTATTATTTTTTTTTTCTTCCTTGTAATAATGTTAGCATATAAAAGACTTTACACTTCTTACTGAAGTGAATGGGTAGAAGAATGAAAAAAAGCAGGGGGGGGGGGGAGTTAAGACCATTGTGACGATGTGCTGCCTAGCTGAGGAAGGGGTGGGTGGGGAGGGTTCAGGATGTTGTATTTAAAAAATATTCTTTAAAAAAAAAGACGGATGTTCGGGGGGTAGGGGTACGTGGGATGGTCGTATGACGCGTGTGACGTGTGCCAATAGGTTTGTAGGCTGGGGAAAGGAGGGGGGAGTTGGTAAAAAAAAGTAGATAACTTTTTTATAGAGTAAAGTAACTAATTCTCTTTAGACTTAGATATCCATTGGGTTGATGAAAGTAAAGTTCTTATGTTTCTTGACCTCGGCATATGAAGGAAAGGTGTGGTCAGCACTCTGCCCAGCCACCTTTACTTTCCCTAGCTTGAGTTGGGTACCCATCAGAGCTGGGTGGACTCATGGACTTTCCACTGAGTTGCACCCGGATTCGAACTAGAGACTTTAGCAGCCTTGCACTGTACCGCTTAGGCCACGTCCTCAGAACTTCTTTATGGAAACTTTTTTTTTCTTTTTACCTCCAAAAAATATTTAACTTTCAATATTATCATGATTCATTTTTTGTCATTTATTTAAAAAAATGACGTTTAAATTTCAATTAACATAATCCCTTTAAGATGCCATTAACAGAGTGTACAAGATGATTAAAATCAACATGGCTTGTATGTGTCACACTTAGACCAAGGCCCTACTATTTCTATCAATTTATTCAAGTTGGTGAAAAAGCGCCTCCCCCCCCCCCAGTGGGACAGGTTGATGGTACTTTTTATCAGTCACTACCCCAAAGGTTTTTATTGTGGTGCAACCAAAATGACGTAGGAAACAGTTACATCGTTATGTAAAGACATGTAGCTGTTTACTTTCTTAACTTTGACTTTTCAATTTTTTTCTACCCCTTTTGGCGCCTCTTAAGGGTAGGCACCCGGGGCGGCCGCCCCACCCTCCCTCCCCTAGTTACGCCACTGAGGGCCGAACATAGTTTTTCTATTTTCCTCATCGTGACAATGCCAGCGCTGCAATCTTAATCTAATTTATTTTGGCGGGCCACTACAACGTAAGTGGCCACATTCCTTTTCGCCGACACGCATATATCGTACGTTGTCTGTCATTGAATTTCTAATTTCAATGAATCCTCATGGTTCTATTTTTTTTTCTACCAACAATTTGGCAACGCGATTAAAAATTTATCTGGCAGCCACGAATAAAACTAGCGCAAGCTAGTGCGCTACTAAATATATCACAGCCGGATCTAGTGTAAATGAGTAGCTTCAATCTACCACAGGCCAATGGAGGGGTTAGAAACATGTACGGGACGTGAAAGGTAAGGCCTGTCGTCTCTATAGCGCTAGCTAGTTTTCGTGTGGTGTTTATTACTGGCGGTGTTTAGTACGACCGCGTTAGAAAGTCAAGTTCTTAAATTCAATAGTTAATTTGACAGTTTACAAAGAGGTATCACATTGCATCGTTTAATCTTTAGAGTCTTAGAGTCACTGTTATAATGTGTGTGACTATTATCTATAGGGTCTAAGGGTCAATCTTATATAAGGTGTGTGACTATTGTCTATGGGGTTTGTCCATAATATAGCGTCACAAACATTGGGGAGTCGGGGTCAGGTGGGGGGGGGGGGGGGGCTGACTTATTGTGACATGATGTTAGGGGTAGGGATGGTGGGTCAAATTCGACAAAAATAGAGCGATTTCAATTTGAAAATAATATTTGTGTCGTTTTCAATTTTATAAAATAGTATTATTGCTATTATTATTGTTATTATTATTATTATTAAATGATTATTATTTATTTACTTTATACTACTATAGTTACTACTACTACTACTACTACTGCTACTAATTATTAATTATTATTATCATTGTTTTTGCTATCGATATTGTTATATCTTTAACCCTATCAAAATTGAAAAATACATTAGAGTGATTTCATTTGAAGATAATATATGTGTCGTTTTCAATTTTATAAAATATTATTATTATTATTTAATGGTTATTATTTATTTACTTTATACTCCTACTTCTACAATAACTGCAACAACAACTACTACTACGACTAGTACAACAGCTATCGGTATTGTTATATTTGTCATCATGTCTCAAACCCTATAAAAAAAAGGTTCAGCGTGTCATTAATTGTTTGATCGACACAGCATTAAACCGAGTGCACCTGTGCTACCTATTTATTACATGTGGGTAAACTGTTCAAACCAGTGTTTACTTTTCTTCAATTGGTTTTGTGTTAAGATCGGTCAGGGATTATTTCAAATCGCGCGGGTTTGTTTATTGAATGTTGAGTGCACAGTATCCCGTGACAATAGTAACACCCCCCCCCCCCTTGACTAGCCACTCCACAAGTCAGGTGTTTCATCATATGTAGGCTACCCCAGTAGACGACATAACCCTTGTCACATTTACACCCCCTGCCATACCCTTGTCACATTTACACCCCATCATATGTAGGCTACCCCAGTAGACGACATAACCCTTGTCACATTTACACCCCACCATATGTAGGCTACCCCAGTAGACGACATAACTCTTGTCACATTTACACCCCACCATATGTAGGCTACCCCAGTAGACGACATAACTCTTGTCACATTTACACCCCCTGCCATACCCTTGTCACATTTACACCCCTTGCCATACCCTTGTCACATTTACACCCCACCATATGTAGGCTACCCCAGTAGACGACATAACCCTTGTCACATTTACACCCCCTGCCATACCATTGTCACATTTACACCCCCTGCCATACCCTTGTCACATTTACACCCCCATCATATGTAGGCTACCCCAGTAGACGACATGCTATCTCATTGACACTTTTATAGACTAAAGAATTTATCATGTCTATTCCATCCCAGTTTAAATTTCCCCGTCCCTCCCCTTCCCCAGTTTACCATATCACATATAGATCTACATAAATAATTGACGCGTCATAAAATTGAAGAAACATTTCTTTTATAGACCAAAGAACTAGTCTCGTGAACGGGCGTGTATAGTATTGTCAAAATTCCCACCTGGCCCCCAACCCGTATAACACCTCCTTACAACCACCCTGCACCCGCCCCTGCCATGTTTACCCGAAAGACTCCAACACCACCCAGTAAACTGAAGCTAATAAAACACCTGGGCAGGTGGGGGGGGGGGGGGTGGAGGGCGTTGAGGTACCAACCTCTCGCTCACTCCTCAAAGATTTCCTTTTGATCCGCTGGAAAAAAAAACCCGAAGGCTGACTAAGGTGAAGGTCACGCTTCATTCTTTAACGCCCCCCCCCCCCTAATAGTACCATAGTCGTTAGGTGGTAAACAAGTAGTCAGCAACCCTCTTCACCATAGAGCTGGTGAATAAATGAGTCGGGTACGACACGTCTAAACCACCGCTCATATGATATTTATACTCTATGAGCCTCGATGAGGAGGGGAGGGAATGGATGAAGGCTGAAGGTTGATGTCTGGTTGTTTACACCAACCTTTAAAATTACTACCAAATTACTACCATTTAAATCTAAACATTTTATGCATTTTGATTCAGTTTTGCAACAAGCTTATTAAATTAAAAAATGATTTATGCATTGTCCTGAAATGAAAACTTAGTTGTAGATTAATTTTAGAAATATTAATTGAAAAAATAATTACGTGAAAGCTTGTCACATTGGGTTGTCATCGGGCTTTGAAATATGCAGTGGCGTAGCCAGGATCGTCTCAAGGAGGGGGGGGGGGGTCCAATTTTTACCCGGGGACAAACTTCCGATTTGAACCCACCCCCCTCAAACTTTCGATGTGCACCCCCCTCAAACTTTCGATTTGCACCCCCCCTCATACTGTATATATATTTATATACCGAGGGGTCTAGGGGGGGGGGGATTATGACCCCCCTAACACCCCCCCCCCTGCCTACGCCACTGGAAATATGTATCATGTTTGAAAAAAAAGGTTATGTAAAGTGGTGGAAATTTCGCCCGCCAGTTTTGACCCATGACAGACGAAGATAAAGAAAACGACAGACAGACAAGTTACGTTATATAAAAGCTTGTAAAATGTCAGTGTTCTATAATCGTTTGGTAATATGTTACATATCGTTGTTTACAGGTTACTTAGCAACAGCCCATCAAGAGGAGGTTGCGGCGAAAGTGACCTACTGACCTAGATAAGGCCACTTGAACATGCAAGCATAGAAAACAATGCGCAGAAACTGGCCCGACAAAACCTAGTCAAAAAAAAAATATCTAGTCCAAATCTCTTGAACGCCGAATAAGGTCAGGATAAAAAACAAGATGAGCAGACGTCAAAATAGTCCACTTCCGTCCAATCTTGTCAACACCCGCCCTTCTGGTTCTGGTACCGACCTGTCCTTAGCTCTGGATCTGTATCAGCTCAACATCAGCTATCAAATCAAAGACCAGAACATACTACGCCGCTTGAGAAGCGAGAGTGGATCCACGCAGCCGAGAGTAGAAACCGGCCATAGAAATAACAGACCCAGGTCTTTTGCTGGCGAACACATCCGAGATTCACGCGGGACTCCGTCGCCTGGCCCACTAAGATGTCAAGGCTGTTACGTCACACCCAGCGCGTCCCAAACCTTACACGGATTGCACGCCAATGGAACCGCATCACAAGACAGATCACCGGAATTTCCCGTTTCGCCCAGCACGCCAACCGATACGTCACAGGGCTTTTACGTCTCGCCCAACACACCGACCGACAGCTCACAGGGAATTCCCGATACGTGTGATGCGGTTTTCGGGAATTCCAGAGAGTTTTACTTCACGCCCAGTGTGTCTGGCTATGAACTGTCCATGTCCGAAACAACGCTAACTCCTTCATCACAAGGGCATTTTTCACACACCACTCTTACAACTGCAAGTCATGCAGAGCAACGAAATGCTTACACCGCTCTTACTTCGACAAGTCCTGCACTTACAGATTCAACGATACCAAGATTTGATTACATTCTGACTTCTCTTGAAAACGGTGTTGAACAACAGGTAACGGACCCTGCCTGCTCCGTCCAACGAAGTGTTCCTTACACAACGCTTACACACGATCTTTGTGAGGATCAGCGAGTTCCTTACACAGTCAGACTTGACGCAAGTCGCGGTGAACACCGTGTTCCTTACACACCGCTGGATTCACGGAGCTACAATCAACAACGTTCTGCTCACACTGTAAATAATCCATCCCATCCAGTAGGGCTACCTGCCACACCCACTTCTTGCAACACACACAACTACAGCCACAACTACACACCCCATCACACATCCAACCACACACACAACCACATACCCAGTTACACACCCCATCACACACGTGAACACACAGCCTACCACACCCACTATTACACACCCAACAGCACTCTAGATCACCCACACAACCACACACCACACCACTTACCCAACTATACATCTGACCATACCCAAAACTACACACCCCACCACAAACCACACCACTCACCCAACTATACATCTGACCAAACCCACAACTACTCACCTCAATACACACCAAACCACTCACCCAACTACACATCTGAGCACACCCAAAACTACACACCCCATCACATACCCAACCAGACCCACAACTACATGCCCCTTCACACACCCAACAATTCACACAACTTCTCACCCCACCACACACCCAACAACACACACAACTATACACAAAACCACTACACCCCCAACAACACACCCCAGCACACGCCCATCTACACATACAATAAGCCCTACACAACTGGTGTGTCGAGCGGCCACAACACACCTGACTACACACACAGTGTGTATACTGTGCAGCACGTGCCGACCCGACCAAACTTTGAATCAAGTACGTGTAGCCATCACAGTCTAGCGCTACATCACAGAGCGTCACATCCGGTGCCACACGGCAGTGATGGAAATTTTCTCCACAGAGGTGGAGGCGACAGACCTTTGGGATATCTACGTGCTGATACACATGCATCCAGCAAACTGACAGCAACACCAGACCAACTGGCACGGGGACAGCACCCTCAAACCAACTCCCCCGATCCCCTAAGACAACACCCCCGGACATACTAAGACAACTCCCACGGACATACTAACACTAAGACAACACCCCGGACATACTAACACTAAGACAACACCCCGGACATACTAACACTAAGACAACACCCCGGACATACTAACACTAAGACAACACCCCAACATACTAACACTAAGACAACACCCCCGGACATACTAACATAAAAACATCTGGACCTACTGCCTTTACAGCAAAACCCCAGACCTACCCCAAATCCAACTACCACTAAAACATCACTAAACCAATTGGCTTTAACTCAACACCCCCAGACCGATTGACACTGAGATACAACATCTCGGACCTACTAACACTGAGATACAACATCTCGGACCTACTAACACTAAGACAACACCCCTAGACCACTAACGGTAAGACAACACCCCTAGACCACTAACACTAAGACAACACCCCTAGACCACTAACACTTAGAAAACACCCCTAGACCACTAACACTAAGACAACACCCTTAGACCACTAACACTAAGACAACACCCCTAGACCACTAACACTAAGACAACACCCCTAGACCACTAACACTAAGACAACACCCCTAGACCACTAACTCTAAGACAACACCCCTAGACCACTAACACTAAGAAAACACCCTAGACCACTAACTCTAAGACAACTTCTCCAGATCAACTGGCACCAATAAATCGCAATATATCGCCCCCCCCCCACCCCACACCTTCCAACTGGAAGACAGGTTTCTTACGACGCTTCTTCTAAGACTATATAATTCTACTAATAAAAATGTGAAATGCAATTGTGTAGTAATCTATTTCTTTTAACATTTCAATTTCTTATTGGTGATTCTAAGCATAACTGACGTAGGCCATTTTCTAGAAAAGTAGACAGTCCACATTAATGTTATAGTTATTACATTTTTATGGTAAATTTAAAAAAATGTCCCATACACGTATATATATATATATATATATATATATATATATATATATATATATATATATATATATATATATATACACGTATATGGGACTTTTTTTTTAATTTACCATAAAAATGTAATAACTATAACTATATAACTATATATATATATATCTAATACTATAATGGGCCACGTTCGCACATCTCTCTCTCTCTCTCTCTCTCTGTCCGCAAAAATTTTTCGCCGGACATCACGTCAGAAACGGCAGCGATATATGGAGAACTTTATACGGACTTTTGTTGAAAATAATATGTTAGATGTTTTAAATGTATAACCACAATTTTATTTCAAGAAGAAAAATATAAAATCAAGGCGTATTCGAATGTAGAGAAACAGTATTATTTATGCAACCGGAAAAGCATTAATATATGTGTAAAAGAACGCATAAAACTATGACGACACTATTGCTTACTAATGACGTCATCTGCCGTGTTTAGAATAAAAAAGAAATGAACTATTTCATTCAAATTTGATTTAGATCTACGTAAAACTATGAAATGTATACAATACAATTTTTCCGGCCTAAACTCATAACATTAATTTATACAAAATCTTTGTTTGGAACTGGCTAATTTGGGATAAAAAAATTAATTTGAAAGAATAGGCATATTCGCGTAAGTTAAGATTTTAAAATAGGTCTTTCATTCTCTGTATTTTATAAGGTGCCTAAATAGCGGAGATGTTAGTGTACTATAAACCACGCAGGTGGTGCGGGTTCGAGACCCACCAAGTCAACTTGGTTAATGTATTTTTTTTTTATTTTGCTCGGACAAAACTTAAAAAAAAAAATTCAATTAGGATTCTAGATCTAGATCTAGATTGTCGGGTGTCCGATAAGGCACTTCCCGGCGCCGCAGGCGCTTCAAATTTGGCAGGATCTTGCCTTGGGGCGACAGAGCACGGGGGCCGGTTGGCCGAAAAGTCTACGATGAGGGGGTCAAAACTGACCTCGACTGACCGGTACCTTATATGAGCTATAAATCGAAAAAAAATGTCCACGGAGGAACCTCTTCATAACTCTTGAGGTCGTAGACCGACCCTCGGGCGAATTAATTAAGCATTCAAATTCTCAATGTTTTCGAAAGCCTAAGCGAAGCTGGGCAGCATGCCTAGTATATATATATAAAACTATATATATATAAATATAAATAAATAAATATATATATATATATATATATATATATATATATATATATATATATATATATATATATATATATATATATATATATATATATTCATATAACCACTGGCTATCAACCCAGAAGTTGTAAGTTTATTTTTTAAGAAATTTTGTAGCAACTTAGAAGTCATTCAGAAAATATAAGAACCCCACCCATAGTCAGTAATCAAGACCAGTCACTTATCTCTCATCTGTATTGTAGTTGGTGCCATACCGGAAGTTGACGTCGACAACATACTGAAAACTGTGATCGTAGCTGTTAATCTCACACGGAGCTGTGGAGTTATGTACTCACCTAATCATAAACATAACGTTTCCAGGGATATCGCTTGAATGTATGGCAAGGGCTATAACTCATCTAAAAGTGTGAAGAGTTAAGCACTTGGTATTTAAGAGTAAGCCGATTCGTCATCTATGACTATGTTAGTCACCTGACCAGCTGTGACGTCATCACTGTTGTAAATCAGAAGAGTTGGCGACAAGTTAGTTTCGCCATTCTAATTAGCCTGTTGTTTATTAATATAACATTCACGTGACCCCCCCCTCCCCCCCCCAAAACGCGACACACCTTGACGTGGCACCTATCAAATCACACAGTTCCATTTACGATATAGACGTCATTAACAAAAAAAAAACACGTAATCCCCCCCCCCCCCGCCCCCCTTATTACAGGATCGAAGTTAATCCTGTGTTCTCTGACACCTCCCAAATGTCTGTATAGCACTGTCCACGATATTTGGCTTATCTAAATCCCTGTCCTGTCCCAGCAAACATGCACCCTCCCAGTGCACTGGTGTCTCTATCTCTATTGTGATCTCTACCACAAAACAACGGTGTGGTCTAAATGAGTTTCTCAACGAGGTGTTGGTCCACTTGATACAAGACTGGTGCCAGTCTTACAAAACTGCCTGTCTGTCTGGTACTGTCGTGTGGGCAGGTTAGGCTAACAGAAATATGTGTCAAACAATAACTTGTTTGCTCACGGTTAGCGTCTTGTGTAGAGCTTTTTCATTGGTCGTTAAAGTAAACACCGTCGGCAATATGTATTTCTCAACCAATCAGATGAGCACAAAGTCGCTACAGTTTTTTGTGAAAAAAAGACAAGACCTAATGTAATTGTCTTAAGCCTTAACGACCACAGATAAGCGTAATTATTGAGCATGAAAGGATTTTAAATGTTTTTGTGTAGAGAGATCATATTACTAATTACTACGTACACACTGAGTTTAAATTTTTATAAAAGGTATACAAAAGGTTTAAAACTGTATCAATTTGAAGTTTTATATATATATATATATATATATATATATATATATATATATATATATATATATATATATATATATATATGTGTGTGTATATATGTATATATATATACATATATATGTATATATATATACATATATATGTATATATATATATATATATATATATATATATATATATATATATATATATATATATATATATATATATATATATATATACAGAGAGAGAGACAGAAACAGACAGATCGACATACACACGCAGGCACACACGCACACAAACCCCACACTCACGCACACACACACGCACACATTTTAATTTCTCATTTTTTCAAAGAATATCATCGTGTACTCACAAGTAATGTTCCCCCCCCCCCCCCCCACACCAATGCCACAATTATTCTGCCGTATAGACTATTCATTAGACACCTTTCTGTTAAAGATAAGTCTCATTTGGTCTGCCGCAAACATTCAGCGCGTTGTTTCCCCAATACATACCATTGTCGCCACACCACGACTGTCTTGTGAAGCACATTCCACTCTAACTTGGTGGATTAGTTTTCGTTTACTGGAGGGAAAACACCTAATCAGGGATTAAATTTTCCCCCAATTAAACGCGGAAGGAAGAACACAATGACAAGTAGGGGTGGGTAAGGACCAGTACATTTATTTAGCATGCGCGTACAAGATATTTGTGAATGTTTAAAGTTAATAACAGTGTGCGGTGTCATCAAAAGTGTTAGGTGTTACTCAATGTGTTACTCAATGTGTTACTGAAGGTGGTAGGTGTTACTAAAGGTGTTACTGAAGGTGGTAGGTGTTACTAAAGGTGTTACGGAAGGTGGTAGGTGTTACTAAAGGTGTTACTGAAGGTGGTAGGTGTTACTAAAGGTGTTACTGAAGGTGGTAGGTGTTACTAAAGGTGTTACTGAAGGTGGTAGGTGTTACTAAAGGTGTTACTGAAGGTGGTAGGTGTTACTAAAGGTGTTACTGAAGGTGGTAGGTGTTACTAAAGGTGTTACTGAAGGTGGTAAGTGTTACTAAAGGTGTTACTGAAGGTGGTAGGTGTTACTAAAGGTGTTACTGAAGGTGGTAGGTGTTACTAAAGGTGTTACTGAAGGTGGTAGGTGTTACTAAAGGTGTTACTGAAGGTGGTACTGAAGGTGTTACCGAAGGTGTTACTGAAGGTGGTAGGTGTTACTAAAGGTGGTACTGAAGGTGGTAGGTGTTACTAAAGGTGGTACTGAAGGTGGTAGGTGTTACTAAAGGTGTTACTGAAGGTGGTAGGTGTTACTGAAGGTGTTACTGAAGGTGTTTCTGAAGGTGTTACTAAAGGTGTTACTGAAGGTGGTAGGTGTTACTAAAGGTGTTACTGAAGGTGGTAGGTGTTACTAAAGGTGTTACTGAAGGTGGTAGGTGTTACTAAAGGTGGTACTGAAGGTGGTAGGTGTTACTAAAGGTGTTACTGAAGGTGGTAGGTGTTACTAAAGGTGTTACTGAAGGTGGTAGGTGTTACTAAAGGTGGTACTGAAGGTGGTAGGTGTTACTAAAGGTGTTACTGAAGGTGGTAGGTGTTACTAAAGGTGTTACTGAAGGTGGTAGGTGTTACTAAAGGTGTTACTGAAGGTGTTACTAAAGGTGTTATTGAAGGTGGTAGGTGTTACTAAAGGTGTTACTGAAGATGTTACTGAAGGTGTTACTGAAGGTGTTACTAAAGGTGTTACTGAAGGTGGTAGGTGTTACTAAAGGTGTTACTGAAGGTGGTAGGTGTTACTAAAGGTGGTACTGAAGGTGGTAGGTGTTACTTAAGGTGTTACTGAAGGTGGTAGGTGTTACTAAAGGTGTTACTGAAGGTGGTAGGTGTTACTAAAGGTGTTACTGAAGGTGTTACTAAAGGTGTTATTGAAGGTGGTAGGTGTTACTAAAGGTGTTACTGAAGGTGGTAGGTGTTACTAAAGGTGTTACTGAAGGTGGTAGGTGTTACTAAAGGTGGTACTGAAGGTGGTAGGTGTTACTAAAGGTGTTACTGAAGGTGGTAGGTGTTACTAAAGGTGTTACTGAAGGTGGTAGGTGTTACTAAAGGTGGTACTGAAGGTGGTAGGTGTTACTAAATGTGTTACTGAAGGTGGTAGGTGTTACTAAAGGTGTTACTGAAGGTGGTAGGTGTTACTAAAGGTGTTACTGAAGGTGTTACTAAAGGTGTTATTGAAGGTGGTAGGTGTTACTAAAGGTGTTACTGAAGATGTTACTGAAGGTGTTACTGAAGGTGTTACTAAAGGTGTTACTGAAGGTGGTAGGTGTTACTAAAGGTGTTACTGAAGGTGGTAGGTGTTACTAAAGGTGGTACTGAAGGTGGTAGGTGTTACTAAAGGTGTTACTGAAGGTGGTAGGTGTTACTAAAGGTGTTACTGAAGGTGGTAGGTGTTACTAAAGGTGTTACTGAAGGTGGTAGGTGTTACTAAAGGTGTTACTGAAGGTGGTAGGTGTTACTAAAGGTGTTACTGAAGGTGGTAGGTGTTACTAAAGGTGTTACTGAAGGTGGTAGGTGTTACTAAAGGTGTTACTGAAGGTGGTAGGTGTTACTGAAGGTGTTACTGAAGGTGTTACTAAAGGTCTTATTGAAGGTGGTAGGTGTTACTAAAGGTGTTACTGAAGGTGGTAGGTGTTACTAAAGGTGTTACTGAAGGTGGAAGGTGTTACTAAAGGTGTTACTGAAGGTGGTAGGTGTTACTAAAGGTGGTACTGAAGGTGGTAGGTGTTACTAAAGGTGTTACTGAAGGTGGTAAGTGTTACTAAAGGTGTTACTGAAGGTGGTAGGTGTTACTAAAGGTGTTACCGAAGGTGTTACTGAAGGTGTTACTCAATGTTCTACTCAAGGTTCTACTGAATGTGATACTGATTGTCGTCCAGGGTTTGAAATCAACGGACAGCCTTCATTTCTCTGGTCGGGGAGGAGCTACATCAACCTGCCTGATGATGTCGTCACTGTCACCATGGCAACCGTCGACCCCCACCAGCACCCCACCAGACGAGTCTGTGGATCTGATAGCGGCCTGGTGTCTGACGATCTCATTAGGAACCTCAGGACCAGACGGAACTGTGTCGTAGAATGTGTTGCTGCCTTCCGGACTACAAACGTTTTGGGCTACAAACGTTGTGGGCTACAAACGTTGTGGTCTACAAACGTTCTAGATTACAAACGCTTCGCCCCGGGCCATACAATTTCCCGGAAGATGATATCTCCTAAATACAAACAACCAGAGTTAGGAACGCTCATGGCTACGATAAAAATTAAATACGCAGGGGGGTTAACCAATTTTTTTCTATCAAGCATAACAATCGAGTGGTTGCTGGCCTTAGTTTAAAGTTTTAAAGATTGATAGTAAAAAATATTTTACTCCATCGTCTTATGAAATATGAAAAACTAGCAGGTGCAACTCTGATGACGTCATTCAGCATGTTAATGTAGATCTTGTTGATTGTTATCTATTTTAAGATAAAAAGCAGCAGGTTGCTAGTTTTGAAGAGGGTGGTACTAATTCCGTCTAACAGTAACATCTAACGGTCTTACATGCAACGCCCTTATGTCCTCTTCCGAATTTTTGAGGAAATATCTAAGGTAAAAACAAAGAACGCCTGTATAACTTGCGTATGACAAAACACGTTTATTTCGTTTGTTCACTTTCATTTCTTAATCTTCGCTAAAGATCACTGTTATTATACTTAGATAAACCATAATCCTGGTCCTAACAATACATTAGAAGATGCCTCGTCAAAACGGCCTGTGAAAAAACGACACCAACAAATCGACCCTCAGTCAAAATAACGCCGACAAAAGGGCCCCGACATATCGGCTTTTGGCCCTTTTTACTGGGTCGATGTGACGGGGCTCTTTTGTCGGGACCATTTTGTCACGGGCCGTTTTGTCGGCATCAGAAAGTTTGATTAAATTTGCTCGCAATGTTTTGTCATCTGCTCTACAGAAATTTTCGAGTTGGCGGTCATAATCTCATAATCTCCGCTCGGCCACACCGACATTTGTTAGCGCTTGCAGGACTTACTGTTTTGTAGTACTTTATATAATAAACCGGGAGTGATCTCCCCTAAACTTTCTCGAATATTCTTATATAAAACAACAGGGGATGGGAACTCGGAATATAGTTATGATTTTTAATCCATTTTAAATACTTAAACTTTTTAAAATAGAATAGAATCTCATAAAAAAAAAGAATTGTGCACCAAGCGAACGCCGAATAAAGATGTGTATAATAGTGCGGAATATTATTAGTACTTTATAAATTCACATGCGTTTTTTGAGAAATCGGAAATAGCGTAAATTAGTACTTCCGTTCAACGGAAATTACTCAAAATTTGACAGAAGGTAGAGAATTAGATCTTTTACTAAGATGTGAAATTTCATTTATCTATCTGAAATAGTACTCAAGTTATAGGCTTTTGAAAAATTCAAAGTAGAAAAAGTACCACTTCCGGTTATCGGAAATCGCTCAAAAGTTGATACGGATCTACGATTTTGATAAAATACTTATATATGAAATTTCATCAACCTAGCTGTAACGGTACTCAAGTTATCGTGTTTACACACAGACAGACACACACACACAGACACACAGACATACGGACAAGATTGCAAAATTATGTTTTTCCGTATCAGTGAGGTGTAAAAAGTCAAGATTTGTAAAAATCTCTTTTTTTTGCACGATTACAAGACTTTCTCTATACTTCGTATATACGAGAAAATAAAAAGTCATACTCTACGCTCGGCTACACGGCTACACCAACATTTGTTAGCGCTTGCAGGACTTACTGTTTTGTAGTATTTTATATCAACAGTCAGACAGGAAGGTCAGAAAAACAAATCTATAAATAGAAAATCGGTACATGAGAATTGTCAAAATGAAGTTTTAAGATTTGACCACAAGCCCACCTACCCATATACAGACATCAACAAAAGAAAAACTTGTAATACAGAAAATGGCCAGACAATCGCATAGTAGCCAAATAAAAACGAATTATTCCATCCAATGTGAATTCCTTCCTATCAACACCCCCCCCCCATGCAATTTTGTGGTGACAGACATAGCACTGGTCTTCCCCCATGTGTGGACATTTTTTGTTCCAGTCATCGTGGTGTTATGTGGAGACAAAACCTGCAACAATAAGTGGGTTACAATAACATGGATAGGGGGGTTGGGAAAACAATGTGCGCTGTATGTGGGGGGGGGGGGGGGAATTTGGAGTTTGGATGATAAGTGATGGTGTGAAGGGTTGGGATCGCTATAAGGGGATTTGGATAGTTATGGGGTGGATTGGAATAGATATTGGGTGGATTGGGATAGCTATGGGGTGGATTGGGATAGCTATGGGGTGGATTGGGATAGCTATGGGGTGGATTGGGATAGCTATGGGGTGGATTGGGATAGCTATGGGGTGGATTGGGATAGCTATGGGGTGGATTGGGATAGCTATGGGGTGGATTGGGATAGCTTGGAGGTGGATTGGGATAGCTTGGAGGTGGATTGGGATAGCTATGGGGTGGATTGGGATAGCTATGGGGTGGATTGGGATAGCTATGGGGTGGATTGGGATAGCTATGGGGTGGATTGGGATAGCTATGGGGTGGATTGGGATAGCTATGGGGTGGATTGGGATAGCTATGGGGTGGATTGGGATAGCTATGGGGTGGATTGGGATAGCTTGGAGGTGGATTGGGATAGCTATTAGGATTCGGATAGCTATGGGGAGGATTGGAATAGATATTGGGTGGATTGGGATAGCTATGGGGTGGATTGGGATAGCTATGGGGTGGATTGGGATAGCTATGGGGTGGATTGGGATAGCTATGGGGTGGATTGGGATAGCTTGGAGGTGGATTGGGATAGCTATGGGGTGGATTGGGATAGCTATGGGGTGGATTGGGATAGCTATGGGGTGGATTGGGATAGCTTGGAGGTGGATTGGGATAGCTTGGAGGTGGATTGGGATAGCTATGGGGTGGATTGGGATAGCTATGGGGTGGATTGGGATAGCTATGGGGTGGATTGGGATAGCTATGGGGTGGATTGGGATAGCTATGGGGTGGATTGGGATAGCTATGGGGTGGATTGGGATAGCTATGGGGTGGATTGGGATAGCTTGGAGGTGGATTGGGATAGCTATTAGGATTCGGATAGCTATGGGGAGGATTGGGATAGTTATGGGGTGGATTGGGATAGCTATGGGGTGGATTGGGATAGCTATGGGGAGGATTGGGATAGTTATGGGGTGGATTGGGATAGCTATGGGGTGGATTGGGATAGCTATGGGGTGGATTGGGATAGCTATGGGGTGGATTGGGATAGCTATGAGGTGGATTGGGATAGGTTAGTGTTGCCGCATACACTGCCTAGTGAGTGGGATGAGTGTGTAGAGATAACTAAAACATTAGGGGTGGGGTAGGGGTGGGGGTGGGGGTGGGGGTGAATGTTGCGGGAGTTGCACAACAAGGTTACATTGAGGTGGGTAGGCAAATCGGCTACATAAGAAACAACCCTCTGCTAAAGGAGCTAAAGGGAAATAATCAATGGCTTTATAAACAATCCTCAGCTACCCTTAAAACAATTCACGGCTTCGGCTACTGGGGAACAACCCATAGTAGCCGGGAAACAAATAAGTTTACCGGGGAACATCCGACAATTACCAGGGAACAACCCATGGAACAATCTAAGTCATGCATGTAGACACCAGGAGGCCACTCCAGTAATACGTGTCGCCTCCAGTCATGCGTGTCGTTCACGCTAATTACATGCTAGTGTCGACTCCCTCAAGTGTTCCTATCCAGCGGTCTAGATCACAACGAGGTGTGTGATTCACGAAGTTCAATGACGTGTAACGATTTTAAAACACCTTCCTGGCTTTTATGCCAGTCCTTAAGGGGCAGTCAATAGAAGACCAAGATCGATCATTAAACGTTAAAGTGAACAGAAAAACATTAGCACAGGACGTGGTTGAAGTGTGGCATTTAAAGGTAGTATTTCTAGGAAGAAAAACCAAAACGACAACATCTGAGCTTAGCATATTTTAAAGTTCTTGTGTTGTAAAACTTACTCATGCATATCTGGGTTTCCCATCCATGGTGACGTGAAATTCAAGTTCAACGGAGTTTTTTTTTTTCACTTTCTCAGGAAAACCCCCCAAAAGTTATAACACATAGGTTACCTCCCCTTGTGATACCAAGGACCCCTTAGAGTTATTTCCCCTTGCTGCACAAAACACCAACGCGTTGAATGTACACAGCTACAGTGTTGTACAACAATCCCATGATGCACATCAGTCAACACGGTCAATTCCTAGCGGTCTGTAGCTTTGACGTGAGATCATTACCATACAAATTTCGATTGTTAATGACTTGTTTAATTGGATTTTTCTTGATGAACTTTCGGCAGTTGTAGCTGTACTGAAAAGAAAGTGTTGTAACTTACTTCGCAGATGGGCGTGCTGACACATGTCAACATATCTAGATGTTGAAGTACTCACGCGTGTGGACGTATTAAGACACTCGAGGAATGGTCTATTTTTAGCATCAGTGCACGTGTTGATCGAGTGTGAGTGCTAATTCAATGGATCACGTGACCAGGGGATACTTCACTGCCAACAGGCGTGTTGGGCTTCTGGCACCATCTCTGGAAGATGTGACAGCCTCGTTGTCGCCTGTCCACCTTGACCCGTGGTCAGCACGACCAGATGTAGGTCACACGGGGGTCACAGGGTCTTATCTAGACATACGGATAGAAGAGCGGCACCAGGTCAGGTCAGCCGTTAAACCAGGGGTTGTCGTCCAGGTTTGTGGGCCACCCATGGTTGGCAAGGCAACCATTGTACGACAGGTGAGTCAGACATTTTTAAACAGGGGAGACAAGAATTGCAGTGTTTCATCAGCTGGGTTATCGTCCATTCATTGAATGTTTGACACCCTCTTCCTCCTCCTCTTGTGTTTAATATAAAGCCAAGAGTTAAGGGGAGCCACACGTGGAGGCACACCCCACTCTCTCATCGCCCGACACACAACCCCACATCCACACACCATTCAAACCCCATACACCACCCCACACCCTACATCTCACTCCACTCAGTATCTATTGCCTAACCCGCATAACACCACACAATACATCACACTTCATCATATCACATACCACACAATACATCAATGTAACGTGGAATGAAATAGTACGACAAACTACAGAACAATAAAACCAGCTGATAAATGTATTTATAAAATCACATTTGACTCCCATCTTTAAACGATTAATCGTTTTTAAAACGTTGTTACAATCATATGTCTAAAAAGAGGAATTAGCGGGGAGGGGAGATTTTAGACTTCTTAATATTCGGTATTTAGTATCAAATACTATAGTCACCAAACGAAGCCACAAATTCCACCTCCAGCCCATTTTCACGGTTAAGCTATTGGTCTGATTTTCATCTCGGTAAAGTCCAGTGTGTCGAACGCCCCGGTTATATCCACCCAGTTCAGTCCCCTGCCGTAGTCCTTACTCCCCCATAGGCCATTGAGGTTGGAGTTGTGGCACGCGGCGTACCACCACGCTCCGTGGTATATTTGGGCACAGTTTTGACTGGGGTTCGAGTCGTTATCCTTATCAAATGTACTGAACCTCTGATTGTTGTGGCTGCCAACGGCCGCAGAATATTGCGTATGAGAGTCAAGTAATCCATCCGTAGCATTCCCGGAGAACCCGCTAATCTCTAACCTGTACCCGTCCAGCTCGCTGTTCAAACGGAACCTGGCATATTTCGCGAAGTACTTGACCCCCTTAAATCTCATATCAATACGTAGTTCATAGCGCCTGAGCCTGGTCAGCTGGTGGATGTTCTCGTTGCCCAGGTAAAATTCGCCCTCCCCAAGGTCCCCGAACCCGTATTTGTACTCCTCCCAGCCCCGGTAGAAATCTGTCCTCCCGTCCATCCTCCTCTGTATCATCGTCCAGCCTCCCCCCTCTGTCTGTGTGTCACACAAGACCTCCAGCCCGCTGGCCAAGGTGACCACGGCCCTAGGGTTTTTACTGGCCACGCCCTTGCACGTGTCGTACTGTCTAGAGCAGAGCGTGCTGCCCAGAGTGATACACTGTGGTGCTGGACACTCCGAGATGGCCAGAGTGTCTGTGGGGACAAATGTTTGTACATCAGGGAAGATAGTTTGGATTATAGGCAAAGCGAAAGGTGAATGATTGTTGCATATATATATATATATATATATATATATATATATATATATATATATATATATATATAAATATATATATATATATATATATATATATATATATATATATATATATATATATATATATGTAGGTTATATAACCTATATATATATATATATATATTTATATTTATATATATATATAATACATACATATATATATATATATATATATATATATATATATATATATATATATATATATATATATATATATATATATATATATATAGAGAGAGAGAGAGAGAGAGAGAGAGAGAGAGAGAGAGAGAGAGAGAGAGAGAGAGAGAGAGAGAAAGTGAGATAGAGGGTGAAAGATACAATTTATAAAGACTTTACCTTGACAAGATCCAACTAACATCCAACCACAAGATGCTAGAACAAAAGGGAACCACTTGGTTGTTATCATGGCTGTTTTTTTTTTTAATTTTACTAGACGTCTGTTCTTACCGTCTATTCGTTGCCCTACCTGGCCGTCTGATGCCTACTAACCTGTTAAACGAACCGTTTTATAGAACACGAAGTAACAGGTGCTGCCAAAACCAATCCCCACACTGATGAGGAGAATATTGTTCCATTTTCAATATTTTGATTACGTCCGTGCTCCTAACACAGTTTTATCTCAACAATAAGGTCACGTGGAGTATGTGTATGGTCCATCTTCCACACTTGTAGCGTATGTGTATGGTCCATCTTCCACACTTGTAGCGTATGTGTATGGTCCATCTTCCACACTTGTAGCGTATGTGTATGATCCATATTCCACACTTGTAGCGTTAGTGTATGGTCCATCTTCCACACTTGTAGCGTTAGTGTATGGTCTATCTTCCACACTTATAGCGTATGTGTATGATCCATCTTGTACACTTGTCTGGCCAATCAAGTAATTGTAATATATTTTAGGGATAATTAAAATCTTCACCTGCTTTTTAAAGATTTTTCAACTGTGTTCTGATTGTACCCTCAGCGTTTTTAAAGCGAGGCAAACTTTCATTTGGTACTGAGTATAAAGTGTTGACGGTGATCGCCACAGTGCACTGACAGGTTGGCACATCGACACGTTGAATGGATGTTTAAAACCCAATGTGCTATGTTAATGGTCAGCTGTACATGTGGTACTATATGCCTTCTGCCCTCGCTACACTACTGGCTAGTGTGGTATTGTGTGGTATTTTGTGGGTTGTGTGGTATTGTGTGGGTTCTGTTGTTATGTGTGGGCTGTGTTGTATTGTGTGGGTTGTGTGGTATTGTGTGGCTTCTACATACTCGTCCGTCAAAAACACCCATGCTAACCTAACATACAGTGACTAAACTATCAAGAAATCCATCACACAGCTGAACCTTAACGCCCATTATTCACCTCTTTCATTACATTAACTTTCTCATTTATATCTCTCAGCACCAGATAGCTCTTCATCAGAATTTTTAGAAAGGTCAGACCTTTGTTTTCCCCATCTCCTAGCTCCGATCTCTCAATCACAATTCCCGTTCTAAAATCCCAACCTGTCCCCATTCATGATTTTCCACATTCACTATAGCCAATTCCTAATTACCGATGTTCGTCTTACCCTCTATTCCTGTCCCCAGTCCCCTTTCACCTGTCCTTAATCCCCATGCGAAATTTAACTCCATATTATGCATTCTCTAATGGCTTTTAAAATCATCTTCCTTCTAAAATGTTCATAAAACAGTTACGATACAATCTACCATCAATGAACTAAATGAAGGTAACTTGCAGGTAATTGATGAGATGAAGAAGGACAGCCCTGACTCCCATATACAGGCTCACACTTTTGATTGCCAGCACCTGGGCACGGCACAAGACCTTCTCGTGACAGTTGTGAGACGGTTGTGTCCACAACATGACCTGACCACAGCTACACAGGACCTCACGATGACCATGATTGGCTCAGTTTTAAGACCAGAACATCACCACATTTTTCTATTCACAAAATGTGAAGGTTTTTTAGATGGTCAACTCCCCCACTGTCTGAGTACAATTCTTCACTTCTGTAACACCAATCACGTTAAAGTTTCTATTATATTCACGACGTGCCGGAAATTTCCGGCATCTAAATTAAAAATGATGAGACTTGTAGAGGTTGGGATGTTGACAGATGTATATGACGTCACACTCCTGCTCCAGCAATGTGCCCCTAGGGTAGATGTGCAGCAATATGTCGGTCTGTGCCGGAAGTTGTTTTGTCTGCCTGGACCCATCATGCACTTCGCCAGAAAGTATCTCTGTGACCTTGAAGATTTGCCTAACCCCCATGAACTTGAGTTGAAGGTCAGCAACGATTCGAGATTTTTATCAGAGATTTTCGAGCAGAGCGCAAGCCATATCGAGCGTTGGATAAGTGACAAGGATTTGAGAGTTTTATATTATTTCTCTATCACTTTTGGAGTCATATTTACTTTAGGTAAGTTTAAGATAAATAACACACATTTTAAAATATTAACGTTTATATTCTGAAACTTTCAAAACATCTTACCATATATGAAACAAGAACTTTCTTGTTTTCTAAAACGTGATGAATTACTCAGAAAACCTCAATGTATAAAAAATGCTATTTTAAATTTTTAACCTATACAAATTATATTGTACTTTATCAGTCAATTATTCTTCGCATTTGTTCAGATTCTAAATAACATACATTCACACAAAAGAGATTATGAAATTTATCAAATTTCTCTTGTAAATATAAGCTCTGAAAACAGAACTATAAAAAAATTATATAGCTGTGTTTGCTAAAATGATTGTGGAAATGTTTGGTTCTCCTCTCGATGTCTTCAACTTGATGTCCTCTACTTGATGTCCTCTACTTGATGTCCTCTACTTGATGTCCTCTATTTGATGTCCTCTACTTGATGTCCTCTACTTGATGTCCTCTATAGACCAGGTGCAAGATGTGTATACTGACCTGACCAGACAACGGGGAGATGTGTCATGGACTTGGTTTTTAAAGCGTCATTTGAGGGAGATTTATTCCATCTGGCCTGTCACTGACACACAAGGTTGCACTGTCACTGAGACAGAAAGATTTTCAGTACATCCCCTGATGGTGTATTACAGACAAACACGCATGATAAAAGAATCTTTGGTTGTGTGGGACCAGTCTTACAACAGGTAGGCCTACACCTGTTATTTTTCAATCGGCTATAGGATTCTTTGGCTTTAGTTTATAAACAACGAACATGGAAATGTTTGACTGCAATAGCGTCACGTGTTAAAACTTATTGCGTTTACCTTCCTCATCTCATTAACTTAACTCATCCACTAACTCACTTCATCTCACTAACTCACCTCCAATTAACTCACCCCACCTTTCATCCCAAAATATAACACAACCCACGATCTCTCCCTCAGTTAACTCCACCCAGTAACTTTCTCCAATATTACACAACCCACTAACTCACCCCACCCTCCAGTTCACTCCACCCACCAATCCATGGATACAAGAAGCCAACCATGAGTATGATTCTTACAGCCACACCCAGTTCTGTTGTCACGCGCTGAAGAGGGCAGAGGTTAACATGAGGCTACACGAGAGGAGGGGGGAGGTGTACGGGTGTCTGGCACCACTCTGGCCTCGGGTCAAGCTCTCGCTAGAGATGGCGGCCCACTGCCAGGAGGGGACCTTTGATGCTTTCTACAAGGTACCACGTGACATATTTAACTTCATATTACGCTTGTCCTAGTTGAGAGTTGCTCGACTTATAATAATAATCTTAAAAGTTACCTCTATAGTTTGCCATGTAGTTGATGTTACATGAATACCTAACCTAACACAATATCGCGATGTTGAACGGACGGAGTGGTTAACAATGTTTACAAATACCCAGGCGTTTTGTAACCTCTGACCTTCGTTGCCAAACCATAGAAAAGCGACGGACAGGCAGACGCAAGTCAAAGATTCATTAGACGACATACAGACTAGTGTCGAACAAAATATGGATATCAGACGCTAGAATTAATTAGAAAAAATATCTTTTAAATTAAGGCAAAGTTTTGTAAATACGTCCCCACATTTCATGTTTCCTGACCCCAGGTCGGTGTCCATGCTCGAAGATTTATTATCCTCAACTTTCCAAACGAGTCCAGACAATTTTTTAAATGTCTGTGGGAGACTGCGTCAAAGTACGGCACAGTTCAACAGGCTGCTGTCATGGAGGCTTTCTTAGGTCATAACACTGCCATTGGTCAAGGTAAAGTTTCTTAGGTTATAACACTGCCATTGGTCAAGGTAAAATTTCTTACATCATAATTCTGCTATTGGTCAAGGTAAAGTTTATTAGGTCATAATTCTGCTATTGGTCAAGGTAATTTTTTGTAGGTCATAACACTGCCATTGGTCAAGGTAAAGTTTCTTAGGTCATAACACTGCTATGGGTCAAGGGAAAGTTTCTTAGGTCATAACACTGCCATTGGTCAAGGTAAAGTTTCTTAGGTCATAACACTGCCATTGGTCAAGGTAATTTTTTTTAGGTCATAGCACTGCTTTTGGTCAAAGTAAAGTTTCTTACGTCATAACACTGCCATTGGTCAAGGTAAACTTTCTTAGGTCATAATTCTGCTATTTGTCAAGGTAAACTTTCTTGGATCATAACACTGCCATTGGTCAAGGTAAAGTTTCTTAGGTCATAACACTGCCATTGGTCAAAGTAATTTTTGTAGGTCATAACACTGCCATTGGTCAAAGTAAAGTTTCTTAGGTCATAATTCTGCTATTGGTCAAGGTAAACTTTCTTGGGTCATAACACTGCCATTGGTCAAGGTAAAGTTTCTTAGGTCATAACACTGCTGTTGGTCAAGGTAAAGTTTCTTAGACAATAACACTGTTACTTTGTTCAATGTTTTCTTAAAAAAATTGTACCGTTCGACGTCACTCTAAGTCGTGTAACCAACCAACCGTGACCAACAGTTCACCGATCTAACCTGGTTGATCTAGTGACTGCCAACCGTGACCAACAGTTCACCGATCTAACCTGGTTGATCAAGTGACTGAGATTAAAACAGTTATTATTTCCCGTTTAATTATTGATTAATTAATCTTTAAGTTTATTTAATATCTAATTAGATTTTTTAATAGATATTCTGGGGTTGCATTCTAAAGTAATGTAGGCCTATATGCGAAATCGCAGCATTAGAAGTGTTTCAAAATCAACTTGCATGATTTACCACAAATGACTGAAGACAGACATACAATATGAGCTATATTTTTAAAAAGCAACCCAATCCTCTAATGGACACCAGCGAGAAAAGTCTTAAAGGTATTTGAGAGGTGTATAAATTCATTTAAAAATCATGCACAGCGTAGTTACAATTAATATGGTTATAAAATCCTGTCTATCTGGTTTTTTTCGGACTTAACTAAAGATTGGATGTATTTGATGTTTATACTATTTTCGGTAACTAAATAAAAATTAAAAAAAAAGCAAAAACAATTTGGTTTTCACGTGTGATGGCGACATAAACAATGGCCGCCATTGATTTTATTGTACACATTGTAAGCTAAAAATAGAAAACTAGGTCATGGGGTTTTAAATTTGCATGGTTATTTAAAAACTTGATCTGCAAAGTTTTGTAAACAAATAGTTATCGATCACTAAGTTACTGTACAGCCAATCAATATTTGTCTTACGAAAGTGAAACATCCGGTTATAACTTAGGCTTGATGAAAATAAATAGAAATGTAGCCTTAAACTCAACAAATTATTTTCAAGTTCTCTGGATTTGCAACTTTTATAACATTTATTCTAAAAATATAAAATTTCTAAATTAATTTTAGGCTTAAGTTTTTTTTTTTTTTTTTTTTTTTTTTTACGGTCTAAATCTAAAAAGCACGTTTTTATTCCATGTCAACAACATTGGGGACGGAATCTCGTCAACTCGCTCGCCTCCATTACAAAAACCACAGCATACAATTTAATATCAGATTCTCTAACATTCGTTGAAGAATGTATCCACATTTTTTTCTAGGCTCAGACTTCCAGCAAGCCATGTATCACTTAGATAAAGCCATTGAAACACTTCGAGTAGACGGTCCTGTCTATATGTTGAAATGGGCCGTTCGGAGAAAAGCCATCATCCTATTTAGACAGAGCCACTATAATGAATCATGGGAGTAAGTCATAAATCAAAATAGATGGACTTTTGCCTCTTTACATGTATTTAGGTATATATAAGTTGCATAAAGCTGTAATATTAACTTGCGCTTCTCATGAATGGATTACCTGTAATGTGAGTGTTTAATGTTACATTTTTTGTAAAATTCTGATGTGGTCGGGTCCAGTTTAAAATTGCTCATCCGAAAGTTTTGAGTTTGGCACGTGACCTTGACTGTATGTAGGTCCTACACCTTTCTACCTTGCTTGGCATAGTCCTGACCACACAACCCCTTCACTGTAGTCCACATAATGCCATCTTCTTTCCCTGAGTGACCGCCTGAGACTGATATTGTGAAGCAGGCACCAGACTCTAATGAACACTAGTATGATATATGATCCCAGTTCTTAACATAAGTGTTGTATATTTTACCACCAGGTGCTTCCAACAAGCAAACCACGTGACACAAAGTGCCACGGAAGAGGAAGTGGACGAGGTCCTGAGGTTCTCGGAGCTGGAGATTCTGGAGGAGGAACTGACCGCCAGGATCTACGAGGTCATCCCACTCATCTTTAGAGGTGACCATTTCACGAGATCGCCCCCTTCATATATAAATGTAAACCTTTTACGACGTGACCTCTCAAATTTAAATTTAACCAATTCATTTGAGCCCATTGCAGGATAAGTCCAATCAAAGTCTTTAACATTTGACTGCCTTGAAGCAGTGTCAATTGAAGTGTCAATTGTTTATCAAAACAGAAATTACAATGAAGTTCTTAAAAGCAACTACAGGATCACATAATGAAATTAAAACCCCAAATTTTTACCTAAAACTGAGAGTTCTGTAATTTAAAAAAAATGTTTTTTCCCACCTTGTGTCCATGGTGGTCGAATGGTAGAGTGTACATCTACTCAGCGGAAAGTATCGAGTTCGGATCCCGGGCTCGAGTCCGTAGGTTCCTGTGTCCACCCAGCTCTGGTTGGGTACCTGACTCAAGTGATGGAAAGTAATATCGGCAGACCACACTAAAAGGCGAACGCCGTTTTACTTGTCCCATGGACCGTCAGGTTCGAAAGGGTACAATTAGTGTGTGTCCACCCTAGGATGACGTGTGATGACATAGACACATCTCACCCCTTGTGACGGCATTGCAATTATTTATATTGGTTTCCAATCATGTCAGACCTTTGTTTTTTTATGCTAACGGTACTCACTCCAATGTTTCCCATACAGGGCAGCCTGGCGACCTTGAAAGAGCGCTCCAACAGCAGCTTGAGACCTTGGACGTTGTCCGTGACCTTTGCCCCAACCACCCCGAGTTGCCGGTCCTGCTGAATAACCTTGGCCTGATTTTACAGAGAGGTCCGGAACTTCGTTTAGTTTTATATAGTGGAAGTAGAGTTACCCTATGACCCTATGAGACGGCGTGGCCCGGCTCTGATGAGTCCTAACCCACGTTAGGTGGTGGCATAGCAACCACACTACCCTTTCATATGCTGAGGTCATAAAGACAGGCGTCCTCTACTTCACTTGTCCCAAGGCATCAGTTTCGAAAAGGGGGCTTACTTTTGTTTTAGAGTGGTTTTTAGAGTCCACCCACTCTACACTGTCAAGCAAAAGAGCAATGACTCACCCAGTGAAATAGAACGAAAAAGCAAAGAAAGCCTGATGTTGTAAGAAACGATCAGCATTATTTTGATTATAGAGTTGTTGTATACTAACACCACACTATACTGAACCATTACTTCTCCCCCCCCCCACCAGGTTATAATGATCTGCCACGGGCCCTAGGATGGTTTACTCAGTCGTACAACGAGCGACGCCTCTTTGAGAGAATAGCGCCCTCTAACGTCTGTGTCACCCTCAAAAACATGACCGGCATCTGTTTCCAACTGGGAGATCTGGGTAGGATTGTGTGCTCATAGACTGACATTTGACAGACTAAACGACATGACGTGTCGACTGCCAACTGTCACTTTTTAAAACATTGTGTCCAGGTAAAGCATACATCTACTGCCAACTGTCACTTTTTAAAACATTTTGTCCAGGTAAAGCATACATCTACTGCCAACTGTCACTTTTAAAAACATTTTGTCCAGGTAAAGCATACAGTTACTGCCAACTGTCACTTTTAAAAACATTTTGTCCAGGTAAAGCATACATCTACTGCCAACTGTCACTTTTTAAAACATTTTGTCCAGGTAAAGCATACATCTACTGCCAACTGTCACTTTTAAAAACATTTTGTCCAGGTAAATCATACAGTTACTGCCAACTGTCACTATTGAAAACATTTTGTCCAGGTAAAGCATACATCTACTGCCAACTGTCACTTTTTAAAACATTTTGTCCAGGTAAAGCATACAGCTACTGCCGGCGGGCGTTGGAGGCCCACACAAAGTACGTCTGGTGTAGCAGCGATACAGCCTTGAGTTTGTCACAATACAGCGAGGTCCTTTTCAACATGTAAGGCTGTTTCTGTTATATTTTCATACATGTACAATATAGCATCCAAATAGATAGACCTCGTAATTTGAACATATTGTCTCGTACCTAGAGCTAAGTTTCTTACCCCAAACCAAGAGTTTTGTATCCAAAGACTACGAACATAGTTTATAAAGAATAAAATAATCTTTCATGTTATCCCCTAATGTGCTTCTACACTTTTATAAACAAATTTTTCAGGGAAAACGTCACTAAAGCTTTGACCACCGCTATCTCTGCCGCTGATATGTTTAAAGAGACGAATCCGAAGCACAACTATCGACTACGTATTTCTCTAAACATCCTACATTACAAAATTGTGGAAGCTTACCTTAAAAAACATTCAAGAGCAGTTGACCGCATACTTCTTAAAGCAGCAGACATTTTGCCGCCTCAGACAACACAGCAGACAATCCCTGAAGAAGCAGACATGGTGCCGCCTCAGCAGACATTCCCTAAAGAAGCAGACATGGTGCCGCCTCAGCAGACATTCCCTGAAGAAGCAGACATGGTGCCGCCTCAGCAGACATTCCCTGAAGAAGCAGACAATGTGCCGCCCCTACTCACGTCCTGCTCTGATTGTCTGAGCTCCACTCTACAGCTCGGCAAGACGATGCTGGCCAGCTTAAACAGTGAAGGTCACCACTACATGCTGAGTGTGTATGAGCACGCCATGATGCTCACCTGGCTAAACACGGACCAGTTGACCTACTACAAGACTCAGATGCTCAACTACGTCCAAGAAAATACGGGCCTGAAAAATTTACTTCAAGGGAGAGAACCAGATGAGACTAGTGACGATTTAGCTTTTCAACACAGGGGCCTTTACAGTTATATCAGAGAAACGAGCAATGAAAATTTACGTTTTGAAACATTTGTAGATTTTGTATCTAGGTCTTGTCAGACATGTCAGTACACATGTAAGTATTATGGTGAGAGCTTGTGGGAAATGTTTCGACACATGAATGATGTTGTACCTTATGACATTCGAACTCTGGAGTTTAGTGGATTCTCATCGCTTAGTTCTACAGCTTCAGACACTGAAGACATACAAACATATGGGTTTGACCCTCAGTCACATGGGTCTGACCAGCAGTCACATGGGTCTGACCAGCAGTCCCACGGGTCTGACCAACTGTCCCACGGGTCTGACCAACTGTCACACGGGTCTGACCAACTGTCCCACGGGTCTGACCAACAGTCCCACGGGTCTGACCAACAGTCCCACGGGTCCTACGACCATCTACCTGATCTGGCTGCGGGGTCTGGTGAATCAGCGCCCCAGTCTCTCGAATCGTCTCTACCAATAAACTTACAGGATCTGAGATTGTCAAGCAACGAACTATTTTCCGTAGTAAATCTGCAGGATTCCGGGGGTCGGAGTTCAAACTCCAACCAAAACACGGCCTGCAAATTCTCAAGTGTTGAAACTGGACACAACTTAGCTCCCTCGCCCTTTTTAACTGGCTCGTGGACAGTTCTAGAAACAAACAGTCCTGTTGTTGATTTACCAAGCGCTGAAGTAACGAGAGAACGTCGTCATTTCTCGGCCCAATCTTCTGAAGGCAGCAACCCATTCTACGACACAGTTCCGTCTGGTGCTGATGTTCCTAATGAGATCGTCAGACACCAGGCCGCTATCAGATCCACAGACTCGCCTTGTGGGGTGCTGGTGGAGGTCGACGATCGCCATGGTGACAGGGACGACATCATCAGGCAGGTTGGTTTAGATCAACCTCAACAGGACGGTCGGAATGTTGGCGTACAACCCTTGGACAGCAACCCGTGGACAACAACCCATTGACAACAACCAATGGACAGCAACCCTGACTAAAATGGGTACCAGACATTGATCATAACAGCCTGATTCTAAATACATGAACTCGTCAGTATGTGTACATACGCCAGTAACTTATATATGGAAGCACAAATATATGAAGTGAAACAAATACATTTAAAATACCTGCTTGGTCACAATAATTTCAAAATGAATCTTTCCGAATTGTCATTGAAGGTTGAAAAAAAAACCCATACATAATTCAGACTAAATCTTTGTTTTTACGCACTATGAATAAAATTTAACGTATTTACAAATATTAAAAAATGATTTTAATTTAATGTATGTTGCATTGTTCGACACATTACACCGATGAACTTTTTTTAATGTAAATATTTTTTCGATGTAGTTTATCTGATTGTAAATACATTGTGTCTATTCAATTATTTATACTTAAAAAATCAAGTTAGTGAGTCTGAACTAAACAAAACGTACGATAAAACTTGTTTCACTTTTTCCTGAGACATTTTTCATCGACCATTTTTAAAAACAGGAATTAGGAAACGGCCGCAAGAGTCAGCATGCTCGTAAAACTGACATGTTTTTTTATACGAACTATGTGCTCCCCACCCTCTGAATAGGACCCGGTGATATTTATACTTCCACTCAAGACAAAGGCTGGTCTGAGTGTTCATTTCTGTATAACAACTTTAGCGTGGCTTTTTAGACATTCCTTGTTTGAAAAAGATAGCTACTGCCATAGACTCTTGATGAGAGGGGTAATAATTAAAATATCTCCTAAATTTTTTTTAGTATTTTTAACATCATGAGGCAGAAATATGACAAACATTGCCTGAACGGATATTTGCCGGAATGCGACTTATGCTCGAATGAACACTTGCCGGAATGGGACGAATGCCCAAATGGGACAAATGCCTGAATGGACACTTGCCTGAATAGGACAGATTCCCTTATAGGACAGATTCCCGAATGCGTGAAAGCCACTTATTATCATCAAGCCTAAACTATGGCATGACGTTTCACTTTGGTAAGACAAACATTGATTGGCTGTACAGGAAACTCCGTGATCGATATTCTGAAAACACCACTTTGTTATAACTTGTGCTTAATCATTTACAAATACAATTTTAAAATATTTTTTAAAAAAACCACCTTTTGTCTTCTATTAAATTTTCGGGAATAAATAAAAAAAAAAGTTTTGATTATGTACCGAAAATACTTGTTCTAATGGGTACTTAACTCACGTAAGAGTAATTTAGGGCGGCTGGACTTAGTGCTGACCATACTATCCCTTCAGAAGCCGAGGTAAAAGAAACAAGTGAACTCTACTTCACTAATGGACCGCCACGGTCGAAAAGGGAACTTTTTTAAAACCAAAAATACATTCAATCAAAATAAGTAAAGTCCGACAAAAACCTCAAAATAATTTTCTTTATGAACACAGTTATTATAATAACACCGCACACCAATTTAAAAAGATTTAATGAACCATTCCAGACTATTCTCGTCTGGTCCATTAAAAAATATCCCCCGCGTTGTAACTAATCCACCCGATATCAGCCATGCGTGTCGGTAAAACGGCGATATCGATTCCTTCAACTTATCCAGGCAGTCTAGGAGACTACGAAGGACAACAAGGCGTGGCACAGAAGTTTGAAACTACTTTAGCCAATTCGTAATCCTATTTTTTATCTCAACATTCATGGCCCTTAAAAACAGTTAGGGACAAAGGAGGACCTTATAAGCCTACTTTCAAATTTGAACTGATGTATACTGCGCAGAACAAATATTCGCTCAAAGCGTCATCGCATTCATAAATTTCTTTCACTAGGAAAAAACAACATGTGGGCTAACTATTCTTTAAATGTTAGAAAACCTAGATCTATAAACCTATGCGAGGCATGTGACGCGTTGTTTTAAATTTCGTAAATAGTGTACATTTTCTCAGAAAGCCCAAGAAGAAGTGGGTTGTTTCCCCTGCGTAGCACACTAGCTTGTTTCCCCTTGTTGTGGTACAACACCAGCCTGTGTTGAATGTACACAGCTAATCGTCTCGTGCTGTACAGACCAGCATGCATTTCATCAACACACTCGACTGCAGGTGGGCGGTAACTTCATCGTGAACAATTTACTCACGCCGTGTGTTCAAGTATAGTTTGTGTTTGATTTGTTGTAACTGGATTTCCATTTGTTTAAGACGGTGGGTCCGCGTTCTGTGATTTAAGGTTAGAACTCACACCCCGCTGATAGACGTGCTCACTCGAGTGACACCTGTCAACACATTTACATGTTGAGGTACAGAAACGCAAGTAGTAGAAAACACGTGTGGCTGGTTCTATTTTTAGCCTCAATGGATCACATGATCACTAGATATTTCAAAACCTGTGCCTGAAAACATGTCGCCGACACTAGCTCGCTTGTTCTTGACCTATTTTCAATTGGAAGTCTGCAAGCGTTTTGTCGAGACGCTGTTAGACAGGCATGTCTGAAGTTAGACATGTGTACAGACTGAAATGTGAACAGACAGAAATGTGTATAGCCAGACAATTATGTTAACTAATAGACTAATCAAAGCTACGCGGGGAGTTCGATTATCTGCTTGTGTAATGTGTGAGTACTAATTCAATGGATCTCCGGGGACACTTCGCTGACAACAGACGTGCTAGGTCTCTGGCAGCAAGGAGATTTGTGGAAGATGTGGCAGCCTCGTTGTCGCCTGTCCAGCTTAGCCCGTGGTCAGCACGACCAGATGTAGGCCACACGGGGGTCACAGGGTCTTATCTAGACATACGGATAGAAGAGCGGCACCAGGTCAGGTCAGCCGTTAAACCAGGGGTTGTCGTCCAGGTGTGTGGGCCACCCATGGTTGGCAAGGCAACCATTGTACGACAGGTGAGTCAGCCTTTAAAAAAAACAGGGGATACGAGATTTTGAGGACTCTTACTGTGATAGGTTAACCTATTTGAGAGCAGTCATACTTGCAAGTATAAATAATCATGTTTATCAATTCTCCTTAGTGTTCAAGCTATACGTCCTTAGATCCATTACATGCTGCTGAGGCTACAGACAATTTTCTTATGCCATCAATAAAAATATACAGCATAAGTAGAGTAGTTGATCAGCACTATTTCATGTGCTCTCGTCAGTTGAAGTCAACGCTAAAATGTAATTATTGTAATATTAATAAACGAACAGTAAAATGTTATTATTATCTACCTCAATGTCTGCCTATAAGTGTATGTGTGCTGGGGTTTAGAAGGTGGATGGAAATTGACTTGAGGTTATTTGGTGGGGGAGGTAAAAAAAAAAGTCCCACCTATAAGCAAAATATACCATACCAAACAGCTCTCATTATTCTCTAACTTCATTCGAAGCTACTTTTTATTTGATCGTTCAATGAGGTAGAGACCTCTACATCTCCCGTCAATGGGAACGTCTGGCCTTTTTATTTTCGTCACGATTCCCCGGTGCCACATTTGCTTTTCTTTTTGTCATCCCGTCCTTCTAAAATGTTCATAAAATAGTTACGATACAATCTACCATCAATGAACAAAATGAAGGTAACTTGCAGGTAATTGATGAGATGAAGAAGGACAGCCCTGACTCCCATATACAGGCTCACACTTTTGATTGCCAGCACCTGGGCACGGCACAAGACCTTCTCGCGACAGTTGTGAGACGGTTGTGTCCACAACATGACCTGACCACAGCTACACAGGAGCTCACGATAACCCTGATTGGCGAAGTTTTAAGACCAGAACATCAACACATTTTTCTATTCACAAAATGTGAAGGTTTTTTAGACGGTCACTTCCTAAGAACTTTGTGTAAGATTCTTTACTTTTTTAACACTAAGCATGTCAAAGGAACTATTATATTTACCAGTAACCGGAAATTTCCGGCTTTTGAAATGATGAAAATTGTAGAGGTTGGGATGTTGACAGATGTATATGACGTCACACTTCTGCTCCAGCAATGTGCCCCTAGGGTAGATGTGCAGCAATATGTCGGTCTGTGCCGGAAGTTGTTTTGTCTGCCTGGTCCCATCATGCACTTCGCCAGAAAGTATCTCTGTGACCTTGAAGATTTGCCTAACCCCAATGAACTTGAGGAGAAGGTCAGCAACGATTCCAAATTTTTATCAGAGATTTTCGAGCAGAGCGCAAGCAGGATTGAGCGTTGGATAAGTGACAAGGATTTGAGAGTTTTATATTATTTCTGTTCCAACTTTAGAGTCACATTTACTTTAGGTAAGTTCAAACTTCTCATGTCCGAGCTATACGCAAATTAAGCGAGACATTCTTTTGATAATTAACTAGGGTCCTTGAATTTCTTAAAGCCATACATTATAGTAAAACATATTATTAGGTTATTTTCAATAAAGATACATCGAAGTTGAGTAAAATATGCAAGCAAAGTTCACTTTCGAACTGGACGTGCAATGGGGTAAGTGAAGTAGAGTTCACCTGTTTCTGGGACTTCGGCAAATGAGGAGATAGTGTGGTACCCATCAGAGTTGGTGCGACGTTTAACAAGGATTCAAACTCGAGACTTTCGGGTTATCAGTCGTATGCTCTACCATTCGACCAGGCCGTCCCATAAACGATGCAATTTTAATCATAAAAAAGTTCACATTATTTATAAAAAAAACTGTAGCAAAAAATGTTAGTGTTTTGGTTGTCCTGTACTTGATGTCCTGTACTTGATGTCCTGTACTTGATGTCCTGTACTTGCTGTCCTGTACTTGCTGTCCTGTACTTGATGTCCTCTCAGACCAGCTGTTCACTGAACTGACCAGACGACGTGGAGATGGGTCATGGACTTGGTTCCTAGAGCGTCAGTTGAGGGAGATTTATTCCATCTGGTCTGTCACTGACAGACAAGGTTGTGATGTCACTGACACCCAAGGTTGTACTGTCAGTGACACACAAGGTTGTTCTGTCAGTGACACAGAAAGATTTTCAGTACATCCCTTGCTGGTGTATTACAGACAAACGCGCATGAAA